GTCATCGCCCCGCGACGGGAGCGCACCGGGACACGGCGGAACCCGCCGGGACCGCGCGGAGCCGAGCGCGAGCCGAACGAGGCCGAGTGCGAGCCGAGCGAAACCGAGTGCGGGCCGAGCGGAGCCGAGTGCGGGCCGAGCGGAGCCGAACGAGGCCGAGCGGAGCCGAGTGCGAGCCGAGCGGAGCCGAACGAGGCCGAGCGGAGCCGAACGAGGCCGAGCGGAGCCGAGTGCGAGCCGAACGAGGCCGAGCGGGGCCCGGGCCGAGCAGGACCCCCGGGGACTCACCGGGACCAACCGGGACCAAGTGGCGCCGCCATGTGCGACATGGCGGGTGGCGGTGGTGGCTGCGGGGCGGACGCGGAACCGCCGCGGCGCCGCCGCGCACCGGCAGACAGGTGTGAGTCCGGTCCGGCCTCGCAATGGACCCCCGGGGCCGCTCCCGGTACCCCCCGGTATCCCTGCGGTGCTCCCGTGCCATCCCCGATCCCCCGCTCCCGGTGTCCCCCGGTAACATGCCGGTATCCCTGGTGCTGCCCCGGGACCGGGACCGCCCCCCCTTCCGCTCGGCGCCGCTCCCGGGGGGTCGGGTCCCGGTGTCCCCGGTGACCGGCCGTGTCCCCGCAGCCACCCCCGAACGTGCATGAAGTGCGGGCAGGGCACGGCCGCGCTCGTCATCCGCGTCGGGGACCCCTTCTGCCGGTGAGGGACCGCGGGGACAGCGGGGCTGGGGACACCAGAAACGGGCTGGGGGACATTAGAAATTGGGGATAGCAGAAATTGGGGACATCAGGGCTGGGGACATCAGAAATTGGGGATAGCAGAAATTGGGACATCGGGGCTGGGGACATCAGACATTGGGGCTTGGGGACATCAGAAACTGGGGACATCGGGGCTGGAGGACATTAGAAATTAGGGATAGCAGAAATTGGGACATCGGGGCTGGGGACATCAGACATTGGGGCTTGGGGACATCAGAAATTTGGGCCATTGGTGCTTGGGGACATTGAGGGTGGAGGACATAATAAATTGGGGACATCAGGGCTTGGGGACATCAGAAATTCGGGATCTTTGAGTCTCCAGAAGATGGAGGCTTGGGAACTTTGGGTCTTGGGGACATCAGGGATTGGGGACGTTTGTTCTCAGGGGCGTTGTGTCTGGAGCGTTGGGATGCTGGGGCTGGGGACATTGGATCTCTGGGACTTCAAGGTTTGGGGACATTGAGTGTCTGGGACGTTGGGGCCAAACAACATCAAGGCTTGGGGACATTGAGTGTTGAGGACACAGGGGGGGACAGTAACGTTTGGGGACGTGGCTCATGGGGATCTTCGGATTTTTGGGATGTTGGGGCCTGAGGACATTGTTCTGGGGGACATCAAGGGGACTTTGGGGTGTGGGGATGTGGGCTCTGGGGGTGTGGGCCCAGCCGTGGCTCAGGAGTCCCCGTGTCCCCGTGTCCCCAGTGACTGCTTCCGCGAGTACTTCGTGCACAAGTTCCGTGCCATGCTGGGCAAGAACCGCGTCATCTTCCCGGGAGAGAAGGTACCCACGGGGGGGACCCGGCCGGGGGACCCGGGGTGGCCCCAGGGCCGTGACTGTCCCTGCTGTCCCCACAGGTGCTGCTGGCAGTGTCGGGGGGCCCGGCCTCCTGTGCCATGGTCCGGCAGGTGCAGGAGGTGAGAGTGGGGGCTTTGGGGGGCTTGGGGGGCACACGGCTCGTTATTCCTTCACCCCACTCCTCACCCCAAACCTCACCCCACTCCTCACCCCACTCCTCTGCAGGGGCTCAGCCGGGAGGCGGCCAAGAGGCTCCGCTTCGTCCCCAGCCTCGTCTACGTTGAGGGTGAGGGAGCCCCACTGCTGCTCCTGTCCCACTGCCCATTCCCTGCTCCTGTCCCACTGCCCATTTTCTGCCTGTTCCCTGCTCCTGTCCAGCTGCCCATTCCCTGCTCCTGTCCACTGCCCGTTCCCAGCCCATTCCCTGCTCCTGTCCCACTGCCCATTCCCTGCTCCTGTCCCACTGCCCATTTTCTGCCTGTTCCCTGCTCCTGTCCAGCTGCCCATTCCCTGCTCCTGTCCAGCTGCCCATTCCCTGCTCCACATCCAACTGCCCATTCCCTGCTCCTGTCCAACTGCCCATTCCCAGCCCATTCCCAGCTCCACATCCAAATGCTCATCCCCTGCTCCTGTCCCACTGCCCATTTCCTGCTCCTGTCCAGCTGCCCATTCCCTGCCCATTCCCAGCTCTACATCCAAATGCTCATCCCCTGCTCCTGTCCAACTGCCCATTCCCTGCTCCTGTCCAGCTGCCCACTCCCAGCCCATTCTCTGCTCCACATCCAACTGCCCATTCCCTGTCCCACTGCCAGCTCCCTGCCTCACTCCCCATTCCAGCCTTGTTGCCTGTTCCCTGCCCCATTCCCAGCCCCACTCCCTGCCCCGTTACCGACTCCCAGCACAGTGTCCCCTGCACTGTGCCAGGGCTGGGGAGCTGCCACCCTGGCCCCAGGAACAGGCTGGGAATGTGGCAGCAGCCCTGGCACTGCCCCCACCTTCCAGAGGGAGCCGTGCGCAGGCAGAGCCCGGAGCAGCGGGAGCAGACCCTGGCCCAGATGGAGACCCTGCTGCAGGCCACCGGCTTCCCCTACCACCTGATCCACCTGGAGGAGGTACTGGGGTGACATGGGACAGGTGCTGAGGTGAGGGGACACATCTGGAACACTTCCCCTGTATCCCTCTCTGCCCTGCAGGCACTGGAGTTGCCCCCATCCATCTTACAGCCGGGGCCGGAGCGCGCCGCCGCGTCCAGCCCGTCCGGCCCTTCCTACAAGGAGGCTGTGGACAACTTCATCCAGCAGCAGCGGCAGGATGGGGACAGTGGCACCTCTCTGCCTGGCCACAGCACCCCGGACACCCCAGCAGGAGCCCTGGCCACCCCCCGCCTGCCGGACGCTGCCCAAACCCAGGAGCTGCTCCGCAGCTTCGAGGCCGCGGCGACGGCGACGGCGCGGGAGGAGCTGCTGGAGATGCTGCGGTGAGCGACTGACCCTGCCTGGCACCGGTGCCAGGCGGGCAGGGTGGCTCTGACCCGCTGTCACCTTGTCGCCAGGACCCACCTGATCGTGCAGACGGCCCGGGACAGGGGCTACGCCAAGGTGATGATGGGCGAGAGCCTGACGCGCGTGGCCATCAAGCTCCTCACCAACCTCTCCCTGGGGCGCGGCGCCTTCCTCGCCGTGGACACGGTGAGCTGGGGACGGGTACCCGCACCCGAGGGGTGACACGATGCCGTGGGGGGTAGTGGCTTGCTGGTGGCACAGTGCCCTGGCAGCCCTGCACCCACAGGGCTTCACGGACCAGCGCCACGGTGACGTGATGGTGGTGAGACCCATGCGGGACTACACGGCCAAGGAGATCGCCTTCTACAACCGCTTCTTCGGCGTCCCCACCGTCACTGTGCCACCCCTTTTCACCAAGGTAGGGGGGTCCTGTGGTGGGGAGCCCGTGCTGTGTGTCCCCATGGCAGGGACAGGACCCCCAGTGCTGCCCTGCCCTCCCTGTTGGTTCCCACAGCGCCGGGAGAAGCTCAGCATCCACCAGCTGGTCGAGCGCTTCCTGCTGGGGCTGCAGGAGGAGTTCCCCTCCACCATCAGCACCGTGTACCGGTACGGGGGGTCCGTGGGGGGGTACTGGGGCTGTGGGGGGATTGGGCTGCACCCACAACCCCCGTTTTGGCTGTAGGACTGGGGAGAAGCTGAGCCCGGAGCCGGCCAAGGCCAGCAGCGAGTGGCAGCGCTGCCTCCTCTGCCTCTGCGGCCTGGACACCTATGGGGGTGAGTGGGGAGGGCACTGGGGGGATTTGGGGAGCAGCCGTGCACCCCTCGGTGACCCCCTGGCTCTTACAGAGGAGGAGCTCGCTCTGGAGCCCACGCTGATCTTTGAGGAGCCAGCAGCAGGGTGAGCACTAGGCTGGGGACATTCCAGGATTCCATAGCCACTCCCAGGGTGGCACCGCTGAGTGTCCCTGTCCTCGCCTCTGTCCCACAGGGTTGAGAGCAAAGCTGCCTACATCCCCCTGCTGTGCTACAGCTGCCGCCTCACCTTCAAGGAGCTGGTGAGGTTTTGGGGTGCAGGGGGTGGGTCTCGGGGGCAGTGGGGGTCCCCAGGCTCACGGCCCCTCTCACGCAGGGTCCCCTGGACACGCTGCCGCCCTACGTGCGCGCCGAGGGCCAGCGCAGGATCCGCAGGTACCGGGGCTGGGGGGACCCTCCCCACCTGCTCAGCCCCGAGGCCGTGTCCATCCAGTGTCTGTCCCCTGCAGAGCTGAGATGGAGCAGAACCAGGAGGCCCGCGAGAGCTGAAGGGGCTGGGGACAGCAGGGGACACAGACCAATCCCACTGTGGCACTGCTGGGGCAGGTGCCACTCCTCAGGGATACCCCAGAGGTTGGTGAAGACTCCTGAGACCCAGGCAGCTGCTTTTATACCCCATTTCTGTGCCAGCCAGGGACAGGGAGAGCCCCCATCCCCATTTATTGGGGGCTGGGGTGCAGGTCCCTGGTCCCCCCCCACCTCCCTGCCCCAGCTGCCTGTCAGCCAGGGAGGCCTCAAGTTTGTTTTATTCGGTATCTGTATAAATAAAACATTTGAATTATTAAAAAAACACAAACTCAAAGTCACAAGTGTCTAAAGTCCAACTGGGGCTGCCAGACCTCCTCAAACATGGGGGGGCCACAACCCAGGACCCCCATCCTGGAGCTGGGGGTGGGGGGCTATTGCTCGAGTTCAACCTGGTTCTGGAGCAGGGCTGGGGCCGGCAGGGAGGGGGCACGGGCTGGCTCTTAACCCCCCAACCCCACCTGGCAGCCAGGGGTGCCCAGTGGGTGGGGGGGCCACTTCCTGTCCCCCCTCCCCGGGAAGGCACAACGTGGTCCGTGCAGGTCGGACGGCTTCAAAGCAATGTAAGAAAAACATCCAGAAAAACATCCTCCCTCCACGGGAGTGCCCAGAACCCCACATCCCCCTGCCTCCCGGGCCGGGACGTGCCCCAGCTGGGGTGGGCTGCTTAAGGCATTGGCGGTGATGTCCCTGTCAGGGGGGGCTGCAGCCCCTTCCCCTTATTCCTTCTCCCGTGTCCACTTGATCATGGTCTCGGGCGAGCGGTAGAGGAAGATGAGCTTGGCGTAGAGCTCCTCCTCCAGCTCCAGCTCGCCCGTCTCCCGCACCAGGAAGATGTCCTGGCACAGCTTCAGGATGCGATCCACGTAGGGCAGCTCCTCGAACATGATGGAGTGCGAGACCTCGCTGAAGAAGCCCCGCACGAACTTGCCGATCACCAGCACGACGGACACGTAGAGCCCCATGATCCTGCAAGAGGGATGATCCTGGATCCCACCAGCGAGTCCTTGCGGATCCCCCCCACACCCTGGCACCCTCCACGTACCCGTAGCCAGCCAGGAAGCCCAGGCTGGGGGGGCTGACTTTGTCGTTGAAGATGATCATGGGGAGGATGTTGCCCTCCTGGGGTGGGGCGTTCTTCTGCCTCAGCACCCACCACTCCACAAAGTGCTCGCCAGGGCCAGAGCCCCTGCGCTCCTGTTTCAGATGCACCTCCACGTCCAGGTAGCTGTCCTCGTCATCTGCAGAGGGTGACACCGTCAGGGCACTGCACAGTGGCTGCTGTGCTCTTAAGGACAATTTTTTTGGAGGGGAGTGACACAGTGGGACTCGTGTCCTCGCTGTCCACGGGGGCTGGCGCCATCGGGTGTGCTGCCAGTGCTGATTTTTTAGGGAGGGACACACTGGGACTCATGTCCTCCCTGTCTTCAGAGAGGTGGCACCCAGTGCTGGTTTTCTTGTGGGGGATTGTGTTGGGACCTACCTGGCAGCAGCTGCTTGATAGGTTCAGCTTCGAGGCCGGTGGGCGCCCGGATGTATTTGGGGAAGAGGTTTAGCAATTCCCTGCAAGAAAGTGGAGTGATGGCGAGGGGGGGGGTGGGTTACACCATCCCACTGAGCACAGGGGTCCAGCCACCCCCTCAGGGGACACTCACACGGGCTCCTTCCTGGTGCCATCCAGCAGCTGGGCCAGCTGCAGGCGCTGGGGCGCGCCGGGCTCCAGGTCTGTGTCGTGTTTGCCGTAGGCGTTCTCCACCGTGCCCCCCTTGCCCAGGTCCCTGCGGGCACGAGAGGCTCAGTGTGGGCAGGGGGGTGCAGGCAGGGCTGGCTCCTCCCTGGCCGTGCCCGAGGTACCTCTGGAAGATCCAGTTGAAGTGCAGGGTGATGTCAGAGGAGCCGTTCTGCAGCTCCAGCCGCATCTGCTCGCGGCTGGGGGGGCTGACGCTCCACAGCGAGCCCGAGCTGCCCTCGATGCGGGCGGTCACGATGTCCTCCACGTCGTAGAGGCTGATGAACTGCATGGCCAGCTGCCAGCAGGGGGGACACAGCTCAGCCCCTGTCCTGGGGGCTCTGCCAGCCCCTGCCCCAGCAGCCAGCAGGGTTTTTTTGGGGTGGGGAGGAGGGATTTACCGGCTCGCTCTCAAACTCTTTGGTGAGCTCTTCGTAGTCCTGCGAGGTGAAGGGCTGGATGTATTGTTGCTGGGAGCTTGTGCTGAACAGAGGCTGGAGGGGACAGGGGGACATCAGCCAGGCAGGGCACCCTGGTGTCCCACCTGGGCACCCCAACACCCACCCCCACATGCTCACCTCGTACCCCCCCAGCTTGAGGGTGACGGTGACGTCGATGGGGTGGTTGATGATGCCCACCACGGAGCGCACCAGGGACATGAAGAGCAGCGGGAACCAGATGATGCCCACGAGGAAGAGGATGATGAGGCCTCCCATGCCGTACTTCACCACCTTCTTCTTCTTCTGCCCCTTGGGCTGGGGGTATTTCTGGGTGGGGGGAGACAGCACACAGTGTAGGGTGGGCTCAGGGGGACCCCAACAAACCCCCCAAAAGGGGTTCAGTGAGGGACCCTTCCTGGCATAGGGGCTGTACCTTCTCAGTCTCCCGGCTGCACTTGATGATGAAGATGTTGGCGTAGATGTCCTCCACACACATCCAGTTGGAGAGGGACAGCGTGGTGTCCGTCCACACCCAGTCCATGACGGCCCGCAGCTCCACCAGGAAGGGCACGAGGCGGAACCTGGGGGGACACGGGGAGAGGACAGTGGTACGGCACCCTCGGGGTGCCCGGGGCTCCCTGCGGCCCCGTGCCCTACCCCTGGAAGAGGAAGAGGTTGAGGTGGTTGTATTTCTTGGTGAGGAAGTTGCCCAGGATGCGGGTGGGGTAGCCACAGCGGATCTGGTAGGCCGACAGTCCAAAGTAGATGCACTTCACGAAGTACCACAGCTGGGCCACCGTGTTTTGGCGGAACAACCTGCGGGAGGGACGTGTCACCCTTCAGCCACCAGCCTGGGCCACCACGTGGGCACGGGGACACGAAGGTGCCACGCGAGTGCCACGCAGGGAATCCTTTGGGACGTACCTTTGGGTGACGTAGGGCAGGATGAAGAACATCCAGATGTGGATGCCGAAGACCAGGGTGACCTGGAAGACGAGCTTGCCCAGCACGGTCTTGCGGAGGTAGAGCGCGCGGTCGATGACCATGGTGCTGAACTGGAAGAGCAGCATGAACAGGAAAGCCTTCGGCACTTGGTTTTCCGACAGCGAGGAGGTGATGTCGGCGGCCGCCGTGTATTTCTGGGGTGCAGGAGAGGTCAGCATGTGGCCCAGCCTCACCCCGTGGTGGAGGCAGGACAGTCAGGGCCCTGTGGGACTCCCTGCTCACCCCAAAGGCCCAGAAGCCGAAGATGATGATGATGAAGTCGACCACGTCAGCCAGGAACATGTAGGCGTAGACGTCGGTGGCTGCACGGCTCTGTGTGTCCAGGATGTCCCGGCAGAACTGGCACACTGGCTGGTACACGTTCTGTGCCCTGCAGGGACAGGGGACACAGGGGACAGGTGACAGGGACCGCACCCCACAGCCCCCCCCAACCAGCACCGCCACGACTCACGTGGTGAGGAAGAAGCCCTTGACCCGCAAGCCAAACGCCTTCAGCTTCCTCTGAGCGTGGCTCTCTTCTGACACCTCCTCCTCCTCCTCCTCCTCTTCCTCCTCCTCGGGCCCTTGAAGTGAGGCACAGCGTGGGTGACAGCCAGGGTCCTGCAGGGCCACATCCTGCCTGACCCCAGCACCCTGGGGGTGCCGGCCTTGCTCCTCAGCAGGGCACGAGGGTTGGGAACGGGTGCTCACCTTCCACTGGAACCATCTCCGTTGTCTTCCTCCTCTGCTTCCTCCTGAAGCGGAGCTGCGTGGCCTCGGTCCCCTCTTCCTGCTCCACAGACTCGCCCTCCAGCTCCAGCTGCAGCTCCGAGGCTGCTTCCAGTGCTCCTGGCTGGGCTGGAGCCTCCAGCCCTTCCTCAGCCACCTCTGGCTGTAGGGACACGGCTTCCTCCGGCTTCTCCTCCCCTTCCTTGCTCTCATCCTTCTTGTCCGTCGTCTTCTCCTGGTCCCACAGCCCATAGGACTGTGGAGGGACATGGTTATGGGCCCCCCAGCCCCACACACCTCACTCTCCATCCTGCAGCATCAACTCCCACCAGCACTGGTGGGAAACCACGGCAGAGACCCCCAGCACCTGCAGGGCCCCCAGGAGCAGCTCCAGCTCCCCACAAATGCCCACCCACGGCCCAGGGCTCACCAGCAGCAGGGAGCGATGGAAGAAGAGGGCCAGGAGCTGCAGCAGGTCATACTTGATGTAGTGGATGGACTTCTCCAAGCCCAGGATGCGTGGCGGGAAGAAGGGCTTGCCCTCGTTGCGCAGCAGGGTGATGTAGCCATTCCAGGGGAAGAAGCCAAACTGGAAGAGGTATTTCACCACCACCATCATCTGTGGGGACGCTGGGGTCAGCGGGTGGCAGCAGGGGCCAGGTGGCATCGTCCCTTCGCTGGCCACCCCCTGCCCACCTCGGTGAAGACGATGGCGGTCACCCAGAAGCGCTTGGTGGGCCGGGGGCTGGAAAGCATGGCCCAGAGGAAGACGAGGATGGGCAGGAAGAGGGAGATGACGGAGCCGGTGACCATGTTGTTGAGGATGATGGTGAAGTAACAGAGCAGCTCGGAGTGGCCGGTCCCGAAGCGGTACCCGGCCAGCAGCAGCTTCAGGAACCGGTTGTGGGATCGGTAGAACCGTTCCGACTCCTCCAGCTCGGAGACACACAACCTCCTGCAGGATGCAGGGCTGGGGTGAGCCCCCCTGCTGCCCCCCCGTCCCCATCCTGCTGTCCCCATGTCCCCATGTCCCCCTGTGCACCTGCTCTTGAGGAGCTCACTGGCAGTCCGCCTGCGCTGCTGGGGAACGGCCAGGAACTGCTGAGCATCAGCCACGTCCTCCACGTTTATCACCTGCTCCTGGTTGCTGGAAGAAGGGGCAGCTCTTAGGCACCTGCTGGGGATGACAGAGGGACGGGGGCGAGCCCCCTGCCCCGCCTGTGGCGCTCCAGCAGCCCCCTCGGGGGTATCTATGCACCTGCCTGGAAGTGCTGCTTTGGAGCTCTGCAGCCAAGGAGCCGGGCGAGCTCAGCTTCTGCAGCAGCTCCTCCGGCAGCAGCTCTCTCTCGTAGAGCTCATCTGGGAACTCCTGGTTTATCTCCTCTCCCTGCGGCAGGCAGGACGTCAGTGCCACCGCGCGCTGCCACCCCCCGCGCCCCGCTGTCCCCCCGGGCTCACCCTGGCCAGCCGCTCCGCCATGACAAATCTCTCGAGGCACAGGACCTGCGACATGTCCGTGTGCTCCCGGGTTTGGCTGTCCAGCCACTGGGTCAGCCCGTCCACCAGGGCCTGGCACAGCAGCCACAGGAACCTCAGCATGTTCAGAACCCGCTGCAAGACGTTGCTGCGCTCTGCCAGGGCAGGAAGAGGCCTGGAGGGTCACTCGTGCCCACCCAGACCTCCCCAGCATCCTTGTGCTGCACTCCTGCTGCCCACCTACCAGAACTTTGCCCATCCTCTTCCTCCTGGCCTTCGGCCCCCTCGGCAGCCTCCACCTCTCTCCTTGTGCCATCCCCTCAAGGGTCAGGCCCCAAGGAAAGACGAACATCATTTTTGGGGCTCTTCCATCCACCACCCCATCCCCTGTCCCCCCGCAACCACCTTAACAACCGGGGTGGGCACCAAAGAAGCTGCACAGCTTGTGCCAAACCCCACTGCAGCCACCAGAGAGTCCCCACACACTCTGGGAGCACCGGGTTGTGTCCCCTCCTGCCCCCCAGCCCTATTTTGGGGTGTCACACCCACCTGCAGCGCTGTCGGTGGTGGGTGGCCTCGGCTGCTCGGGCTGCTCCTGCTGCTGCAGCACCGTCCTGGTGTTGGTCACCCAGGCCTGGTAGGCGAGCTGGAGGGGGACAGGGGCCATCAGCACCCTGGGGACACTGCCAGCCCTCTGGCTGCTCTGCAGTCCCCAGCCCTGCTCACCTGGAAGGCGCTCGGCCTCCCCGGCCGTGGCTCCTCCTGCACCTCTTCCTCCTCCTCGCTGTCCGACTCGAAGAGGAAGTATTCCCCGGAATGCAGCACTGCCGAGAGGACACAGGGCGTCACGGCACGGCCAGGGCCATGGCAGGGGTGTCACACCCCAGGCTGTCCCCGCTGCCATCTCCCAGGGCGCTGCCTGGCACCGAGGACACCCATGGGGACATCAAAGCCAACGACTCAACTGCCACGTCCCCAAAGCGGCGTCCCTCCGGCGCCAGCGTTCGGAGGTGACCGACGTCAGTGACCCCAAACCCAGCCTGGCACCCCCAGTCCAACACCCTGTTAGTGCTGGGGGCAGAGAAGCCGTGGTTAGTGCTCTGCCGCCGAGCCTGGGGACAGGGGACATGCAGGGTGTCACCCTGGCCAAGCAGTGCCACCAGCGTCCCTGCGGGTGTTAGCAGTCCCAGCGGAGGGACCTCTCCGAGGGGCTGAGCCCCGTTAGGCCCCGTGCCAGGGCTGTACCTGCGGCGTGGTCTAACCATGGCCGCCACCACCGCTCCCTCTGCCGGGACGGGTCTGCCGGGCCGCCGGGAGCTGCGGGATGGCAGACAGGGCTGAGCAGGGCCCTGCCCAGGGCACCCACCCCGCCGCGGGGGGACTCGGGGCACGAGGGGTCACCACGGTGCTCCACGGGGCTCCACCAGGATGGGCGTTGGCAAAGGGTCACAGTGACACCCGTGTGTCCGGAGAGGGGTTGGGGACACGGGAGGGACCCCCCGGCTCTCACCTGCTCTGGCTCCTTCCTGCCCCGCGCTGGTGGCCAGCTCCTGGTGGTACTTCTGCTGCTTGGCTCGGATCCGCTCCATCCTGGAGGCAGAGGATGCTGCAGAGCCCGCTCCCCCCGGCCCCCGGGGGTACCCCATACACAGGGGTGTCCCAAGGTGCAGGGAGAGGGGTCCCAGTGCCCCCCAAAACCCACTCACTGCCGCTTCAGCTGGTCCAGCGACTTCCTCTCGGCTTGCCGGTGCGAGCGCAGGCTCTTCAAGATGCTGGCCTTGAACAGTGCCACGCCCCTGGGGGACAGGGACAGTGCAGGGTCAGGGGGAGCCCCCAGCACCCACGGGGACCCTCCAGGACCCCAATCCCTCCTGGAAGCCTGCAGGGCAGAGGCTCGGAGGTTCCACATGACGTGCAAGTAGTAGGAGCTGAGGAAGATGCGGCGCTGGAGCAGGAGGAAGAAGAAGCAGATGCTGTCCCAAATGATGCCGGCCTCCTCCACGGGCAGCGTGCAGTCGTGGTCCTTGGGCATCGCCTTGGCTGGCAGGCAGAGGTGCAGGCAGGTCAGGCAGCAGCCCAAACCTGCAGCCCCAAGCCCCCCAGATCGCCCCCAGACCAGCAACTCACGGTTGTAGTAGCCCTTGACGGTGCAGACGAGGCTGAAGAGCTGGATCACCCAGCAGAACCTGCTCTGCATTTGCTGCACGAACACGCAGGACAGGAGCTGCGGGCAGAGAGGGCACGCACGGCTTTGTCACACCCCAGGGGACGCCCAGGGTGACCCGAGGAGAAGCCCGTGGGTCACAACGCACCGAGAGCATGTTTTTGGAGATGATGACGGCGATGTTGTAGAGGATGAGGCAGTCCCAGAGCACGAGGCGGGCGCGGGCCGGCTTGCGCAGCATGGCCGTGCCCGAGAGCAGCAGGTAGAAGCAGGCCAGCACGTAGCCCAGGCCAAAGAGGCTGATGCGGTTGGTACCGGTGATGAAAACCACCACCAGGACGACCCAGAAGAAGTAGTGGAACACCACCACCTTCACCATGTCCAGGTAGGACCTGCGGATGGGGTGGTCAGAGGAGCAGGGCCCTTGTCCCTTCCCAGTCCCCCCACCAGCCCTGTCTTGGGGGACAAAGGGCTTCGTCCCAGTTTATGGCACAAAGCCTGTGAGGGTCCAGCACCATCACCAGGGGTGTCCTGGACCACCTCATCTCCTTCCAGAAGAGCCTCAGGGTGTCCCTGCTCCAGCCATCAGGGGGGTCATGTCCAAAGGGACTCTGGCCCAAAGGGGTTCCAGTCCCATTCTTGAGGATCCCAGCCCGGCAGCTCCCACTGCCTGAAGGTCCCATCCTACCCACACCTCAACGGGTCCCACCCCAGGAGATTGGCCATCCAAAGGTGGGATCTCATCTTGTCCCTACCCCAAAGGGTTCCATGCCAGGGAGGGAGCCCATCCTATCCATACCCCAAGGTCAGAAGGGCTTGCCCTCGTTGCGCAGCAGGGTGATGTAGCCATTCCAGGGGAAGAAGCCAAACTGGAAGAGGTATTTCACCACCACCATCATCTGTGGGGACGCTGGGGTCAGCGGGTGGCAGCAGGGGCCAGGTGGCATCGTCCCTTCGCTGGCCACCCCCTGCCCACCTCGGTGAAGACGATGGCGGTCACCCAGAAGCGCTTGGTGGGCCGGGGGCTGGAAAGCATGGCCCAGAGGAAGACGAGGATGGGCAGGAAGAGGGAGATGACGGAGCCGGTGACCATGTTGTTGAGGATGATGGTGAAGTAACAGAGCAGCTCGGAGTGGCCGGTCCCGAAGCGGTACCCGGCCAGCAGCAGCTTCAGGAACCGGTTGTGGGATCGGTAGAACCGTTCCGACTCCTCCAGCTCGGAGACACACAACCTCCTGCAGGAGGCAGGGCTGGGGTGAGCCCCCCTGCCGCCCCCCCGTCCCCATCCTCATGTCCCCATGTCCCCCTGTGCACCTGCTCTTGAGGAGCTCACTGGCAGTCCGCCTGCGCTGCTGGGGAACGGCCAGGAACTGCTGAGCATCAGCCACGTCCTCCACGTTTATCACCTGCTCCTGGTTGCTGGAAGGAGGGGCAGCTCTTAGGCACCTGCTGGAGATGACAGAGGGATGGGGGCGAGCCCCCTGCCCCGCCTGTGGCGCTCCAGCAGCCCCCTCGGGGGTATCTATGCACCTGCCTGGAAGTGCTGCTTTGGAGCTCTGCAGCCAAGGAGCCGGGCGAGCTCAGCTTCTGCAGCAGCTCCTCCGGCAGCAGCTCTCTCTCGTAGAGCTCATCTGGGAACTCCTGGTTTATCTCCTCTCCCTGCGGCAGGCAGGACGTCAGTGCCACCGCGCGCTGCCACCCCCCGCGCCCCGCTGTCCCCCGGGCTCACCCTGGCCAGCCGCTCCGCCATGACAAATCTCTCGAGGCACAGGACCTGCGACATGTCCGTGTGCTCCCGGGTTTGGCTGTCCAGCCACTGGGTCAGCCCGTCCACCAGGGCCTGGCACAGCAGCCACAGGAACCTCAGCATGTTCAGAACCCGCTGCAAGACGTTGCTGCGCTCTGCCAGGGCAGGAAGAGGCCTGGAGGGTCACTCGTGCCCACCCAGACCTCCCCAGCATCCTTGTGCTGCACTCCTGCTGCCCACCTACCAGAACTTTGCCCATCCTCTTCCTCCTGGCCTTCGGCCCCCTCGGCAGCCTCCACCTCTCTCCTTGTGCCATCCCCTCAAGGGTCAGGCCCCAAGGAAAGACGAACATCATTTTTGGGGCTCTTCCATCCACCACCCCATCCCCTGTCCCCCCGCAACCACCTTAACAACCGGGGTGGGCACCAAAGAAGCTGCACAGCTTGTGCCAAACCCCACTGCAGCCACCAGAGAGTCCCCACACACTCTGGGAGCACCGGGTTGTGTCCCCTCCTGCCCCCCAGCCCTATTTTGGGGTGTCACACCCACCTGCAGCGCTGTCGGTGGTGGGTGGCCTCGGCTGCTCGGGCTGCTCCTGCTGCTGCAGCACCGTCCTGGTGTTGGTCACCCAGGCCTGGTAGGCGAGCTGGAGGGGGACAGGGGCCATCAGCACCCTGGGGACACTGCCAGCCCTCTGGCTGCTCTGCAGTCCCCAGCCCTGCTCACCTGGAAGGCGCTCGGCCTCCCCGGCCGTGGCTCCTCCTGCACCTCTTCCTCCTCCTCGCTGTCCGACTCGAAGAGGAAGTATTCCCCGGAATGCAGCACTGCCGAGAGGACACAGGGCGTCACGGCACGGCCAGGGCCATGGCAGGGGTGTCACACCCCAGGCTGTCCCCACTGCCATCTCCCAGGGCGCTGCCTGGCACCGAGGACACCCATGGGGACATCAAAGCCAACGACTCAACTGCCACGTCCCCAAAGCGGCGTCCCTCCGGCGCCAGCGTTCGGAGGTGACCGACGTCAGTGACCCCAAACCCAGCCTGGCACCCCCAGTCCAACACCCTGTTAGTGCTGGGGGCAGAGAAGCCGTGGTTAGTGCTCTGCCGCCGAGCCTGGGGACAGGGGACATGCAGGGTGTCACCCTGGCCAAGCAGTGCCACCAGCGTCCCTGCGGGTGTTAGCAGTCCCAGCGGAGGGACCTCTCCGAGGGGCTGAGCCCCGTTAGGCCCCGTGCCAGGGCTGTACCTGCGGCGTGGTCTAACCATGGCCGCCACCACCGCTCCCTCTGCCGGGACGGGTCTGCCGGGCCGCCGGGAGCTGCGGGATGGCAGACAGGGCTGAGCAGGGCCCTGCCCAGGGCACCCACCCCGCCGCGGGGGGACTCGGGGCACGAGGGGTCACCACGGTGCTCCACGGGGCTCCACCAGGATGGGCGTTGGCAAAGGGTCACAGTGACACCCGTGTGTCCGGAGAGGGGTTGGGGACACGGGAGGGACCCCCCGGCTCTCACCTGCTCTGGCTCCTTCCTGCCCCGCGCTGGTGGCCAGCTCCTGGTGGTACTTCTGCTGCTTGGCTCGGATCCGCTCCATCCTGGAGGCAGAGGATGCTGCAGAGCCCGCTCCCCCCGGCCCCCGGGGGTACCCCATACACAGGGGTGTCCCAAGGTGCAGGGAGAGGGGTCCCAGTGCCCCCCAAAACCCACTCACTGCCGCTTCAGCTGGTCCAGCGACTTCCTCTCGGCTTGCCGGTGCGAGCGCAGGCTCTTCAAGATGCTGGCCTTGAACAGTGCCACGCCCCTGGGGGACAGGGACAGTGCAGGGTCAGGGGGAGCCCCCAGCACCCACGGGGACCCTCCAGGACCCCAATCCACCTGGAAGCCTGCAGGGCAGAGGCTCGGAGGTTCCACATGACGTGCAAGTAGTAGGAGCTGAGGAAGATGCGGCGCTGGAGCAGGAGGAAGAAGAAGCAGATGCTGTCCCAAATGATGCCGGCCTCCTCCACGGGCAGCGTGCAGTCGTGGTCCTTGGGCATCGCCTTGGCTGGCAGGCAGAGGTGCAGGCAGGTCAGGCAGCAGCCCAAACCTGCAGCCCCAAGCCCCCCAGATCGCCCCCAGACCAGCAACTCACGGTTGTAGTAGCCCTTGACGGTGCAGACGAGGCTGAAGAGCTGGATCACCCAGCAGAACCTGCTCTGCATTTGCTGCACGAACACGCAGGACAGGAGCTGCGGGCAGAGAGGGCACGCACGGCTTTGTCACACCCCAGGGGACGCCCAGGGTGACCCGAGGAGAAGCCCGTGGGTCACAACGCACCGAGAGCATGTTTTTGGAGATGATGACGGCGATGTTGTAGAGGATGAGGCAGTCCCAGAGCACGAGGCGGGCGCGGGCCGGCTTGCGCAGCATGGCCGTGCCCGAGAGCAGCAGGTAGAAGCAGGCCAGCACGTAGCCCAGGCCAAAGAGGCTGATGCGGTTGGTACCGGTGATGAAAACCACCACCAGGACGACCCAGAAGAAGTAGTGGAACACCACCACCTTCACCATGTCCAGGTAGGACCTGCGGATGGGGTGGTCAGAGGAGCAGGGCCCTTGTCCCTTCCCAGTCCCCCCACCAGCCCTGTCTTGGGGGACAAAGGGCTTCGTCCCAGTTTATGGCACAAAGCCTGTGAGGGTCCAGCACCATCACCAGGGGTGTCCTGGACCACCTCATCTCCTTCCAGAAGAGCCTCAGGGTGTCCCTGCTCCAGCCATCAGGGGGGTCATGTCCAAAGGGACTCTGGCCCAAAGGGGTTCCAGTCCCATTCTTGAGGATCCCAGCCCGGCAGCTCCCACTGCCTGAAGGTCCCATCCTACCCACACCTCAAGGGGTCCCACCCCAGGAGATTTGCCATCCAAAGGTGGGATCTCATCTTGTCCCTACCCCAAAGGGTTCCATCCCAGGGAGGGAGCCCATCCTATCCATACCCCAAGGTCGGAATTCCAAGGGTGGAATTCCATTGTGTCCACACCCCAAGGGATCTCATCCCAGCTGGTTCCCATCCCATCCATACCCCCCAGGCATGCCATCCCAGAGGAGTGCCCCATTCACTGCCCTTAGGGAAGGCCCAGCCCCGCTGGGGGTGCTGTGCTGGGGGCACCCACTTGCAGTAGATGAAGTTTGGGGTGGGGTTGTGGTGCTCCTGCTCCCGGTCCAGCCGGTCGGAGTTGTCCCCGGCCGCCTGCAGCCACGGCTCGGAGCGCTCGGCCTCGAAGACGCGCCACTGCTGGGCCACGCACAGCAGCAGCAGGAAATCATCTGGGGGAACAGGGCTCAGCCCGGGCCACAGCCTTCCCCAAAACGCTGCTACCCCCCAAACCCTGCCCCGAGGCGTGGGGCACCCCCATGCTGCCCAGGATGGGGAGCTCTTTAATTCCCTCCAGGCAGGTGGGGCTTTCCCCATCCCCTCCTCCTCTTTAACCAAGTGTGGATCTCTCCAGGCCCCTCCTTTTCCCAAAAAGGGATGGGAAAACAATTAAGGTCCCCCAAAAAGGGGTGGGGTTTGCCATGGCTCCTTCTCCAACGGGGTGTGTGTGGTTTAAGCTCTACCTCCAAAGCAGTGGGGCTCTTAAAGCTCCTCCACCCCTCCTGCCTGTCCTTCCCTGCTCCTGGGGGCAGGATGGACCCAAACGATGGCTGGGGGTCCCAGAGGTCAGGGGGGCTGGAGGAGGGTGACACCCCATGGGCACAAAGGTGCCAGGGGCTGGAGTAGGGGGGCCAGGGGGCTGCCATGGCTATGTCACCCCAAGGGCAGAGGATGCCAGGAGCTGGAGTAGGGGGACAGGACACCAAATGGGCAGGCAGGGGGCTACTCACTGATGAGGTTGGTGGATTTGGGAGCCTCGAAGAAGTCGGGCAGGTAGAGCCACTTGACGAGGGCCGAGTTGAGGGGAATGGTATTGCTCCAGCGCCAGGGATAGTCTGGGGGGCAGGGGGCACCATCAGCGCCAGGCCTCCCCTCCAGCCCCTTCCCAGGGCAGGCCAGCGGTGCCCCACAGAACGGTGGGGTGCCCCCCGTGCCCCTTACCCATGCAGAGGGCGGGTGGTATCCCCAGGCACAGCAGGTACTGGTAGATGAAGTAGATGACGAGGAAGAGGCAGTACTTGGGCCAGAGGCGGGCGATGGCCGCGCGCCGCCGCCGCGTCAGCATCACCACGAGCCAGCAGCCGTGCAGGATCACCACGAAGTTCATCCGCTGCCCGATCACGTTCACCATCATCAGGAAGCAGATCTGGGGGCGCAGGGGGGCTCAGCACCGGGATGCTGCCAGCGCTGGGACCCCCCCAACAACGCCCTTGCTCCCACCTCCAAACCGAACTTGTAGTAGAAGTAGTTGATGAAGTATTTGGCGCAGCTGACGAGGCCGAGGTCCAGGTGCTCGCGGGAGATGTCCTCGAAGACAGTCTCGGTGACGGGGGCCACCAGCTGGTGCTGCTTGCGGTGGTACTGCTGGCGCCGGTACACCACGGCCTCGAACACCAGCAGCAGCAGCACCTGCAGGTGGTTCTGGGGGAGCAGGGCACGCTCAGCACCGCGGCGTGAGGACAATCCCCCCGCGGCGGTCCTCATACACAGCATCCCTCCAGGGTCTCAGAAGAGACGCTCAGGACCACGCTGTGAAGGCAGGGATCCCCTCCGGGTGGTCCCCGCGGTCTCCCCGTGCCCACCTTGACGTATCCCCAGTTGGGGAAACCCTTGCGGATGCCGAACCAGTTGGCAGGGTCCACGGGGCCACGGTAGAGCGTGGAGTTGCCCAGCTCCTCTGGGGTCAGGTTGGTGCCGTTGGGTAGGGGCTGCAGAGGGGAGCACCGGGGGATGGGTCAGCGCCCCCCCAGGTCCCCCCTGCAGCCAGGGAGCCCCCCACAAACCGGCCCCGCTGGGCACACCTGGGTGCAGTTGCTGAAGTACTCGTGGGGGTCCACGACCTCCAGCTGGTAGAGCATCTTGCAGACGATGATGATGCAGGTCCAGACGGTGGAGAGGCACGAGGCCATGTGGCGGAAGCGGCAGTAGGGCACGGCCAAGGTCCACAGCAGCACCAGCAAGAAGTTCATCACCGAGACCTGGGGCAGAGGCCGTGTCTGCACCTGGGGGGGGCCCAGCTGAGCCCCCCAACCCCACTCCCCCAGGGGTACCTCCTCCAGGGCCACCCAGACAGTGTAGAGAGCCACCAACTTGACGACGTGGAGCTCCAGCAGGCGCCTCATGAAGACCTCCCCGCGTGTCACCCTGTCCGAGAAGGCGCGGCCCAGCACGACCAGGCGCTCCAGCACCAGCCCCCATTTGTTGGATGCTGTGGGACACGGACCCTCATGGACACCCCCGCAGACTTGCTGGCACTGAGGAGACCCCAACCCACCCCCTGTGTCCTCCCCAATCCATTTCCACAGCTCCCCAACACCTGGAGAACAACCCAATCCATCCCTGCAACCTCCAGCCTCTTCCTGGCTCAGAGGGCATCCCGATCCAGCCCTGCATCCTTCCAGACTTGGAGGGGACCCCAATAAATCCCTTCACTACACTGGTCCCACTCCAGCTTTCAGGACACCCCAGCTTTCAGGACACCCCTCCCAGCCCATTCCTGGCTCAGAGAACATCCCAGTCCATCCCCACACCCTCCCAGACCTGAAGGACACCCCAATCCATACCCTAAGTCTTTTCCAGGCTTGGAGGATGCCCCAATCCACCTCCATACTGTCCCACACTCAGATATCAACCCAAACCCACCTCCCTACCCTCCCAGGTCCCTCCTGGCTTGGAGGACACCCCCTCCCAGGCTGTGCCCCATCCCTGCCCTGTACCCAGGGACGCCGTGTCCGAGTCTCGGGACCAGGCGGTCTCGGCAGAGGCCACATCCCGCAGCAGGCGGCTCCCGTGCAGCTCCTCAGACCTGTGGGAAGGGGGCTCAGAGCAGGGACGGGGGGCTCGGGGTGCAGGGGGGTCACCCAGCACCCGCTCCTACCTGGGGATGTGGTCTGGGGCCGGAGAGGGGGGGCGGATGTGCTGCAGGTCAGTGATGAGCATGAAGGGCTCGTGGAAGTAGTGGAGCTGGAGGATGCAGGCCAGGAGGAAGAAACCCATCATGAGGATGCTGGAGAAGAGCTTGGAGACGCTGAACTGCTGCAGGCCCATGTCGCTCAGCCTGGATGGGGACAGGAGGGTCAGCACGGGGTCTCATCCATCCCACCCCAACCAGGCACTGACCCCCACACCAGGGCTCAACCCCAACCTGCTCCGTGCCTCGGTTTCCCCAGGTGCAACCCAGCCCTTGGCCATGCCCTGGTGCCACCTCGGGGCTGGTGCCAGCAGGGACCCCACAGAGGGCAGGGGACACTCACTGGTCATCGTTGAGGCCCGTAATGTTCCTCCAGTACATGGGGAAGTCCTCAAACTGGTAGGTGTAGGTGGCGATGAGCACCAGCATGGTGTAGGCCACCACCAGCCACCAAAAACCCTTGAGCACCTTGCGCCACAGGCTGTAGTACACCTGCGGGGACAGGGACATCAGCAGGGCCACCCTGGAGATGGCACAGGCCCCCAGGGGTCCCCAGCCCCTGCACCTGGAACAGCATGAGGCAGAGGAGCAAGAGGAGCATGTAGACGATCTTGTAGAGGACGAGGCGGCCGGCGAAGGTCACCACGATGAACTTGGCAGCGCAGACACAGATCCAGAACTTGGCAAAGAAATTCCTCACCACCTCCCCCAGCTTGTGCAGCACGTCCCGCATCTGGCTGGTTTCTGTGGGGCACGGAGGGGCTGCAGCAGCTGGGCGGGGGCACCGGGGTCCCCCCCACAGCGGCGGGGTGCTCGGCGTGGGTGACACCAGGAGCCCTCACCTGTCTCTGCCACAGACACCTCCAGCAGCGGCGTGGCCGGGGCCCTCCTCGTTAGCACCTTCTCGGTAACGAACCTCCGCAGCAGCATCCAGAAGGTCAGGGTGAGCAGGAGCTGCGGGGACAGGCGGTGAGCGGGGACAGCCGGGCGCTGTCCCACAGGGGTGTGACAGTGACAGTGCCACGCTCACCTTTGCCCCCAGGGCCATGCAGGGATAGTTGGGATGCACCAGCCCCAGCGGCTGCAGATGCATGAAGCTGATGTGGGTGGGCAGCTCGGCGACCACGTCCATGGCCCAGACGTACTGCAGGCTGCACAGGGCGATGGCGTAGAGCACCAGGAAGGGCGAGCACAGCATGGCGAAGTGCCGGCGGCTCCGCACCGTCCAGATCAGGCACGCCCAGAGCAGCAGCACGAAGGTCAGCCAGCTGTGGTACATGATGCTCCACACCTGCGGCCAGGGAGGATGAAGGCTCAGCCCACGAGGTGCCCCCACCATGGCCGTGTCCCCTCCCCAGGGCCGTGTCCCCTCCCCAGGGCCGTGTCCCCTGCCAGCTCTTTACCATCATGGCGATGAGGGCGGACACGTAGCTCTGCTTCATGAGGACGTGGCCCAGGCTGCGCAGGGGCAGCCACGCCGACGGATGCCTCCTGCCTGGCATGGGGAGAGGGAGCGTGAGGGACCCCAGGATCCAGGCAGGGTTTGGGGAGGGGCAGCACGAGGCACCCCCAGGATCCAGGCAGGGTTTGGGGAGGGGCAGCACGAGGCACCCCCGGGATCCAGGCAGGGTTTGGGGAGGGGCTGGGGTCAGACTTACGTGTGTTCAAGACGTGGACGGTGCAGTTCTCGGTGCTGGTGCCCGGTTTCCCAGTGCTGGGGTAGAGCATGGGCTGAGGACAGAGAGGGCTCAGAGTCCATCCTGGCACCCCCGTCCCGCACCCATTCCCTGCACAGCCCCCCCCAAACCCACCTTGGTGTCCTCAGCCACACGGTGGGTGTCCTGGGGCCAGCTCTCCAGCTCCACCAGGTCCCTGGGACGCGGCCGTGCCGGTGCCACGGTTCTCTGCGAGGGGCAGAAGCCAGCTCAGGGCACCCACTGCCACCACTGGGGAGCAGGACCCTGCCCCAGCCCCCTGCCAAGGCACCCCACACTGTGGGCACCCCACTGCCCCCATCTCCCTTGCACCAGCGCCAGGGCAGCCACAGCCAGGCACATCGTCACCAATGTCACCGCTGTCACCAGCGGGGTCTGGCTCAGCCCTGCAGCCCCTCACCTTGGCATCCCGCCAGCGCAGCTTCACCAGGGTGGCCACGGTGTAGTAGAGCAGGAGCAGGACGCCAGGGTTGGCGTAGACGGGCCAGGGGTGGCTGTTGTTGAGGTCCAGGGTGTTGGGCTGGGAGCAGTTGTAGTACAGGATGATGTCCTTGAAGCCAAACACCCTGCGGGGACAGAGGAGCTGGCATCAACCCCAGCCAGCACCAGGAGCCAGGCTCACCATCCCAGAGGGATGCTCTGGATGCCCTCCCCGGGCTGGGACGGGGCAGCTCAGCCGGGCACAGCTCCCTCCCTGGGACTCACCGTGCCCAGATGGTGGGCGGTGGGAACACCCCCTGGACGAAGGGGGTCTGGTAGGCATAGAGGCACAGCAGGTGGCAGGCGCTGTAGATGCCAACCAGGATGCAGAAGACGTTGAAGGCCTGGTGGCTGGAGGGGAGGTGACAGGCCCACCACGTGCACAGCCCCATGAACAGCAGGAAGTAGACGCTGGAGGAGGCGGAGGGCAGGGTGATCCCTGGGGAGCAGAGCCCACGGGCGGTCAGTGCACAGCCCGGCAGCCCCCTGGGCTGAGCAGCATCCCCTGGGCCGAGCAGCATCCCCTGGTCTGAGCAGCATCCCCTGGGCTGAGCAGCATCCCCCTGGGACGAGCAGCATCCCTCTGGGACGAGCAGCATCCCCCTGGGCCCAGCATTCCTCCTCAGAGCAAGCATCCCTTCCCCTTGGACCGAGTTTTCCACCTTGGATCAAGCATCTCCTTCCTCTTGGTCCAAGCTTTTCCCCTTTGGACTCTAAGCCCGTCCTCAGACCACACATCACTCCTGCTTGGAATGAGCATCCTCCCTCCTTGGACTGAGCATCCCCTCCCTCTCCAGACCAGGCATCTCTTCCTCCACAGAGCAAGCGTTTGACCCTCAGAGTGAGCAGCTCTCCCCTGGACTGAGGTTTCTCTCTTGGATTGAACAATCACCCCTTCTCCTTGCACAGTTTTCCCCTCTGGACCAAGCATCCCTCCCTCCCTGCACTGAGCTTTCCCCTTGGATGCAAAACCCTCCCCTGACGCACCAACCACGCTTTCCCTCGGACCGAGCATCACACCCACCCCGGACCGAGCATCCCCCCTTTGCACCAAGCATCCTCCCCAGCAGCTCGCCCCCCACGTGCCCCCCAGGCCGTGCCCACCTGCCAGGGCCAGCAGCAGGATGCTCAGGCCCTTGCCAGCCTCCCAGAGCAGGGAGTGAGCCTTGTCCCGCAGCCGGCTCCGCAGCCGCGAGTCCCTGTGCGCCGCGCGCCGCTGCCGCCCCGCGTCCTTCTCTTCCCTCTGCCGGGGAGAACCGGCGTGCTCTGAGCTCAGCGAGCCGGCCCCGGGCAGCTCCGGGCCGTGCCTCAGTTTCCCCGCTCTGCGGAGGGCAGGACTGGCCGGCCGGGCGGGCTCAGTGCCCGGCACCTGGCCGTGTTTATCTGTCAGCCGCCTGGAAAGCGCCTCCTCAGGGCGCCTGTTTTCCTTGGCTCCGGCAGCCGGCTTCCCAGCACTGAGCTTTTTTCCAGGCTCCCTCCCGGGCTCACGGCAAAGGCATCCCTGCCGGCCGCTGCTCCGGTTACAGCCCGGCACGGCCGGGGCCAGCCTCACAGCCGGGGCTGCTGGGGAGCCACTGGGGCTGTGTCTGCCACCAGCACAGTGTCCCTGTCACCTGCTGGCACTGCCAGGTGGGGCTGGCACGGCACGAGCGAGCTCGAGCTGGGGGCCTGCACCCCAAAAACACCCACCCCATAAACACCCATCCCATATACACCCACCCCATAACTGCCTGCACCATAAACACCCACCCCATAACTGCCCACCCCACAACTGCCCACCCCACTGTCCCAGCTGTTTGCCACCCTCCCTGCAGCAATGCCAGCACAAACACAGGCACTCCCGCACGGCTGAGTCACCCTAAGCTGTGTGACAATGACCAAGCCCTCTAACCTGGCCAAAACTGCCCCAAACTGGGTCTCCAACCCCTGGGGATGTCCCCATTCCAAGCCCCAGGCTGTGCCCAGGGAAGGGACAGGGGCCAGCCAAAGACAGGCTGGCAGGGACCCGGTGGCATGCGGATGGTGGGATGTCCCCATGGCAGTGGGGGTGGCTCTCACCCACTCCGAGGACTCCAGGGACTCGGGATTCCCTCTGGAGGGGGCAGGGCTGAGGCGGCGGCACAGGCACAAGGACAGTGACGAGACCAGCAGGATGCCAACGTCGGGTGCCACCAGCCGCACCGAGTTGAGAATGTCACTCAAGTCCAGCCTGGGGGGCAGAGGAGGGCTCAGGGGTGACCCCCCAGCCACTGCCAGCCCCCAGCCCCACAGATGAGAGTGCCCTTACCTGGTGACCCCTATGTGCCGAGCCAGGACCTCCCAGGAGCTGCCTGTGGGGAGGAGGGGGGCACTGAGGGGGACAGACCCCAGTGGGCAGGCACTGGGCACCCCCCAGCACGGGGAGAACACTCCCATCCATGGCAGGATGGGCTCTGTGCCCAGTGCAATGGGCACCCTGGCATGGCACGGGATGTCCCCAGAGGTGGCACGTGGCTGGGACCCTGCAGAGCCTCAGCAGCCCCCCAGCAGCACAGGGAGCAGGGCTGGGGGTGGGTGGGTGGGTGAGGGTGGGCACGGGCACCCCCTACTCACAGCTGGGCCCCAGCAGCTGGTCCAGGACGGGCAGTGTGTACAGGCATATCTGGAAAACCAGGTGGGCGAGGAGGAAGAGGATGCTGATCCCCAGCAGAGCTTTGAGGATGCGGCTGCTGTGACCTGTGACAGGGGCAAAGCTGTCACCCACCAGCCAAGGACACCAGCAACCCCAGCAGGGACCCTCAGGAAGAGCTGGGAAGGGAGCACTGTGCCAGAGATTCCAGGGCTCTGCCCCAGGGTCGGGATCCCACCAGGGCTCTGCCCTCCCCCAGCCCAGGACCACCCTGCAGCCCCAGCTGGCACTTCCCTGGCCCTGCTGGCCTGGGACCACCCCAGGGTGCAATCAGCACCCCAATCCCTGCTGGACATCCCAGGGAAGGCTCCAGGGGTCCCCATCCCTGCTGGAACACCCTGGGGATGGCTCCAGGGGTCCCCATCCCTGCTGGAACACCCTGGGGATGGCTCCAGGGGTCCCCATCCCTGCTGGAACACCCTGGGGATGGCTCCAGGGGTCCCCATCCCTGCTGGACATCCCAGGGATGGCTCCAGGGGTCCCTCCCACTCCAAAGCTTGTCAGCCCTTCCACCAGCTGCAGCCGTGCCCCCATCCCAGCCGGCTCTCCCCCCATCCCAGCCGGCTCTCCGGGCCCTGTGCCCGTTTTCCTGGCCAGGGGGTGGGGTGGGCAGCGAGCCCACCACAGCTGTGAGCTGCCCTGGGGGCGGCCCCGGGCCAACAGCTCTCCCTCCACTTGTTTTTTCCTGTAAATCCAGGCAAAGGCTCTCGGCAGTGCCGGGATCCGGGGCCGTGCGAGCCCATGAAATATTCAGAGGGTAAAGCTTTCAGCTGTGGCCGTGCCAGGCGCTGGGGGTGGGCTCCAAGCCGGGCACAGGGGGGCTACGGGCACCTGCCCCGGTGTGGGTGACCCCCGAGGCCACCAGGACGCCCCGGGCAGGGCGGAGGGGCCGCTCGTGGTGTGCCCACACAGCCCAGCCCTGAGGTTTTTGGTTAATAAGGCTCCAAACCGGCCCTTGTGGAGCACCAGGGCTATTAATAGCCCCTCTGGGCTATAATTAACAGAGAGAGGCTCCACACGGAGCCACAGTGCCCAGGCGGGGTGAAACCGCAGCGAGGTGCCCGCGGGAGGGGGTGGCAGCTGCCCTGGTGCCCACCCCCCGTGCCAGCCTTACCTGTGGTGAAGCGCGAGGAGGGCCCCGGGAACCAGGGCAGGAGCAGCAGGAAGAGCAGGTACACCAGGGACAGGACGTTGTAGCGGAAAAGGCAGGCTGGGGACAGAGGGACAGGGTTAGTGACAGCCATGTGGCGCAGGGAGGGCTCACAGCTGCACCCCCCCCTCACCGTGGGGAGCCCCAAAAGAGGGGCAGCCCGAAATGCCAGGTGCTGCTGGGGCCCTGGGTGATGCCAGGTAGGACGAGGGGGTCAAGCCCCCAAAAAAGTGCCATCAGAAAGAGAGACACAGGCCGTGCCACTCCTGGGGACCCACATTGGTGACAAGGAGAAGAGGGGACACCAGAGGTCCCACACACACGGGGTGACAGGGGAAGAGGAGCCATGAGACAAATCTGCAGCGTTTCCACATCACTCCCACCAAAGCAGCTGGGCACTGCAGGGACCCCCAGCCGTGACCCCTGCAGGGCTGGCACAGCACCTGCCCCCTGCCCTGCTCTGGGTGTGCCACCAGCCCAGCACCTTCCCCCTCACTTATTTTTAGACCTAAATTACAGCTTGTTTGCAGGCACGAAACTGCCCGAGCAGCCGGGCCGAGCCAGCGCCCTGCGGGGACAGGGACGGGGACGGGGACAGGGACGTGGCGGGGCACCTGCCACCCCAGCTAGGGACTCAGCGTTCCTGTCACCACAGTGACAGTGACAGCCAGCAGCACATGCACCAAGACAGGGACGGGGACAGGGACGGGGACAGGGCACCTGCCACCCCAGCTAGGGACTCAGCGTTCCTGTCACCACAGTGACAGTGACAGCCAGCAGCACATGCACCGGCAGGGGCTGGGAGCAGCCACGGGGCAGCCCCGAGGGCGCGGGGATGGGCACGGGCAGGATGTCCCATGTCCACCGGGACACCCCCGGGACCAGTGCCCGGCTGGGGACAGGGACATGAGCTTTGTCACCGTGCTCCGGGCAGTCCCAGGACATCCCCCATCCCCTCTGCTGCAGACCAGGGGGATGGGGGGGTCCCTCTGGGACAGCCCAGGGAGGGGACAGCCACAGCGTTGGTGACCCTGGCTGTGCACGGCCAGGGCAGAGAGCTGCTCCCCTTGGCACCACACCTGGGCAGGGGTGACACGGGGGGGTGACACGAGGGGGGTGACACGGGGGGGGCTCAGCCCTGACCCCGTGGGACCGGGGGGGGTGAGGGGGGCCCGGCCGGGCGCCAGGGACACGCTCAGCACCGCAGCCCGGCACAGCCCTTCCTGTGTTTACCAGGTTTCAATGGGACAACACATCCTGGGGAGAGGGACAGCGCGGGGACACGGCACAACCCGGGGGACAGCGGGGCACTCTCGGGGACAGAGCCCCGGGACACGTCCCACGCTGGGGCTAGAGCCAGCTCCGGCCCCGCTGGGGGTCCCCAGGTGTCCCCAAGGCTGCGAAGCACAGCCTGGCCCCGAGCAGGGCTGGGGGGCACCGGGACCGCCACCAGCGGCCACCTCCCCGCGGTGCCCCGGGACGCGTCCCCTCCCGCAGCCGCTGCCGAGGGCTCCTGGCTGTTTCGGCAAACCATGATCTCATGGAGCAAATATTCCAGCCGAGAGGAGCCTTCCCGGCACGGGGGCGAGACGCTGCTCCGGCTTCCGTGGGAGCCAGGCAGGGCCCCTCGGTCACTGTCACCTTGGCCAGTGGCAGCGCCACCCAGCCAGCTGTGAGCCACCCCAGCGTGAGCCCCCGGCCCTGCACGGCCACCTCCTGGGCACGGGTGGCACCGAGGGCACGCGGTGGCACGGCCGGGAGCCGCGGCGAGAGCGCGGATCACCGCCGGGCACCGGGGGCACCCGCCCGCCGAGCCCGGCGTTCGGTGCCAGGGGGTCCTGGGGGTGCTGCTGGCTCCCCCTGCACCCCTCAGGCTTCACCAGGAAACCTCCCAGAAGCGCTCGATGGCTTCAGCCAGCATGGCAAAGGGGGGAAAGGAGGGAAAGGAGGCGGTGGCAGGTGACAGCTTGCTTTGGGGGCACCCTCGGAGCCCGGCCTGGCACCCCCGGCTGCAGCGGGCGTGCCGTGCCCGGGTGCGTGGGTGCTCCGTCCTGCACAGTCGGAGGGAACCGGTTCCCCGCAGTGCTGACGGCGGGGAAAGCGCAGGCACGGGGAGAAAAACCAGTTTGGCGTGTGGGGAGAGCACACCCGCCCTGCAGCAGCCGGCTGGGGGTGGCTGCAGCACCGGGGCACCCACAGCCCCCTCCCCACGCAGGCAGGGCCCTCGCCCACGACACCCACGGTGCCTCTCTGAGCACTCACCTTGTCCCCTGAGCCAGGTATCCAGAACTGGCACCCCAAATCCTGCCCGCCCAGCCCCGTGACCCCCGAGCAGCCCCCACGCCGCCGGGAGCTCCCCGCCACCGCGGCCGGCACCGGCAGCACGTGAAATATTAACGACATTAATGAGCCGGGAGGAGGATAAATTACAGATAAATTACAGCACTGGCGAGCTGGGCGGGATGTGCCGGGGTTCCTCCACGCCAGCCTTAATTGAATTTCCCCGTGGGAGGGGATTGGGGTCACTGGGCACCCCTGGCAAAGTGGGGGCAGCCAGGAGGAGTGGGCACCAGCGCCTTTCCCAGGGCACTGGGCTGGGAAGAGGGCTGGGGTCTGGCACAGCCCCACCACTGCACTCCCAGCCAGCTTCCAGCAGGGATCCATCCCAGCTGCACGGGGAGAGGGGGCTCCCAGACCCCCAGAGCTGGGGGAGCCCCCCAGAGCAGCCCTGCAGCATGGCTCTGCGCCCACACCGCGCTCGGCGCCGCTGCTCTGCCGGGACCTGCTCAGGATTAATTAGCAGAGCTCTTTAATTCCCTGCCCTGCTCCCTCACACGGCCCGTTACCTGCTGCTGGGGCCAGGCAGCTCTGCCAAGCTGCCTCCCAGGTCACCAGCCCCAGGGACCCTGACAGGGTCCCCAAGGTGTCACTTGGCTCCCAGGACTCGACTCTGCACCGGCTGGCTGCAAACCAGAGGCGGGGTGAGGAACCCAGAGGCCTCATCCCAAAATCCCAGCAGTGTCATTATCCCTGTCCCAAAATCCCGTCGCTGCGGCTCTCCCTGTCCCAAAATCCCATCACTGCGGCTCTCCTGTCCCAAAATCCCAGCAGCCCCAAAGCAACAAGCCCTTGGGCGAGCGGAGCTGGCCAGCGGCACATTCCCAGGCTCAGCCCCTCTTTCCAGGAAAGAGCAGCCCCACCGGCTCACCCACCATATCCTGTTTTTGTGGAAAGTTCATCCCAGCTCCCGACCCTGCTCCTGGGAATGCCACAGGGATGCCCCAGGAGGGCTCCGGGCCGGGTGCCAGCGGGTGCCCCGGCTGCCAGCCTGGCAAATCCCAGCGTCAGCCAGGAGCTCGTGCCACGGGACAGGGAGCTCAGGGGACAAGTGTCAGGGACACCCCCGTCCCTGGCACACGCCAGGAGGGCACAGCCCGTGCCACAGGGCTCCCAGAGGACACATGAGGACACACATTCCCAGGGCCACCAACGTTCCCAGTGGGGCCGTGACCGTGGCTGCCATGTGGCAGCGCCAAGCTGTGCCCAAACCCTGCTGTCCTCACCCAAAGGGGACCCGCTGCACCCCTGGGGAGCCCCCCACGGTGTCCCCCACCTCACTGGGGCTGTGGGGGCTCCGTCCTGGGCAGCCTGGCCCTGCATCTCCATCCCATCTTATCCTGCCATCCCATTTATCCTGCCATCCCACCCCCTCCCCTCCCCCTGCGCCCGGGAGGAAGCAGCAGTTATTGCTCTTGGAGACAGCGGTGGCTTTGCTTTTTTTTAATTTTTTTTTATTTTTTTAAAATAGGGCTTTTTTTTGCCTCCTCTATTTTATTTCCCTGGGTTTTATAAAAAGCACCTGACCGCAGGAGGCAGCTGCTGCAGCCCACGCTGGCACACCCAGCTGGGCTCCAGCCCGGTGGCACCCGGGACCCCCAGGGACCCTGCCCGGGCAGGGGGGGGCTGTGTCCCCACACCAGGGGGGTCGGGGGGCACCAGGGGAAGGGGGTGCCACCCTCACCCATCACCTCTGCCCACGGAGCCACGGATCAGCGTGGCCACGACCGGCACTGGGGGTGCCCGGTCCCCCCTTGTGGGGATGTGCTGTGCCCCCCACAGCGGCTCCAGCACGCCGCAATCCCAGCAGGAAGGACGGAGCCGGGGTGGGGACACAGCCCAGGCAGGGCTGGGACCCCCCAGCGCTGTGCCAGCCGGGGGAAGCCGGGGGGCTGCCCCGCGCCCCGGGCCCGAGCCCTGAGCCTCCACTCGCCCCGAGCTGGCCGGGAGCCGCGAGCAAACATCCTCCGGACGTTCGGGGAGAGCCGAACTGCCAGGAAAGGCGGCTCGAGCTGCGGGGCAAACCCTTCCCCCAGGTGCAGCGGGACGAGCCACACCCCCCGTGCCTCAGTTTCCCCCGGCTGCTCCTGCGAGACCCCTGGGCGCTGCTGAGTCACCCCCTCTCGTCAATCAGCTGGAGCAGGACCGAGTCCCCGCCCAAGCGGGGCCCCAAATTTAAACAAGCCACCTACAAGCTCAGCGCGGGGAGGGGACAGCAAGGCCACCGGTGTCCCCAACTGCGGGGGACCAGCGCTCCCCAGCGTACCCCGTGCCGGAGCAGGGGGCAGAGCCAAGCAAGCCCGGCAGGATTTGGGGCCAAATCAGCGTTCTTTGGAGCAGGAGGGCCCCGCGGGAGGCTGGCCCCGAGGCCACGTGTCGCCCCGGGCACCCATGGGATGCACCCGGCAGCTCCCGCGCCCCGGCCCGGGCAGCGCCGCAGCCCCCGGGGCCAGCCCCGCTCGGGGCTGGGCTCTAAGGAACCTCCTGACATCCTGCGCGATGCTCTGAGTCACTGCCCCAGCAAACCGAAGCAAAAGCAGCTTTTTTTTTTTTCCAAGAGTCACCGACTTCCTCCGCCGCAGCGAGGCTGTGTCCGGGGCCAGCGCCCCGAAACCCAACCCCGCTCCCCAAAACGCAGCTGGGCACGGGGCTGCTCGGCTGGACGCCCTTCCCTCGGCCGGCCGCGTGTCCCTCTCTCTCTCCAAGTGACACTATCCCAAAAGTCCTTCTAGGGCCACCCCAGAGCTTCCCGGGGCTCAGCCCCCCAGCAGGGCTGGTGCGAGCCCGGTGTCGGTGGCAAACAGCCCTGGCACAAGCAGCCCCTCGAACGATCCTCGCTATAAAGAGGTTTTTCCTTTGCGTTTACGCAAACGCGGTGTCCCCGAAGAGGCTCCGGAGCAGGCGGGCTTCAAAGAGCCGATTCTTGTCCTGCGCGTCCCGGGACACGGGGATTTTCCAGGCCGGTGGCCAGCCGGTTGCCTCGGTGGGTGGCACATCTGCCATCAAAGGCCGACAGTGCTGCGAACGGGCTGGTGGCAGCCTGGGCACCGCCGAGCCGCAGGGACTGGGGTGGGCACTCTGCTTGCCGGGACCCACCCGGGCACGGGGACAGGGTGGGCGCCACAGCCCCCCGGGCATCGCCCACGCCGCCGGAACCACCTCCGCACCCCAGCGTGCCACCGCGGCACAGCGACCGCGGCGACACGGCTGTGACCCAGCTGGGTCACCTGCACCGCGGACAGCCCCCGGGGCATCGGGGGGGACACGCACACACCGCCCGCCCCGGAGAGAGCGGCAGCGCTCCCCGCGAGCGGGCTCGGTCACGGCGGGGTCTCGGGTCCCCGCGGGGGGACAGCACCGCCCGTCCCGGCACCGGCGGCTCCGGGATCCCAGCCGCGGTTCCTGCGCGCAGGGATTCGCTCGTCCCCGGCTTCCCGGCGCTTCCCGCGCCCCTCGCCCCACGTGCCGGGAGAGCCCCCGCGCCCCGCAGCCACCGGGACAGCCCCGGGGCGCGCCCCGAGCCACCCTCCCCACGGGCGGGGGTCGCAGCCCGGTCAGCTCCGGGGGATCCCCGCACTCACCGGCGAGCAGGGCGAGCGGCAGCAGCAGCCAGTAGAGCCCCTGGCAGAGCCCCCGCCGGTTCATCCCGCCCGCGGCGGGGGGGGCCCGGCCCGAGCCGCTCCGAGCCGTTCCGCCCCGCCGGGGCTGGGCTGGGCTGGGCAGGCCCCGGTGCCGACGCCGCTGCCCGGTCCCGCGGCGCCCGCCGGCACCGCGCCCGCCGCCGACACCGACACCGGCCCCGCAGCCCCCAGGTTCCGCTTTTTGCGGCCGGGGGAAAAAAAAAATAGCGACTAAAAAAAAAAAAAAGAAGGAAAAAAAGAAAAGAAAGATAAGCAGATGTGTTTCTTGTTTATTAAGTTCGAAAAGAAAGAAGTCGGAACTTGTTCTTGTTGAGTGTTTGTTGGTGATACCAGGGTTGGGAGCTGTGCATGGAGCGGGGAGCTCGGGAGGGCTCCCCCAGGAGCTGATGTGCAGCTCTGGAGCTGGGCGCTGTGACCCTGGAGCGGGGGAATTATCCTGTGACCCTGGAGGTGGGGAATCATTCCGTGTTCCTGGAGCTGGACCCACAGTCCCACATTCCCAGAGCTCGGTGCCCACTGCAGACCCACACCCCCATGGAACCGGGAGCCCAGGTGTGGGGAGTTGGGGTCACATCTGGAGCTGGGCTGGCTCAGTCCCGAATCCCAACCCAAATCCCGGTGGGAAGGTGCCAGGCCCAGCTGGTGGCACGGGCAGCATGGCCGGTGACACCTGGCAGTGCTGGTAACCACCAGCCTCCAGCAGGAACCACCGGCCCGTGAAATTCTCCACATTCCTTGGCTTCCCTGCGCTTGTTTTCCCAACAGGGTTCATGAACTGGCATCCAGCTGGCACACTGCCCGACTGCTCCCCACTCTCCTCTGGGCTCCCTCCGGAACTCCACGGCCTCCTCCTCACCCCAGCTGTGCCCCAGCTGTGCAGGCACTCCTGCCCACCCATAACCCCCAAAGCAGGATGGGCCTGGTGCTCCCCAGCGTGTGGATCCAGGGGTTCAGTGGGCACAGCTCCTCGTGGGAGCATCCTCATCATGGGGACTCAGCACGGGGATCCGGAGGGAGCTGCTCGTGTAAATGAGACACTTGTCCTCACAAAAAAGTGAAGTTCAGCACTAACACCACGTCTGGATATGGGAATTACCCCTGCCCACACCCCACTGCCCCCTGGCCAGCAGGGATCCAGGAAAGGGTGGTGCAGGCACACGCAGCCAGGCGGGGAATGGAGGCTGTGGAAGCAAACGGGCACCGGGAATGGCACCCCAGAGCCCTGCCCTGCCCGGCTGAGTCCCGGCTGCACTCTGCCAGCCTCGCTCGGGTTTTACGAGGGATGGGGCAGACCCGTGAGGCTCCATAAAGTGCTGTGGGCACGGCCTGAGTGCCTGGTCTGGCAGCGACGGGCCAGAGGCTTCTCCCAGCTCCGGGCACTGCCGACAGCACAGGGGCAGGGAACGGCGGGCAGGGGCACAATGCAGGTGCTCCCGCAGCCCCTCGTCCCCGTGCCACCATGGAGCTCCCGGTGGAAGCCAGGCAGGGCTTGGCCCCACGTGCACCGGGAGGAGCAGCTGAGGGGGTGACCACCGGCACCATTCCAATGGAAATTCCCGGCTTTTTCCTCCCCAGCCCCAGCCAGAGTGGGCAACATCCATCCCTGCCCACGGTGCATCAGCTGGTCCCTCACCCAGCAGGGCCGGACCCCCCGTCCCCCCGGAGCTGTCCCGGTCCCCTCTGGAGCTGTCTCGGCCCCCCCGGGCCCCCACGTGCAGCACCGCTCCGGGGGTGCGGCCCCTTTAAGAGCCCAGTGGCGCCAAACCCGCCTCACGTGACCGCTGCCCGCCCCCCGATGGGCGGGGCCTCGGCGCGCGGGCTCCCGCCGAGCGAGAAGCGCGCGGGACCGGCCGCACGTGTTCCTGGGAGCGGGACCGGGACCGGGATCGGAACCGAGACCGAGATCGAGATCGGAACCGGGACCAGGACCGGGACCGGGACCGGGACCGCGGCCATGGCCCAGCTCCGCCTCACCGACTTCTTCAGCCAGACAAAAGCGACCACCGGAGCCCCGGCCAAGCGCAGCGGCGGCCGCCTGCTCAAGGCCGGCCTCGCCGCTCGCCCGGTGCACCGGCAGGAGGAGGATGGTGTCCCGGCGGGGCTCGGCGGCCGCTCGCTGCCGCTGCCCGGCTCTCCGCGCACCCCGGCCCGCGGGGGCTCCCCGGCCCTGCGGGGCCTGGCGGGCAGGAAGCGGAGCCGCCGGGAGATGGAAGCGGGGTCGCCGGTCGGGGCCCGGCTCCGGGAACCGAGCGGGAAGTCGGCGCGGAAGAGGCTGGAGCTGCCCCGGGATGCGGAGCCGGGGTCTCCGGGAGCGGTAGGGGGATGGTGGGGTCGGGGATGCGGCCCTGAAACGGGCTGGGGGAGGATAAGGGCGTGGGGGGTGAATGGGTGCGTGTGGAGCCGTAAAACGACAGCCCCCCAAGCGTTCGACCCTTTTTCCCCGTGCAGGACCCCCCGAACTCGCCCCCCCTTCTCCTGATTCACAATCCCCCCTCACCGGGACTTACCCCTGCCCCAAATGCACGAGCCCCAAAACTCGTCCCCTTCAGCCCCTCTGCCCCCCGGGCTTGCCCCCTGTCCCTATTGCAGACCCCTCTGTGGCTCCCCCTCCCCGTGCAAGACTTTGGGGGGCACAGGGGAAGGGGTCCAGGCGGGTGGGGTCCCCGGACAGTCCCTAACTCTCCTCTCTCTTGCAGGCCACCAGCTCTTCGCCTCTGGCCACTCCTCGACCCCCGACACCGCTCTCACAGGACCCGGCCGTGTCCCCCCCGGCCAGCAGCAGCGGCTCCCCGGGCCGTGGGCAGGACACGGGGACAGAGCCCGGCCCGGCAGCCCCGGGGCCGGCCCGGCGCCTGCAGCGGGTACGGGCCGATCCCGGCTCTGCTCCCGGTACGGGTGGATCTGGTGCCGCGTGTCCCGCTCTGACCCTGTGTCCCCTCCCTGCCCAGGAGGACGTGGCCGAGCTGCAGGGCCGCCTGCAGAGGATGAAGGTGCTGGGCCAGGTCCCCCGTGTCCCCAGCGGGACCAGCAGTGACCTGCGGAGCCGCCTGGAGCGCGTGCGGCAGCTGGAGCAGCGCGTGCGGCAGAGGAGAGCGGCCAGCGGGGACACCGGGGACAGCGGGGACCCCGGGGTGGCAGCTCCTGGGGCAGAGACCGGGTGAGGAGCAGCTGCAGGGGGGATTTGAGGGGGCTGCCACAGCCCTGAAGTGGCTTTGTGGCGGTCTGAGGGGGCTCTGAGCCTTGTGACACCGATGTCCCCAGGTGGCGTGGCCCCAGTACCGACCCAGAGAAGGGGTTTGGGGTGGGCTGCGAGGTGGGCACTGTGCCAGCAGCAGGGCCCTGACCCCTCCTGTCCTTCCCACAGCCAGAAGCCCCCGGCGTACCAGCGCTTCCACACGCTGGCCCAGGAGCTGCCCCCGGGGCTGACGCTGCCCTACAAGTTCCGAGTGCTGGCAGAGATGTTCCGCAGCGTGGACACCATCACCGGGATGCTCTTCAACCGCGCCGAGACCGTCACCTTCGCCAAGGTCAAGCAGGGCGTGCAGGACATGATGCGCAGGTGAGTTGGCCCGTTTCGGGGTCCCAGCAGCCCGTTTTGGGGTCCCAGCTGAAGCTCTGGGGGTCCCCAACGTCTGTGGTGCTGTCACAGGCAGTTTGAAGAGCAGCACTTGGGGCAGATCAAGGCTGTGTATCCCAGCTCGTACCGGCTGCGCCAGGAGAAGAACGTCCCCACCTTCGGCAGCGGTGGGAAGAAGAAGTCTGAGTATCAGCTCACGCTGGAGCCAGTCCTGGGGGAAGGTATGGATGGTTTTGGGGTGCCTGAGAGCTGGGGTATGCTCAGTCCTGGCTGATCCCTGAATCCATAGGGATTCTCTCTGCTTGGTCCATTAAATGGAGCCCCTGAGTGTGCTGGAAGTGGGAAGCACGTTTGGGACAGGAGGGAGAACGTCCAGGCAGCAGCTCAGCTCCATGGCAGGGCTCTGGTCCTGTCCTCCTGAGGCTGCTGTGGTCTGTGCCCCGCTGGGGTGCTGTGGGTGACACTCGTGTCCCTCCTGGCAGAGGAGAAGGTGGATGGGCGCCCACACCTGTCGGCATCACGGCTGCTGGAGCGCCGGAGGGAATTCCACCGCAACCTGGTGAACATCGTCAGGGAGCACCACAAGGTGAGGGGCACCTGGCACCCCCTGCTCGGGGGTTCTCACTGGTGCCATCCAGGCTGAAGGACACTGAGGTTCCTCTTGGAGGTGGGCTCTGAATTCGCTCCCTGTGTCACCAAGCTGTGCTGGGAGCACAGGGCAGCGGCTGCCTCTCCCTTCCTGGTGCCACAACACAGCTCTCACCCCTCTCCAGGCGTTCCTGGCTGCCCTCAGCCCTCCCATGGTGGTGCCAGAGGAGAAGCTGACCCGGTGGCATCCCCGCTTCAACGTGGATGAGGTGCCAGACATCAGCCCCGCGGAGCTGCCGCGGCCGCCGCAGGAGGACAGGCTGAGCACGGCCCAGGAGGTGCTGAGCACGGCCCGGGGGATGCTGAGCCCCAAGGTGAGGCAGGGCCAGGGGCTGGCTCTGTCTGTGCCACCTCTGGGAAGGTGTGAGTGACTTCCCACTGCCAGAGAGCAGGGTTAGATGGGGTATTGGGACAGAATTCCTCCCTGGGAGGGTGCCCAGAGAAGCTGTGGCTGCCTCTGCATCCTTGGAAGTGTCCAAGGCCAGGTTGGACAGGGCTTGGAGCAACCTGGGCTAGTGGAAGGTGTCCCTGCCATGGCAGGGGGCTGCAAATGAGAAGAGCTTCCAGGTCCTTTCCCACCCAGACCATTCCATGATTCCATGAAGCACCCCAAACTCCTCTGCAGGCAGGATGGCTCAGGATCGCTGGGCTGGGATCGCCGGGCTGCCGGGTGACTGCGGGGGCGGCAGAGGGGAAACTTCTCCTTCCTCCAGCCTGAACTGTAACCCAACTCCTCCTCCCTCTTCCACATGAGCAGATGGAAAAAGCTCTTGCCAACCTGGCCCTCAGAACGGCCGAAGCCAGTGCGGGGGAACCGGCGCTTTCCCAAGCCCCGGCCCCTGCCAGCGCCTCCAGCGCGCTCAGAGGGGTGTCCCAGGGGCTGCTGGAGCGGGTGAGTCACCCCGCGCTGTGCCACCCGCGGGGCTGGGGGCGCTCCCCGTGCCCATCCCGTGCCCATCCCGTGCCCTGGGGAGCCGGGTGCTGCCCGTGCTCACCGCGCTCTCCCGCAGGTGCGGGCGAAGGAGGCGCGGCGGCTGGCGGCGCTGCTGACGCGGGACGCGCGGCAGGAGGAGCGGGCGGCGCGGCTGGCGCGGCTGCCGGCCATGGCGCGCCTCCTGCGCGGCGTCTTCGTGGCCGAGAAGAAGCCGGCGCTCGGCATGGAGCTGCTCTGCGCCCGCCTGGCCGACAGCTGCCCCGAGCTGGTGGCACCAGGTAGGAATTGCGGGAGGGGGGGTCCCTGCGGGAGGAGGGGGCTGCGGGGAGCCGAGCGCTGACCCCGCTGCTCGCAGGTGAGATGGAGAAACACGTGCGGCTCTTCGCGGAGCTGCTGCCCGACTGGGTGGGCGTCCACGCGCTCAGGACGGACACCTACGTCAAGCTGGACAAAGAGAAGGACCTGGGCCTCGTCACCGAGAGGCTCAACAAGGCGGCCAAGGAGGCCGGAGCCCTCTGAGCCCCTCAGGGTTGGGGTTTTTCCTGTGCAATCTCCTCGAAATGTAGCAAATCCCGACAGCGCTCTGGGTTCTGGGGTGGGCTGGAGGGAGGCTCGTCCTCGGGTGGCTGAGGAAGGGCAAAATGCCTTAATTTAACTAATTTCTGTGGTGGGAGCCGTGAGGATTGTAGGTCCCCATGTCCTGGAGCGATCCTGTGTCCTGGGGTGGTGATGAAAGCAATCGTAACCTGAGGAACCTTTTCTTCTCCCTTTCCTGGTTCTCCTGAAGGTTCAATGCATGAGGGGTCTCCTGAAGGTCCAATTTCAGAGGTTTCTTCCATTAACTGGGTCCTGGTGGGGTGAAGGCAGAACAGGGCAGGCTGAGAGGGTGGCAGATGGGAAGGAGTGAGAGAAAAAGTCACAAATTGATGTTTCTGGAGCTTCGGGCCTCGTTCTGTTTTTAAGGCAGGGAAAACGCATCTTCCAGTCCTCGCTGGAAACAACTACAGGACTTGTCAAAACACATTTGTATTAAATGTTTTAAATATAGTTGACTTGTGTTAACCCAGTGCTCTTCCTCGCTGCCTGTCTCGTGGTTCTCCATGGCAATTGGCGCCGGGAAGGGCTGGGTCCTCATCCAGCTCCTGGAGAAAAACTCACTGGAAAAAGTGAGCGTGGGTTTGCAGGGAGCTGAATGCAGCTTTTGTAAATGGGGCTGGGGGAGCAGCTGCTGCAGGGACAGGGGCAGGCTGGGCTGACAGGGATCCAGCGTTTTTTTTTTTTTCCCAGGGGAAATCCCAGGCTACTCAGCTGAAGTGGCTTGGGAAGAGGGACAAAGAGGGTGAGGATGGCTGCAGAGGTGCAGGCTGGCACTGTGCCCAGGTCAGGGCAGCGTGGGCACAGGGGAGGGCTGGGAGCTGCCCAGGGCCACGTCACACACACCTCACTCTGCTCCCGAGCCAGGCTGGGCTGCCTGGAGCTGGGGACACCAGGGACCTGTAGGGAAAGGCAGGGACCTCATCCTTTCAGCCCATGCTGCTCCTGGGCAGATTCCCCACCTGTAAGTGCTGGGCTGGAGTCTGGCAGCGTCTGAGATCCCACAGCACTTCCTGAGGGAGCAAAGACCTTCCTCCTCCTCCTCCTCCTCCTCCAGGCCCTGCTTGCCTGCGCAGCCCGGCTGGCCGGCGCTGCTGGCAGGAGCGTGCCCGGTTTCCAGGGAGGAGGAGAAGGGATTAAACCCGACCCAGGGGCTGGGTGTGAGGCTGGGGGCTCCTGGGGCAGGCTGGGCTCTCAGCCACGCTCAGGCACCTCACCGTGGTGGGAAGGAGCTGGATTGGAAAGGAACTGGAACGAGCCTGGCAGCCACACTCACATCCCAGGAGAGCTCCCAGCGAGCTCCTGTTCTGCTCCTCGGGATAAAACCCTTCTCCCACCTGGAAGCTGCTCCTGCCCAGCCTCGGCTCTCCAAGCAAATGACATCAGGGGCTGCTGGCAGCCCAACCAGGGCCAAGGCACCGTCCCCACGTTCCCTGATGTCACCTGCTGGCACTGGCAGGGCTGACGCTGCTTCCCCGGCACGCAGCTGCTTTCCACGGCTCTCTGGGGTGGAATTGATTTTCCTCCTCCCCCGCAGCAGAGACCCTCTCCTGCTGCCAGGCCTGTGAGGTGCTGCCTGGTCCCCAGGGAATTGTGTTCCTCAGTGTAAACTGAGCAGCACTGAAGGGGCTTTTCAGGAAATGGGGATGGAAATAGCTGGGATGGTCCTTCCAAGTGGGAGGGGGCCCCAGGTGCTGGATGGGGAAGGGGAGCTGAGCTGACCAAGCTTCTCCAGCCACAGGTCGGTGCAAAGTAAAGCAAAGGTACCTGAATGCTCCCTGGAAAACAATTCCAAGTGTTTGGGGCACGGGAGAGCTCACACCACAGCCCTGCCCCACTGACCACCTGGGGCTGCAGGGAGACCCTGCCAAGGCTCATTCACGGCCTCAGCCACTGCAAGAACGGCTCTGAGACAGCTCAGGAAATATAAAAATACATCAATATTTATTTTAGCCGTGAGTCCAGTCCCTGCTGGGCCAGGGACACAGTCCCTGATGGTTTCAGGCTTGTGGAAGTTTTGGCACGCAGGGATTTAGCCGTGACCAAACTGAACCGTGCTGGAGGAAGCATCTCCAAAGCCCCATGACCCACCTGAGACCACTGCAACACCTCTCCTGTGGCCTCACCTGGCACCAAACTCCCACCAAGGGCAGGCTCTGAGCTGGCAGCAGCCTGGTGGCCCAGAGCAGCCCAACAGGAGTGGGATGTGGTGCAGGAGATGGGGAATTCCTGCTGAACAAAAGGTGCCTGTGGTCTCCAGGGAAGGAAAACCCTGGCTGGGCTCATCCCACAGCACCACCATCCTGATTTAAGGACACAGCAGGCACTTCATTCTCCTGAACAAGCACAGTCCTGGTGTAAGAGCAATTTGTTCTGGTGAGAGCGACAGCACAGAGCAGCCAGCCCATCCTGAGGTCAAATACAGCAGGATTTGTCCCTTACAGAAAGAATTGCTTTTTGCCCATCTCCTGTGTTTCTTTGGGAATTTTTTAGCAGGTTCCTTGGAGGCTGACAGCCCAGCCCAGGGAATGCTGGTGGCCTGTCAGAGCTCTCCTGCCTCAGCAGCAATATTGTCACTTTGGTCTCCTAAAACCACAGATTCAGAGAAGCTGCATCTTGGTCTCCATCCCCCCAGTCAATCAGCCTGTTCCTTCTTCCTAAAAGGATGAACTCCAAAAGGGATCATTACACTCAACACAGTGCTTGGGAAATTTAGGATTGAAGAGCATGTGGCCATGCTCAAAACTGTGTTTAACCCCCTTCCCCACCCCCCTGTGACATCCAGTCACTACATAAAGCCCCAGATTTGTTCCCAGTGCTCCCTCCTCCCTGCTGCTCCTCAGTCATACTGCAGCAGGGAGTAGAAAGGGATGGAATTCAGCTTTTCCGACCCTTTCAGGGCTTTTAACTCTATGATCACCAGGCACTCCAGGATTTCAGCCTTCAGCCTCTTCAGCAGCTCGCAGGCAGCACACATGGTACCTGTGGAGGGGAACAGAAACATCCTCACTCCAGGGGCAGCTCCAGCCCACAGCCACCCCTGCTGCTGCCAGGCTGAGGGTACCAGAGAGGTGTGGATACCCCTGGCAGTGCCCAAGGCCAGGCTGGATGGGCTTGGAGCAACCTGAGCTAGTGGGAGGTGTCCCTGCCATGGCAGGGGTGGGACTGGATGGGATTTATCCAACCCAGCCACTCCATGATTCCATGCACACAGGTGTACAGGATCACACGTGCTTCCCTCACCTCCAGTTGCCAGCAGGTCATCCACAACCACCACTTTCTGTCCTGGTTCCAGAGCATCACTCTGGATTTCCAGCTCAGCCTGCAGGGAGCAAAGAGCAGCTTTGTTTTAGCCTGGCCTTGGAGAGAAGCCCCTCACGAGCTGCTGGTTCATGCTGGAACACAGACAAGTCCTCAGCGACATCAGCCTAAACACTCAGCACCTAAAATCCCAAAAACCCCACAAATTCCATCTACAGGGAAGCGCCACAGAAACACAGAGCAGGGAGGGGATTGCTGGGCCAACCCTCTGGCACACCAAGATCCTGAACTTTCACCGTGTGAGTTATGGTGGAATCTCATCCCAGAGCAGCTCTCCAGTGAGGAAAATCTCCTGTCATGCACTGGGGAGCTCTGCCTGGAGCCAGATCCAAACTGGCACCTGTTTGGATGTGCCACACGAGCTCGGCTGGCCCAAACAATCCTCATGGCTTAGGCCTGGCTTTGGGGGTTCTGCTGCTGTTAGTTGCTAGTGGGAGTAGCACAGCCCGAGCCCCAGCCCCGGAGCAGCCGCGGGATACGGGGCGGGATGGGGGAAGCCATGCGGGACAGCTCTGACTTACAGCACTTACTGCCAGAGTGGGGACACTCTCCGTGGTCATGCCCCTGAATTCAAGCCAAAGAAAGCCATTTAGCACCAGGTCTGAGCACCAACCCCCTGAGAAGAATCACGGCACAGCACCGAATGTCACCCGTGGGCACAAACGGAGCGACCGCGGCTCGGGGCCGGCTCCGCGCCGCTCCAGGGCTTGTGCCGGATTATCCACCAGCCCGGGACCCCCTCCCCATGGGTATAGCCCCCCTGGCCCCCCCAGGCCTTGCCTTGCCGTATTCCAGGCTGTAGGAGATGGACTCGGTGGCTCCGGGCAGTTTTCCCTTTTTCCGCACGGGCACGAAGCCGATGCCCAGCCTCTGCGCCAGCGGGGTCCCGATGAGGAACCCCCGGGAGTCCAGCCCTGGGGGCACAGCAGCAGCCAGGCAGTCAGGGAATCATTCACCTCGGAAAAGGCCTCAAGACCATCAAGTCCAACCATTTCCCAGCACTGAGCCATGTCCCCAAGTGCCACATCCACATAATTTTTGGAATGGTGGCTCCACTACTGCCCTGTCCCAACACCTGATCACCCTCTCAGTGAATTAATTTTCCCTCATATCCAACCTAAACCCCCCCAGGTGCAACTTGAGACCTTTTCCTCTTGTCCCATCGCTCAGATCAGAGCCATTCCACCGGGGGAAGGTCTTGGCACAACCCTCCTGTTTTATCCTGCCATTCTAAAAGCAATTTGCCCTTCAAGTCAGTTCTGAGGGTTGAAAACAGAGCCCACACTCCTGCTCTCACCCACATGTGCTGCTGCTGGCCCCAAGAGCCCACTCCCCTCCCCTCTGACCCTTTTCCTTAGAGATAAAGCCAGCAGGGCCCTGGTATCAGTCCAGCCACACAAGCAGGAACTCTGCACCTCTGGGCAGACTTCACTTATCTCACCTGGGCCAGGTTTGCTCTGTGCCCCAGCCCAAGCTCTGCCCTCCTCAGCACTTTGCCAGGTGAGCTGAGGTGCTCTGGCCAGCAAGGCCATTTGTGCTGGCCTGGGAAGGCTCCCTGAGGAAAACCAGCTGGGACAGGGCCAGCCTGCCCTGGGGACAGCGTGGGGACACTGCGGGCACAGCAGGCTTTGGGTGCCCCCTCCTTTTTAACAATGAATTATGCAACTGGCACGGAAGTGTCAGAGGGCACCTGCCACATCCCACACCAGCATTTCAGGAAATCACAGCAGGAGGCAAAGGGTAGAATCTGTCCTGGGGTTACCATGTCACCCAGGCCAATGTTCAGGTGATTTTTCTGTCCAAGGGCTACAACATTCCCCAAGGGCCACCCCACACTTCCCACCTGGGACACACTGCTCTGCCCTGGCCTCGGGGCTGTTCAGCCAACACTCACCCACAATGAAGTCGATTTTCGGGAAAGATGCCTTCACATGATCCTCCAGAAGATCAATCAAAGTCCTGAAGGCCACAGGATCCTTCAGCAAGGGGCTGATATCGCTGCAGTGAGGGAGGGCAGGGGGTGAGGGACCTGCGGGGCTGCTCTGGAAACGCTGAGCTCCTGAGCCCGGGGAGGGCTCCCGAGCCCAAGGAAGGTTCCTGAGCCCGGGGAAGGTTCCTGAGCCTTGGAAGGCTCCTGAGCCCGGGGAAGGTTCCCGAGCCCGGGGAAGGTTCCCAAGCCCAGGGAAGGTTCCCGAGCCCGGGGAAGGCTCCTGCCCGGTGCTGCCAGGGCCAGGGATGGGCAGCGGGGACAGGAGCTGTCAGCGAGTCCCGGGCCCGGCTCCAGCCCCGTCCCATCCCCAGTTCCAGCCCTGCGCCATCCCCGGCCCCATTCCCATCCCCTGTCCCGGCTCCAAGCTCGGCCCTGGTTCCCTCCCCGATCCATCCCCGTCCCCGTTCCCATCCTCACCCCCACCTCCATCCCGCTCCCGTCCCATGCCATGCCCATCCCGGCCGCACCGGAACAGCACGCCGGGCTCCGGGAAGTCCGGGAAGGGCCGGACGCGGTCGCGCACCGCCCGCAGCCGCTCGTCGCTCATGGCGGCCCCGCCGCGCAGCCGCCGCAGCTCCGCTCGGCCGGGCCGGGACGGGCGGGACCGGGGCGGCTCCGCCCAACCGGGGCGGCACCGCAGCGGGCGGGCACCTGGCCACGGGGGGTGTGGTACCGCGGGGCACGGGGCATCCGTCCGCCCGGGTTTGGAGCTCCGGTATCCCGGGGCACTGAACCCCAGGCCCCCCGGTATTTGGAGTTCCGGTATCCCGGGGCACTGAGCCCCAGTCCCCCGGTATTTGAAGTTTTGGTATCCCGGGACACTGGAGCCCCAGTCCCCCTGATATTTGGAGTTCCGGTATTCCGGGGCATTGAGCCCCAGTCCCCCCGGTGTTTGGAATTCCAGTATCCTGCAGCATTGGAGCCCCAGTCCCCCCGGTATTTGGAATTCCAGTATACCGGGACACTGAGCCCCAGTCCCCCCGATATTTAGAATTCCAGTATATCGGGACATTGAGCCCCAGTCCCCCTGGTATTTGGAGCTCCGGTACCCTAGAATGTGGAGCTCTGTAACCCCGGAGCATTGAGCATCAATCCCCCTGGTATTTGGGGCTGTGGTACCCCGGGGTGTGGAGCTCCGTAACCCCGGAGCATTGAGCATCAGTCCCCCTGGTATTTGGGGCTGTGGTACCCCGGGGTGTGGAGCTCCGTAACCCCGGAGCATTGAGCATCAGTCCCCCTGGTATTTGGGGCTGTGGTACCCCAGGGCACTGAGCCCCAGTCCCCTCGGTATTTGGAGCTCTGGTATGCTGGAGCATGGAGCATCGGCCCCCGGGCACACAGAGCTCTGGTATTCCCGTGTACAGAGCCCCAAATTCCCGGTGCATGGAAGTCTGGTACTCCAGAGATGGAGCTATTGCAGAGTCCCCAGCCCCCCAGGAAGGTCTGATATCCCAGGACTCCCGGTGTGTGGAGCTTCATGCACAGAGCCCAAAGTCCCCCGTGCATGGAGCCTTGGCACATGGAGCTGCAATTCCCAGGGGCATGGAGCTCTGATAACCCTGGTGCATGGAGCTGCAATTCCCAGGGGCATGGAGCTCTGATAACCCTGGTGCATGGAGCTGCAATTCCCAGGGGCATGGAGCTCTGATAACCCTGGTGCATGCAGCTGCAATTCCCAGGGGCATGGAGCCCTGGCTCCTTGGCAGATGGAGCTGCAATCCCAGGGTCATGGAGCCCTGGCACAGCAGTGGATGGAGCCCCAGGCTCCCCTCTGAAGAGCTCCCAGGTACCTGCTCCATGTGGAGCTGGATTTCCCTGTCTGGCCCCAGCCTCAGAAAGGAGCTCCCTGCCTGGGGGCTCCATTTGCACCCCCTCACCCTGCCCAGCCTTCCACAGACAGCAAACTCCTCAGGACCTCACTGTTTCCTGCTTTTCCGTTCCTCATCACCTCGTGTGAACTCCTGGAGTCGTTCTGTGTTTGTTAAACCTGTTGGTTGGGATGAGGGACAATAACACAGCCCCAGGTCCTGGACCAACAGCTCCTGGTGTCACTGAGCCCTGGGCAGGGCCAGGAGCTCCCACAGCTCCCATCTCCCATCTCCTGGTGGTGAATGTTGTTTGGCCATGCAAAATCCACCAAATGAGTTCAGATCTCCTCTTCCATTAGCAAATACACCTTGGATCTGCTCCAGACCTGTCCGGGCACGGCTCGCTGTGGAAAGCAGAAGCAATTGGAGCCTGTAACACCCCTGGCTGAGCTCAGTGTTTGCTGCCCAGAGCTGTGACTGGGAAAACTTCACCCACACCCTCTGGAGAGCCCCTGCCATGGCAGGGACACCTTCCACTAGCCCAGGCTGCTCCAAGCCCCATCCAACCTGGCCTTGGACACTGCCAGGGATCCAGGGCCTGCCCACCCTCACAGGGAGGAATTTCTCCCTAATATCCCATCTAACCCTGCTCTCTGGGGAAGCCATTCCCCCTTACCCTGGCCCTTGCCCCCAGTCCCTCTCCAGCTCTCTCAGAACCCCTCCAGGCACTGGAAAGAGCCCTCAGGTCCCCCTGGAGCCTGCTCTTCCCCAGGCTGCACAACCCCAACTCCTGTTAACTCCCTCTGCTGCCAGAGACAGCCCGTGCTCCCTTCACAACCATTCCCCCACAAACTAAGATTTCCCCTGAACTCAGATTATCGCTTTGGCACCAGGAGAATCCTCTGGGGCAGCTGTGGCAGGGCAGCAAAGAGGGGGGAAGGCCAGGCTCTGCCAGGGGAGCCAGGGCTCGCAGCACTCCCTGCGATGAGCTGGACGGTTCCTCTGGTGACCTTACAAGCACAGCACTGGACAGTGGAGCTGTTCCAGCAACTCCTCTTCTTCCTGGCAGATGGAATTGCTGATGGAATTTATCTGCCTACTCGTGGAAATAAATAAGCAGGAGCTTATTTCCTGGGAAAAGGGATCTTTTCAGCCTGCCAGGCAGCTCTGCTTCTGCCTCTCGCTAACGGAGGGGCCAGAACGAGGGGTCTGTGTCACCCCTGTCCTGCTTGTGACCCCCCACGATCCCACCCTCACTGCAGGAGACTCCACCACATTTTCCTGGAGGTTGAGTGAGGTTCCCAGGCCCTTCATCCCAACCAAGCCCTGGCAAACCTTCCGCAGGATGGGCTGCTGAGTGCCCCCGCTGCTCCACCCCACAGCCAGGGATCTCTCCTCCTCCTCCTCCTCCTCGGATGTGGGATCACTCTGTCCCCGTCAGTTCTGCCGGGAAGGGCACAAAGATTACACCAAACTGGACTTGCAGTGGCCCAGCTGCCAGAAAGCATGGTTAAAAGACAACATTCCTGAGATTCCTGTCTGAACTCCTCATTTATCCCCCATCTCCAAGGATTCCAACTGCACCTACCGGCACAGACTGGACTGGAACACCCCAAGGAAATCAGTTTTCCCTGTGATTGTTCCACCTTTCAAACAACACCGCTGACTCCTACTGCAATTTCCATCTGCAAAGAACTTTCCTAGGACCCCTTTCCAAATGTGATGTCAAAGGGCTCTGGAATATCACCCGGGAGGTGACTCCACATCCGTGCCTGGCAGAGGAATCACCACCTGGAATCTGCATTCCCCCAGGGAACTCTGGCTTTGCTCTTTTCTGGACACCGAGGCCATCAGTGATTTAAAAGTGCTTTGAGATCCTGATAGGAGAGGTGTTATTAGCCAGGGAGCAGGGAAACTGGGAATACAAAAGCTTGGGAACTAACTTTAACCAGCTTAACCAGGCAATTAAAGAGCTGTGCTGAGCCTGGAAGTTTCTGTTCTGTTCAGGATTTTAACACTTCAGTGTGAAGTGGAACAAAATGCCCCAAATTTCAACATCCCCCTTCCACGAGGGAAAACGAGCAGAAAAATTTCCCTGCAAATCCACTGGAATGTTTCAATCTCAGCTGAAGCAACTCATGCACTTTAAACCCTTAAAAAAAAAAAAAAAAAAAAAAACACCCAAAAAAACCACCACCACAAATTTGAAATATCTTATTTCAACACCAGAAGAATGCAGCTCCCCAGCCAGATCCCTGGGCTCGGGATGGAAGCCTCAGACCTGTTTTTGTCCCCCTAAAAGAGGAAAAAAAATGTGGTGATCCAGCTCTGCCTCCCTGGGAGCCCAAGGCAGCACCTCCTGCCTGCTGCAGCAGGTTGGATCAGGCCCTTGGAGAAGACACAAAACTCCTCTCTCTCCCCTGGCCAGCCTGGGTTTTGTGTCTGATCCAGAACTAATGGATTTGGCTCACATTCCTCGCTGCTGGCTTTTATCTGCTCTCCCTTTCAGCTGGGAATTGTGCTACCAACCTCCTGTCACCCAGAGGATGTTAAGTGACTCCAAGAGGGACAAAGGCCTGCAGAGCTGCCAGATTGCCTCTCTGCAGAAGCTGGAAGGCAGAGGTTTTTTCTCCCTCCTAAAAGACCACAAGCTTCTGGCTACGGATCCACCTTTATTTAGGATTTATATAATCCCAACTAGGCTTCAAGCAACAACAAAACTTTAAACGGTGGAAGGGGATATAAAGGAGACAGGCAAATGGAGTCTTGGTGTTTAAAATAGCCATTTTCCAAAGGAGAAAAGAACCTAAAATGGGATTTCAGTTCTTCCCTTACAGCTGTTCTTAAAACCTGACAGTTTAATTCAAGGGGCACCACAGTGTCGCCTCCTGATAACACAGAAAAACATCCAGTGCTACCAGAAAACAAAAGGAAAAGTCGATTTCCAAGTATTCTAACTGCTAGGAGAGATGGAAAACAGGCCATTCTAACTGCAGAACAGTTATTTGGAAGCTGAACAAGCAAAGGAACTCTTAAGAGAATAAAAGTGTGTTTAGTTTGTAAAGTTTCCCAGTTCTGAGGACAAGGGCAGGATCCCCAGGGAGGGATTTCTCTGCTGGCTGTGCTCCAGAGGCTGCTGGGGACTCTGCAGCCAAAAATCACCTCCCAGCACCCCAAACCCTCCTCCCTTCAGTTCTCACCTTCCGTGGGTCCTTCCTCAGCCGCTGGAATTCTTTCCTGGGGTTATTTCAAAGCTGTTGTCACTGGGGAAAATAAGAGTGTCCAACCTTGAGGAGATCCCTTATGTGAAACAGGAATTTTGGGATGCTGTCCATGATGTCTGGGAAGGGCTGGAGGTGACAGGTATGGGAGGTGACAGGTGACACTGCCACCACTGTCCCAAGTCCCACAGCCTCCTTCTTGGAGACATCAGTTCCACTTCTTTTAGTCAAATCCCACTGTCACTGCCCCAGAACAGCCCCCAGCTTTTACCAGCAAATCCATGGCTCTCACTTCCCTAGTTCCAGAGCTCTCCATTTTCCCTTGGACACATTCCTGAGGCCCCCTTGGCCAGGCAGGGCCGTGTTCTCCTCACTGCTGCACTCAGGACAGTTTGCAGGGCATTAACCTTGGCTCTAAGTGTTGGGAATTGATCTGCTGCTTCCCAGTTCCAGCATTCAGCTCCCCAAATTGCTGGTCCCCAGGGACTAATTTGCCACTGAAATAATCCATTTGTCGCTGCAGGATTTGAAATCAAGGCTCCAGTGCTGCAGCCCGAGCCTGGAAGTGCAGCCCCAGCTCCTCCACAATTATTAGTTCCATCCATTTCGGAAGCTTCTCTGCACGGAGGGTGGGATGATAACAGAGCCTCAGGGGCAGAGCTGGGAGGCTTGAGAGGCTCAGCTAATTGGAAATTAAAGGCAAGAAAGAAATTCTTTGGACTCTTAGGGCAGGAAGAGATTGAGCTTTTAGCGTTCAGCGTAATAAACATAAAGAAAGGAACATCACAGCCCCAAACTCCAGCACTCCTTTGGCATTTCTGTCTCATCGCTCGAGAGCAGAAGCCACCACCAGAGCAGTTTGGCTGCTGCAGGTCCCTGAGTGGGCAGGAAATCCCTCCAGCCCCACTCCTGCCCCAGTTCCAAAGGGGGAAGTTTCAGGCCAGCAGCTCAGGGTGGTTTTTAAGGGCAGATGTGGCCACTTTGTGCCCCGAGTGGGCAGTGGGGGCTGCAGGCACCATCCCCACCCTGTGCTGGCCCTGGGTCCCCCCAGCCTCTGAACTGCACTGCGTGGGCTGGGAGATTGATCTAGGGTAAAAATAATTCCAGGAAAACAAACCAAGTTATTTTTTAACCCCAGTCAGTCCTATGATCCAGGAGGTGAATCTGGGAGAGTGCCCTTGGCTCACAGGTGAAATCACAGACTGCATTGCTGATAAATTAGTTTATTTTTCCTCATGAGTTCTTCACCTCACAACTTTTAAATCTGTACAATTTTAGGAAAGGCATTCATTTAAAATTCCTCCTATTATCCAGCCATAAAACAACTATTCCTATTTAAATTTAAAGCAGAAGCTTTGTCACATTAAACCCTGATAATTTATTATCTGCTTCGTGTCCTTTTACTCTAAACAGACACGTCATGGCTTCACTTACTTGCTTTCAAGTGCAACATTTCCCTCCAGGATCTGTGTCCTGAGATCACTCCAGGAATGAGGAATGAGGGATTGCTGTGCTGGGAGGGGGACAAACCCCGTGGCTGCTCACAGCAAGTTCCAGGGGCAAAGCAGGCTCTTCCAAAGTGCAGCTGTGAAAGAGCAAAGGAAAAAGCAGCAGGCAGGGCACAGGGAGGAGGTGTCAGAGCAAACTCTGGGACTGAGGAGCGTGGCCAGGATCCTGGGGAGCTCTTCCTAAGCAGCACAAAACCCCAGCAGGTGCTGTTGCCTGCCAAGGATTGCCAGGGAGCTGCAGCCATGGACTCCCTCCTCTGGTGGAGATTTACAGTGAGTGCAGGGCTCTGACAGTCCCAGTGACAGAACTGTGCAATCCAAGCCACCGAGGCTGGGAAAGACCTCGGAGATCATGGAGTCCAGCCCTCAGCCCAGCACCACGGCCACCCCAATGGCACAGCCACGTGGTTTTCAGCATTTCAGGGCTGGGGATATCAGCACTGCCCTGTGCCAATGCTCTTCACCTTTTCCATGCATAAAATTCCCTGATATTCAACCTGACCCTCCCCTGGCACAACTCTCCTCCTGTCCCTGTTCCCTGTTCCCTCCTGGCAGGAGCTGTGCAGAGCCAGGAGGGCCCCCCTGAGCTCCTTTTCTCCAGGCTGAGCCCCTTCCCAGCTCCCTCAGGATTCTCCAGCCCCTTCCCAGCTCCGTTCCCTTCCCTGGACATGCAGAAGCCCTAAAGCAGAGGTGGAACAGCCCCAGCAAACGGGGAGCTCCTGGTTTTAGCTGGTCTCCCGTGCTGACAGACCCACAACTGCTCCCAGCCCTGAGCTCCCCTCCGAGGGAGCTGCTGGCCACATCTCCCAAGCCTTGAGCTGTGTCTAAACAAGGAGGAATGTTATGGATGAGCTGGAAATGCCATGATACACTCGAAGGACAATTAGGAACATCCTAAGAAATGTGGGCTATAAACAAATGCCACTTGCAGACGTGCAGGGATCCCTGAAATGCTGGCTGGGATTTCTGAGAGGTGCAACAGCAAGAGCTGACCCAAGGGCTGTTCTCATTCCAGTTTAATGGGATTATCCAGCTTCATGAGACACACAGAAGGAATTACTGTGGAGGAGATCACAGGTACATAAAGCATGGGAAGGGGGAATGGGAATATTTGGGATTACAGGAGGGTAGGAACCAGCAGCTGGGAGCCTGGAGCTGGTGGGAGCACCACAGCTGGCACAAGAGCAGAGCTCTCAAGCAGCTCCAAGCTTAGCTGGGGAGGAATTTGAGCTGTTTCCAGGTACAGAGCACCTGGATTTTCCTAAGGCAGCACAACACCACACAGACAGGGCACCTGTGCTGTGGAAAACACTGGAGGGATGGAAGGAGAGCTGTTGGTGGGACAAATGGAGAATCATGGAATGGTTTGGGTGGGAAGGGATCCAAAAGCTCACTCTGCTCCATGCCCACACCTTCCACTAGCCCAGGCTGCTCCAAGTTTCTCTGGGCACCCTGTGCCAGAGCCTCCCCACCCTCACAGGGAGCAATTCCTTCCTTATATCCAACCCAAACTTCCCCTCTTTCAGTCTGAACCCAAACATGCCCAGGCTGCCTCCAGCTGCTGCCCTGGAGGCCAGAGGAGGCTGGTTTTGCTCCAGACAGGTTTATTGGAGACAGGCAAGGGTGTGGAACGGGCTCCAAGGCAGAGCAGGGATCTGCCCTGCAGGATTGAGCAAAGGCTTCTGTTCCCCAGGAACTCTGGCTAGAGGAGAGCTGCAGCCAGGCTGGGGAAGGTTTGCACAAGGACAATTCCTGGGAGAGCATGTGCTGGAAACAGGGTCAAGAGTCAAGGGCTGGTGCCAAGGGGCATTTCTGAGCCCAGAGCTCGAGATGGGAAGCGTGGCTTGGACCAGCTTTAGACCCAGATTTTTGGAAATGAAGGGAAGCCCCAAAATGAACACCTGTCCCCCAGCTCCCCACAAATGTCCTGCACCAACAACTGGCAATAGAATTCTGGAATGGTCTGGGTTGGAAAAGACCTGAAAGCTCACCCAGTGCAACCCCACTTCCACTGTCCCAGGCTGCTCCAAGCCCTGTCCAGCCCGGCCTTGGGCACTGCCAGGGATCCAGGGGCAGCCACAGCTGCTCTGGGCACCTGTGCCAGGGCCTCACCACTCTTACACAGAAGAATTCCTTCCCAATATCCCATCCAGCCCTGCCCTCTGGCAGTGGGAGCCATTCCCTGTGTCCTGTCCCTCCAAGCCCTCTCCAGCTCTCCTGGAGCCCCTTCAGGCTGGCAGGGGCTGGAACCCCAATGCAACACTCACCTGAACACAACCCCACCTTTCCTTAAACCATGACCTAGGGAATGTTTGCAGCTACACACAGAAGGAACTGAGGGCATTCTGCCTGGATCCAAACCCCTCGGCTGGGAGCAGGAGGGATCCCTGGTTTGCACCCAGAACTCACAAATTTGGGGAGAAAGGAAAAACAAGTTGATGTCCAGAGTTCACAATGGAAAGCAAATGTTAAAACAACAAGCTACAGGCAAACAAAACATGGGCAGTTTGGGCAGGGCTCTCTGGCAGCTCTGAGTTTCCTGACCTGTCCCCGTGGCTCCTGTTGGGGCAGCCCAGTGAGCAAGGCTGGGTGCAAGGAGCAGGAGTGATCCATGGGGCTGATGGCAGGGTTGTGGCTGTCCAGAGAGCTTTTACAGCTGACCCAATCCTCACTGGAGTTACCATTTAGGGAAAGAACTGGGGGAAGAGAGGAGTAGAGGCTAAACCCTGAGCACGAGGAATATAAACACTGGCCCTTTTGGAAGAGCAAGTGATGATATCATGCACACATCACACCCTTCCTGTGTAAACAGGAGTGCCAGCAGGAGCAGGCATTGGAAACTGGATGTCCAGCTGCCTCTGGGTAGCTCTGGAGGGCTGCAGCCATCAGTGAGGCCAAGAGCATTTCTTAGGATCAGACTCTGGTGCTTTCAGGCACTTCCCAAGCTTCTCACAGCCTGGAGGAGCCCAATTCTGTTAAAAACAAACAGAAATAGACAGAAAGATGATTCACACCAAGTATCTGCTAAGCTCTTACCCCAACCAGCTCTTTATAATCCTCACAAAGACACTTTTATGTGCTGCTTGAAAAATGGAACTCCTCTTGCAGCCCAAGCCTCCGGGCTCATAAACTTCCCCACTGCAAACAGTGCTCAAATAAAAGCTGGGAAAGGCTAAAATGCTGTGCAGCAGATGATTCCCTCTCCTGGGGCACGCCAGCCCTGCCTGGCCTCTCCCAGCCCAGCTTGCTGGGATGCTGCTGACCCTCCTGTGTCTGCTGTGGTAGCACAGAGCAAGCAGAGCAGGAGGTTTTGGTGTCATCCCAGTTTTCCTGGAGCCCAGGGGAGTTCCCATTCTCAGCACTGCAATACCCAGGCACTGTCCTGAGGAAGCAAAAGGCAGCAGAAGGCCAAGGGTGTGAGAGAGATAAGAATGCTGGTAATTTTAATGAGCGTTTTGATGGATGAATCCATGGGCAGAGGGAGCAGGAAGCATTCCTGAGACACCTCTTCCAGTGCCTGCACACCAGAACTATTTGTTTTCCTTGTTTCCATGTTTCTTGAGCTACCTGAATGTGTAGAACAGAAAAAGGAGATCTACTGCCAACCTCAGCTTCCAGAGGCATTAATGGAGGAAGGAATTTGGATAAATGAACATTTTTAATTCATGAGGTTTTGCCATTTAAAATGTGGGATTGTGGTCATGGAAAAGGCAGATAACACTTCCCAGTCTGCCTTCAGGAATCTTTTGTGCCTCCCTCTCTCAGGTCTGTCCATCCACGGGACATTCCTGCTGTCCCCTATTAAAGGCCAGTTCAACACTGACCTCTTGCCTTTTGTTTTGCTGATTTTCACCCTGCAAGTATTTCTGGTTTTTTGGAATTATATTCCTACAGAAAAGAAATGCTCGACCCTAGGAAAAAAACCACTGGAGCAGGTTTTTGTTCCATGGAGCTGACAACAGATGGCAGTGAGACACCAGCTATTCCTGCAGAGGAGCAGACACAGAGGGAGCTGTGCTGAGACACCTCTGCACCGAGCCTTTCTGAACAATTAATGTCGTTTTCTAAATCTGTTCCTCTGCTTTAAAATGTGCAGCCACGGCTGGAAAATTCAGAGCACCCTGCAGAAGGAACTGAGAGCCAAAGGAACACATGAACTGAAATGTTTGTTCTTTTGAAAAAGCAGAACAAGAAACGATCTGTGCTGCACTCCCGCCGCTGGGCTGTGCTGGGAGCCCTGGGGACAGAGCCAGGCCAGCCCCGAGCTGCAGCAACAGCTTCTCCCACACTTGCACAGCAGGAAATCCCAGCAGAGCTGGCTCTGGGGGAGCTCCCTGCACGCTGCTGCTGGGATCCAGCACAGATGGGCTGCACACACCTCCCTGCTCCTGCTTCCACCACTGCTCTGCACAGGAGCTGCACAGGGATCCACCTGCTGGCCTGGAATCCTGCAGTGCCTGGGTGGGGAGTGACCTCAAAGCTCATCCAGTGCCACCCCTGCCATGGCAGGGACACCTCCCACTGTCCCAGGTGCTCCCAGCCCTGTCCAGCCTGGCCCTGGGCACTGCCAGGGATCCAGGGGCAGCCACAGCTGCTCTGGGCACCTGTGCCAGGGCCTGCTCACCCTCACAGCCAGGAATTCCTTCCCAATATCCCATCCAGCCCTGCCCTCTGGCAGGGGGAAGCCATTCCCTGTGTCCTGGCCTTGGACACTGCCTTGAACACTTGAACACTTCCACACTGTTTACATGTAAGTAAAGACAATTCACCTCCTCTCTCCCAGATACATCAAACAGACACCCTTACCATTAAACAGGTGACAGGAGATAGTGTCAGTAAATTATCTTTATCTCCCAGCATCCCCCAAAAGCAGATTTAGCCCCCAGTCCAGCCCAGCAATACAATCACTCCCTGCAGGTTTGCTTATCTTCATTTCTGCTCTCCAAAGGCAGCAATCTGCCTCCTGGTATTTTGGTGCAGTGACCATGGGGTTATCCTGTGAGGAGTGCACACAGACTGGGAAACTCATTGTGTTTCCTGCTGGGATTGAAGCATTTCTCCTAGGATTAGGATTCCCCAGCTCCCTGATGACCTTCCATGTGGGAACAGTTGTGGAAGAAATGCCTTTGCAGTGCAGGGCTCTGGCAGCAGCCAGGCCCTGGGGACAGTGCCTGAATCCAAAAGGTCCCAGAGGAGCAGAGAACAGTGTTTATTAAGGGAAAAGTTGAATAAGGAAAGAAAACAACACAGAAACAATGGGCCCTCAAATCTTTTTCCTATTTAACATCCAAAAATAAAGAGATGGGACAAAGCTAAGGGAGATCTTTGCCTTGTTACTGAGGGGACACAGCTCCACATTTTGTTCTTTGCTGGTGACAGACCAGAGGCAGCAGGTTCTGACTGATTCAGGAGATTATTTATTTATTATCAAGAAGATTTTGCCTGTTACTATTTTGTCTGTCAGCCCACAGACACATTCCCTCGGATACACAACCTCCTGTCAAGTGACAACCTCCCCCAGATTATCCAGTTTCTCTCCCAGGTTCTCAACAAACCAAGCAGTGTTTGACAGGGAAGTCAAACTGTAACTTTCCAACAGGAGACTTGAAAGAGAAAACAGAACTGAAAAAAGTTCAATTTCAATCAAGACTTTGGAAAATTCAGGCATGGGGGGAATTGGAGGAGACAGAGCAAGATCAAAGATACATCACTGAAAATGAACTGTCCCATAGAAGACTCAAAACAAAGAGGGCAGGGATAGATGGGATATTGGGGGAAAATTCCACCCTGTGAGGTGGGCAGGCCCTGGCACAGGGTGCCCAGAGCAGCTGTGGCTGCCCCTGGATCCCTGGCAGTGCCCAAGGCCAGGCTGGACAGGGCTGGGAGCCACCTGGGACAGTGGGAGGTGTCCCTGCCATGGCAGGGATGGCATGGATGAGCTCTAAGATCCCTTCCCACCCAGGCACTGCAGGATTCCATGATTCCAGGATTTTGAGAATTGCAGAAGGGGATTAGAAAGGAGAAGAAGGATCTGCTCTGTGTCTAAGCAAGGAAGTCACCAACAGGTAACTGTGCATCTCTCCTCCATCCCTTCCCAACACTGGGAGTTGATGAAACCTTTACAAAATGTATTTCAGCCCAAGGATTCCCCAGAGCATTTGTGCTTCAGGCACTCACCATGACAGCCTGGTCACACACGTTCAGCTGGGGCTGGCCTGGCACCAGGGTGGCCTTGTGCTGCTGCACCAGCCCCGAGATGTGCTCCACAGCCCGCTGGTACTCCTCACTGGCAAAACTGCAGGGGGAAAAGCACAGGGGTTACTGCTGGGCCTTCCTTTGCTGTCCACATCACCAGGCTGGGCCACAAGGAGGAGGAGAAGATGTGGAAACATCCTGCCAGTTGCCCACGGCTCTGTAGGGAATGAAATCCAGGCTGGCAGGGGGCAGGTGCTCTGCTTAGGGCAACGAGGATGGCAGTGGCTGGTTCTCCCCAGAAATCACCTGGCTTCAGAGCAGCTCAGCTTCCCACACTGCTGCTCCAGGGGCCCCAAATGTTTCCTCCTTGTGCAGATCTGCTAGGAATAAACGTGGCTTCCCAAGGGAATTGTCTTAGCAAATAAAAGCACATTTCTGGGTTGTCCTCGAGCTGTCCCTTCAACGATTATCCAGGGACACTTCCCAGACACAGGACAAACACTTTCCCAGACAGCTTAGGACAGAAATTTCCCAAGGCAACCCTTCCAGCGTGTCCCACCTGAGGTCAGCAGCTCTCCACACTCAGCCCCCACTCTTCCAAGAGCTCTCCTGGAACACCTGCCCCGGCGGAGGCGTTTGTTGTAGGAAAGCGAAGGGAATGTCAATATTTTGTTTTACAAGAGTGTTCTCAGGAAGGGTTTCAAACACAACCCCGGGCCAGTTAAACTCCACAACCACCAAGGAAATGAACTAAAATTATGCAAACAGAGAGGAGAAGAATAGAAGGGCCTCGTCCAATACCTCCCCCATTCCACAAAACGCTGAGGTTCTGCCCCATCCACATTCCTCCACTACAGTTTGATTATTCCAAGCTGGGAGCCATCTGCCATGCCCCAAACTGGTTCTAAATGACCAGACCCTGACCCACCCGATTCCTCCAGCAGGTATTTGCTGGAGTGGCTCAGGGTGCACTTCACTAATATCTCAAGTATTTCTAAAAAGCAGGATTCCTAACAATGATCTCTCTGTCCATCACCTTAAGTGTCACTTAAAAAAACACCAAAAACCCCACAGAGAGCGGCAAATTCCTTCTGAAGATAAAAGAAACAATGCAGCTGGGTGCTGACCTCGGGCTCCCTCTGCTCCCAGGCCAAGCTGGCCAGCAGCCCCACACTCCAGCTAATTTCCTTCTTTGCAAAACAATCACATTTGGAAGGCCAGCGATGTGCCAAGCGCTTCCAGTAAACCCTATAAATATCCCGGCTGGGCAGGCAGCCAGGGAGAGGCTGATTGTGGGGCTGGGCTGAGCTGTGCTGATAGAGAGCAGGAAGGGAACGTGGGATGAGGAGCTGGAGCTGCTGCTCTCACACCCAGCTGCCTGGTCCTGGTGGAGAGAGCTGAAGGACCACCCTGAAATCCAGAGGATCCGGAGAAGCTCCCGAATTTCATAGAATCCGACAATCCTGGAATGGTTTGGGTGGGAGGAGATTTAAAGCCCATCTCATCCCATCCCCTGCCATGGCAGGGACACCTTCCACCATCCCAGGCTGCTCCCAGCCCTGTCCAGCCTGGCCTTGGGCACTGCCAGGGATCCAGGGGCAGCCAGAGCTGCTCTGGGCACCTGTGCCAGGGTCTGCCCACCCTCACAGGGAACAATTCCTTCCCAATATCCCATCCATCCCTGCTCCATGGAGGTTGGTTTTCTTTTCTTGACCCCATAGAAATCCCCATTCCATGGGGGTTGGTTTTCCTACCTTGGCTCCATGGCCCAGTTTTAACTGAGACATTCCTCTGCAGCTCCACAACACGCCCCAAAATCCCACATCCAGGGATTTGTGAAGTATTTACTGACTGCACAGGAGTTAAAACTGCCTCCAGCCCTACCAAGTACATTTTGAGACAAAATCTGCAAGAGTGCCTGGAATTTGCATGTAAAATGGGGATAATTACCTCATGGTAATCAGTTTGAGCTGTTAAGGGAGATGGGAACCTCTCCTACCTGGAGTCCCATCCTTTCCTGGAGTGCATATGCAGGCCTGGGCTGCAAGGCCAGGTTTGCTGCATTCCCTGCTCAAAAAAGAGGAGGAATTGTCTGTACAGGTGTCTGGGCACCATTGTCTGGGAGGAGCAGCCTCTGGGCCGAGCTGCATTTCGTATTCCAGTTCAGCAATCCCGGGAAGGAGAGCTGGGAATAGCACTGCAAGAATGAGAGGGTGAGCAGGTGGTGTTGTGAGGAGTTTGCTAAAAGAGATCCCCCAGCGTCCATGAAATTATTCCAGGCTCAGAAGGAGGGAGCAGAGTGGACAAAGTCCAGGGTCATTACACTAATTGACACTTTACCTCCGGGAAGTCCCTGGAGATGCAATCAGGGCTGGATTGGAGCTCGGGGTCCCAGGCACAGGTGTGGGCTGTGCTTCCTTCATTTACTGTAATTGTGCCTTGGCAATCTGCTCCATCCTCCCCCCACAGCTCCTGGAACCTGCTCTGCTGCTTAACCCCAGCCTGCCCTCCCAGCACAGCCAGCTCTGCAGGAGGAGGGTTTGTCTCACCCAGAGTCAAACCCTGCTCTAATCCTGGGCTTCCACCTGAGGGGATGCTTCTCTGCCATCATTAAATGCACCCTCAAACAGATCAGCACCCAAATAAATCCAGGAGCATCTCTGGCAGGATTTCAGGATGTTTGTTTAGCACCTGGTCCTGCTGATTCACGCTGTCTGTCCTGGGAGTGATGGGGCCGTGGTGAAACTGAGAGGACTGGGACAAAATGGGAATAAAATAACAACTCACATAATGGCAGTCACAGAAACCTGACAAAGGGCTCTAGACCAGGCTGGACAGGGCTTGGAGCAGCCAAAGGTGATGAGGTTTAAACAGGGTAAACAGGATGAGCCCCTTCCAATCCAAACCATTCCAGGATTCCATGGTTCTAGGAACAGCAGCTCTCAGATTGATATGAAGTTATGGGAAGAGCATAAAACGTGGCTAATGATACTTTACTTCCTTCTCCCCTGGAATTATTTTAATTAAAACCATTATTTTTAATTCTGAAATACACCCAGATTCTGATAATTTGATTTTATCTGTTATCAGTGCTTTGAGGCTTCGCAGCACCGTGGTATCCAAGTCTTGATCTTGTCTTATTACTCAGTCTTCCTCAGTTCCTCTCTTCTATTATCAAGTTTATTTGCAATTTAAGGTCTGCACAATGCAGGAGGCAGAGACACGTTTGGGGCTCTGCTGCTGGAATTACTGGAGAGACTCAGAGGAGCCAAAGGAAAACAAATGAGGAAGCAAAGGCTGAAGGTGGCCCTTAGCCTGAGCCACCTCTGGTCCAGCAGCATCTTGGGCCAGATGCTTCCCTGGAGGCATGAGGGGCATGTGGCCACTGAGCCAAGGGAAACCTTGGAATTCCAGAATCATCCAGGCTGGAAAAGGCCTCCAAGGTGGGAGAGTCCAAGCTGTGATGATCAGCACACTCCTTGCACCAAGGAGATGTGGTGGTGCTGATCCTCCACCTGCTGACCTGTTTTCGTGGAAGTTTTCCCTCCCCAGCTCCCAGAATCCTGGATTTCACTGCCAGGAACCCCAGCACTGAAATGGCAAAGGGTATAAAGGTGGAGTGAGGAGTAAAGCCTTCAATCTGGGGATGAACAGAGGAAATAACAGCTATCCACTGATCCTCCTGCTGGCTGCTCCTGTGCTATTCCTGAAGTTTCATTTTCTCAGTCACAATTTAAGTACTGTGTTCTTCAGGCCACTTTCCTGTGGCTGCAGCACTGCCTGGACCTGTCTGTGGAGATCATGATGATGATGAAATGATGGCAAACTGCATTTTGCATTTTTCCAGCTGGTTTGTGCAGCTTTTTTCTCCCAATACTCCTTTTCATGCAGCATGACTCCACCCAGAACACCTGAGGGCTGTGGGCTGATGAAGCACGAGCTCCAGGCTGTCCCAGGCCCTGGGAGAGGGCAGCCAGGGTCCCAGAGGTGTTTGTGCCCATTGCCAGGCTCCAGGCTGATGATTCTCCTCCTCAGGTGGGTTTTATTTCCCCCTCTTCCCTCCAGCTGGCTCTGTCCCATCCCACCTGGCTCCCCTGCTTCTCCCACCTTGCTGCAGCCAGTCCCAGCGTGGTTGGTGCTCCATGGTTTTTATTGTCACCTCTGAGGCTCCTCAGCCACAATTTCCACACTTTTAGTGTCACCTCTCCTGTGGCAGCTGCTAATTCACCCCTGCAATGCAGCTGGTACCACTTCCCTCTTTTCCAAGATGAGGAGTCAGCATCTCCCCCAGGCACAATCCTTGTTCTTTGTTGTTATTCACATTTTCTCCCCTGTTTTGCACCTTCTCTCTCTTCCCCACAGCCAGGTTTGTGCCCTGAGCACTAAGGTGAGACTGGCAACTTTTCTGTCAGATCCTTTCCCCTTTAGCTTCCCTTCAGGAGCTCCTTCCCTTTTTTTTTCTGGCTCCATAACCACTGCAATTACCTCTCTGATGATTTCCTGAATTTTCCATCTGCTCGAAATAGGCACTTGTGAGCTCTCTTCTTAATTAATGTGTTCTAAAATCATTATGTTCATCAACCAAGGCTTATCACTTCCATTTTCTTCCATAATAGTAAAATCCATTGCCCTAAGTAAAACACAGGAATTTTGATGTTCATAATTCAATAAACTCATTGCTCAGAGCAGAAGCTGCTACAAACCTGGAGTAACAACAAGGTGTGAGCAGGCTGTACTTACCCTGTCCTCACTTGTTATTAAGCTTTGCACCTCTGGCTCAAACTGGCAGCATTTCAGAGATTTCTGTTATCAGTTCTTTGGCTTCAAAACACTTTTCCTACTTCAGGCTGCATTAGGTATTTTACTAACTGTATTTTAAGCTGTGCCAGCTTTGCTTTCTCAAAATATACATAAATATATATTTATATATCTCTAAAAATATAAATATTTATATATAATTATTTGTGTTCTTCTCGACTGATAATGCAGTATTTTAGTAAATGTCTGTATAAACAATAATCTGACTCAGATAATAAAACTGACAACTGCTTGTGAAGATGGTACCAACAGATAATTTTACTGAATTTGTCACATTGGAGAAACAAGTTCCCTCTGTGGTACTTAGCACACACACCACAGCCCAAAGATAACAGCATCTGGCCAAGGAAAAAACCTATCAGATCTTTTAGTTCTGCATTTGGATAAATTTGGTAGCAAGGGCAGTTATTGCATCCAGGGAGGAAACAAAGCCCTGCTCAGACTCAGGGAAATGCTTCTGCTTTCTGTGCTGCCCCACACACATTCGTGGTTACAGTATGAAGTTGAGAGCTATAAAAAAAAGAGATTTTCTGTCCCCAGCCTGCACTGATCTAGGTGACAAAAGGCACAAAGGGTTCACCTCCCACCACCAAGGATGAGGTGACTCCTACACAAGGGTCTAAAGGGGCTCCAGGAGAGAGACCTTGGACAAGGGATGGAGGGGCAGGACACAGGGAATGCCTCCCCCTGCCAGAGGGCAGGGCTGGATGGGATATTGGGGAAAAATTCCTGCCTGTGAGGGTGCTGAGGCCCTGGCACAGGTGCCCAGAGCAGCTGTGGCTGCCCCTGGATCCCTGGCAGTGCCCAAGGCCAGACTGGACAGGGCTGGGAGCAGCCTGGGATGGTGGAAGATGTCCCTGCCATGGCAGGGGTGGCACTGGATGAGCTTTGGGGTTCCTCCAAGCCAACCCACTCCAGGATTCCAGGATATTTCAAGGCAAAGGAGCAAACACAACTGTGTCCCTTGGCAGAAGATGGGGGGCAGGGGGGATTCAGCCAAATCAGAGGGGCAGCAGCAGGAAGAGAAAGTCCCAGCCATGGTGGGGGGCTGTTCCCAGAGCAGCTGAGGGCAGGGCTGCAGCACAAGAAGGGAACAATGACACGGTGCTCAGCAGTGCCAGACGTGTCCCCACACGCTGACAGGACCTGCCTGGGACTGCCTGAGCCATTCTTCACTGCATGTGGAGCTCTTTTGCTGGGATTGTTTGCAGGCAGGCTCCAGGAAATGCAGGGAACAGTGTGAGGAAGAGGAAGGACTTGTCCTGCCTCACCAAGAACCACAGGGAGCTGAACATGTTACTGCTGCCTCTGGGTCTTGCAGGACTTGCATTTTGAGGGATCCCTTTAGCAGCCACTTCAACAAAGACTGAAAAGCCTTGTTTGATTTTTGGAAAAATATCCACTCATCTTCCCAATATAGAGTAACAATCATGGAATGGTTTCTGTGGGAAGAGACCTCAAAAGTCATCTAGTTCCAACCCCCATGAGATGACTCAAATAATGGTGGGCTTGGCAGGGCCAGGTTAATGGCACTTGATGGTCCTAAGGGTCCAATCTTAAATATTCCCTGAATCTACAAAGCTGCAGCCTTGAAGAACTGTCCCTGTGTGTCCTGCACGTGCAGTGTCCCAACCCTGCAAGCCAGGGGTGCTGCTGCAGGTGACTGAGCTGCTGCTTCCTGGGATTCCCTGGCTCTGAGATCCCAAATATAGAAGCAGTGAATCCCTCTGGAGGTGCATGTGATGCCAGGCCCCCCTGAGCAGCAGTGACACCCACTGCTGCTGGCTTTGCACGTGACCCCACTCCAAACTCATGTACATCAAGAGAGATGACAGATTATTAAAATCATTTCAAGGGAGAAGAAAAGGCTGTACTATATAAGGAATAAATGTAATAAAAAGTGAGCAAAAGCAGGCAGGGAGAACAGAGCCAGCACGCAGGGACAGACAGATGCAGGCTGGGAGCAGGATGCTGGATTCCCTTTGGAGAAACATTAGTGTCGGGACTCCCAGCAGGCTCCCTGCCAAGGGGGATAATTAAGCTAAATAAAAATACACACCAGGAACAGCTCCACAAATGAGGATAATTTAATTACCACATTCGATAGAGCAGACCCACTTCCCAAGAGTTTTCCATTGTGACCAGAGAGGAGACAATAGCAGCAGAATGTGCTGGAGAAAGGAAGAGTGGTGTGCTAAAGCCAGGGTTTCTATTAGGGGCTGCATAATAAACACCAGCCCAGCTCTCATAATCGGGTCATAATCTTGCCATAAAATTCAATCAGAGCAACAGCTTGTGAATATCCAAAAAATCAATGCAACCATATGAGAAATGATTGCAGTTGGAACCCTGGAATTTATTTCAATGCTCACTCCACGGTGGTGGGAAGGAGCAGTGGAATCACAGGGAAGCAGGTGCTGCAAACACCTCTGAGGGAAGAGCTGCTCTGCCTCAAATCCAGAGGAAACACAAACAGTACCACAGGAGCCCAAAATCACAGAGCATTTAGGGCTGAGAGTTCTAGAGCTCATCCAGTGCAATCCCCTGGCAGGGCAGGGTCACCTGGAGCAGGTGACAAAGGTGACACACAGCAGGCATGCCACAGTTCAGTTACTGCTACCCATTTTTTTCATTTTTGGAAAAAGAGATTATTTCTATACACTTCTTTCCTAAGAATCACAGAATCCTGGAGTGGTTTGGGTTGGAAGGAACCTTAAAGCCCATCCAGTGCCACCCCTGCCGTGGCAGGGACACCTTCCACCATCCCAGGTTGCTCCCAGCCCTGTCCAGCCTGGCCTTGGGCACTGCCAGGGATCCAGGGGCAGCCACAGCTGCTCTGGGCACCTGTGCCAGGGCCTCAGCACCCTCCCAGCCAGGAATTCCTAATTCCCAATCTCCCATCCATGCCTGCCCTCTGGCAGTGGGAGGCATTCCCTGTGTCCTGTCCCTCCATCCCTTGGGAAATGAGCCAGTGTTGAACTGCCCAGGTCTCCCCTGGAATCCCAGCCCGGTTTAGTTTCACTGAGCTGTATTTACAGCCCTGGGGCTGCAGCTGTGCTCTGTTCATTAGTGCTGGAATGCAGCGGGAGCAGAGCCCCCAAAGAGCTTTACCCACTACTGATGCACCTCTAAAGTGCTCTGTTAAGTGAGAGAGAATGGAAATTTTCCCTCCCCTCCTCTCTCCAGTGAAAACACTCAGTGGACAGCACAGGCTCAGCTCCTCTGGAAGGAATGGGGTGAGTGTGTCCACTCAATTATTCAAACCAGCTGAGTAATTGCAGCCCTGTCAGCTCAGGAAACATCTCTGCCTCTCCAGGCTGCTGCACAAACCCAGTTCTGGGCAGGCAGTCCCAGCAGCTCCTGCTCCTTCTTGATTTATTTCCACACTCTCCGTGTCAGAGCCCCTGGAAGGGATGAGGCTGCGTGTCCCTGGATTTGCTGCAGGGAGGGAGGCAAGGAGGGAGGTGGGGACACCTTGGGAGCATTTTTGGAGGTGGCAGGGTTCTTTGTGGGCTCTGCTGGCTGCTGACTGCATAAATCCTTGTGGGAATCTCTCAGGGCATGGTGTGTGCCAGAGATAAATATTACAATAGCAGGCTTAGAGGAAAATGGATTCAGACAGCCAGGAGAGCCCCAGGAAGGAGCAGGATTGGGCACAAAATCCTCCTGCTAAACACCTCTGGAGAAGCTCCCTCAGCTGGGCAGGAGACTGGAAGGTGACCAGTCTGCCCTCCAGAGATTCCAGCAGCACACAGCACTGGCTGTTTGTCCCCTGGCCCCAAGGCTCCCAGCTCCAAGGCACAGCTCCCCAGCAGCTCTGTTTGAACGTGCTGCACTCAGCCCTGTCCTGTCCAAAAACTGGTGTTTTCCTCCTCCCCGAGGGGCTGCAGGACACACAACAAACAGCAACAGCCAGGCTGACAAGTCCATGTGCACACCCATCTCACCTGACCTCCTGAAAACAAGCTTTTGTTCCTTCTCCAGAGAAAAAGCCAGCAGGAAAGCCATTATTTCCCAGCGTGGCTTTCTGGGACACTTTTAAAGCAGATTTCAAGAACCAGCAAGTAAATTTGGAACAGTGACACTGCTGAGTGTTCAGGACAGCCCATGAAGTGGCTCACCTTAAGGGGTACTTCTCACCAGGGTCCCTGCCCAGGTGGAAGAGCAGGGGCAGGTGGGTGTGCTCCTCCTGGGTGTGGGTGGTCACTCCAGCCACGCTCTGGCCAGGACAGAAATCGATGCCCTGCATGAAAAAGGAGAGAGGTCATCAAAGGTGATGCAGGGCAGGCAGCAAAACTTGAACTGATGCCATTTTCTCCAGCAAAACACCAACAAACCTCAGGATTATTTTAAACCAAGAGTCCACTTCAATCTCCAAAACACATTCTGAGCTGGTGGGGTAAAATAAGGTGAGCAAGTGGTGTTGCACTGACATAAGAGCTGAAACAAGGCCGTGCATTCTTGTCTTATAAAAATATAATCCCACTAAAATATTCATTAAAATGAAATGGCAGAACAAAAGACAAAGAGGTGGAAGCATTTAATCATAAAAATTCTGCACGTGGAAAGGATTTTCTGGCTGGTTTTTCTGGCTTTGGAAAGCCTCAGGAAGATGGGATTGCTTGACACTTCTGATCAAAACCAAAAGCTCAGGAGAGACATCCAGACACCCTGCGAGGCAGCAGGCACCTGAAAACTCCCCTGGCAGCACCTGAAGGATCAGTTTCTCTGAGAAATGAAGCAAATCTGGATAATTTTATAAAAACTGGTGCGTTTTCAATTTGATTCATGGCAAGCTGGTACTGAGGGACTCACCTGGGCATGACAGTGGGGATGGGAGAGCTGCAGGAAGGGGAGACATTCCCACATTCCTGTCTCTGACCATCTGGGGGGGCACAAGGTGGGATTTTCCCTGCAGCAGCAGTGGATTTGAAAGGCACAGCTCCTGGGAATGTGCTGGGGAAGCAGCTGGGAGCAGCAAGGGGTTAAATGCTCGCTGGGCACCAGCCCTGCCAGCCCTGCCAGCCCCCCTCCCTCCCTCCCCAGCCCTGCTTTGCCAGTTGGGAGCTCCCTAATCCCTGGCCTGCAGCCTCCAGGGCCACCAGAGCCCATTTAAACCCCGGCAAGAGCCAAAAATGCAAAAGCACTCATTTCCCTGGGCAGGCAATAAAGCAGGGCCCCCCAGCCCAGCCCAGCCCAGCCCAGCCAGGCCCGGCCCCAAGTGGACTTGTTAAAGCTGGGTTTTACAATTGCAGCTCCCACGCTGTTCCTCACAATCCCAAAGTGCCCCGAGGCACGGACAGAGACATGGAGAGCAGGTAAATGGGAGTGCTGCAATGGAAGTGGGAAAGCAGCTGCAGCATTTGCTTATAAAACAAACTGAAAAGGCTCTCTACAGATGTTGGTAGGATTTGATTGGCAAACAATTTTCTAAAAATATCCCGTGTTTCTAATGGACAGCTGGTCAGTGGAGCAGTTAATATTCTGCTTTTCAATAAAGCAAGAAGTTTAGAAGCCCATGAAATCCCATTTATCTGCACAGGGCTATAGATTCCTGAATCACTGACTGGAAAAATAAGGGAGTTGCTTGATAGGTTGGAGTGGCCCTACCAATAATGGACTTTAAATGGATACAAAACTGATTGACCTTCCCACCCTGTGATGCCACAGGCCTCTGAAACACACAGGGAAAAGAGATTTTTGTGGGTTTTTTCCCCCACAAAAGGACCAGTTAATGAAAAGGTATCAAAGCCTCCATAACATCCAAATTATAATTTGGATGCAAATCAAACAAGCAATTTAATTAAGAGCCTGCTAATTGGTACAATGCTCCTCGGCTGCAAATGCTTCAGTGTGAAAGATTTTCGTCTCTCGGGTGTTTGTTTAGACATTGCTCTGTTTCTATTTTATCTGGTGTTTCCCAGGAAATCCTTGCAGCCCAAACTCCAAAACAAAATCCCAAAGATTCCCAGGAAAGAAAATGCTGGGACAATTTGCCTGATGCCACCAGCCCAAAGCCACCTGTCATTCCAATTTAAGCACTCAGTGCCCTCTTGAAAAGCAGCCTAGTGGAGAAAAGTCAAATAAATAAATAGGTAAGTAAATAAAACCCCAAGAATACCATTTTAGAACATTTCTAAGGCATTCCAACTTTATCCCTGCAAATAAAATGGAATATTGCTATTTTTATGTACTCTGTGAGTCAATATTCAACCTGCAGAGAGAGCTTCAAAGATTTTCTATCTATTCATCAACAAATTAGTAAAAAAAAAAAAAATATATATATATATATATATATATATATATATATAAAATTCAATTTTATTTATTTTGTATAGATAGGTTTGGTGATGTTTGGAGCTGGAGAAGAGTCAAGAACTGCCTAAGCCTGTCCTACCCAGCAGGATAACACCACCCAGTTCCACTCTCCTGCTATCCCTAAAGCTGTTTATTGTCACACTGTTCATAGCAACATGCAGGGATCAATAATTTGGACACATTCCTAATTTTTGTCCCTGCTCCCTACCCAAGGTAACGGGTGGAGTCCCCATCCCTGCAGGTGCTCAGGGCAGGACTGGATGTGGCTCAGTGCTCACACCTGGGGACTGGGCCCTCCATGACCCTGGAGGCTTTTCCATCCTCCAGGGTTCTGGGACTTGCAGGGCTCACTGATCAAACACAGCACAAAGGTCACTGCCTGTGTTTCAGCAAACTCCTGGAGCTTTTCTCCTCCACCACAAAAGCCTGAAAGGCAAACCAGAAGCTCCTGTCTGGAGCATCTGCTGCCTTCTAAGGGAGCCCAAACAGAGCACCAAGAGCAGCTGAGCTCCTGCCCAGCTCTTACAGTGTTTTGCACCACCACAGAAACCTGTTTGCTGCAGGAGAGAGTCCAAAAATCCTTTCCTTCAACGATTCTGATTAAAACATGACACTCCCTGCCCACCAGGTGAGCCTTCCAGCCACCACCATGCCTGTCCTCAGCAATCTCACAGCCCGGCTTGTTTTTCCATCCCTGGGATGCAGCAGCCTTTGGTTGCACAGCTTTAATTTCCAGAGCAAATGGCCCACAGATGCTGTGTCAATATAGACATGAGACAAACACAGCCGGTTGCCAGTTTGGGCTCCCTGCCAGGAGATGGAATCACCACTTGTGTTAACGGGAGCCCTCTGGCAATTCCTCAGCCTGGCTCCAGCCCAGCTCTGCCTCCTGCTCTGCTGTCCTCGCCCCACCAGCACCACCCAGGGCACCAAAAGCAGGTGAACACTGCAAGGAGAAAAGCGCAGCTGTCAATTAAAGCCTGGATTTTTTTGTTTCTTGCTGTTTGCCACAGCACAGGTAAACGGTGCCCTTGCCCTCCCGGGGAAATCCTCCTCGGGATGAGCAGTCAGCTCCAAGTGGGGGTGCCAGGCTTCAACCCCGTGCACCCAAAATTGCTTCTGATGTGTGAAGAGGCTGGAAGAGATCCCGGAGATGGGCAGCTCCTGGGGATGGGCAGATCCTATGGATGGGCAGCCCTGGAGATGATGGGCATCCCTGTGGATGGGCAGCCCCTGTGGATGGGCAGATCCTAGGGATGGGCAGCCCTGGAGATGATGGGCAGCCCTGGGGATGAGCAGCTCCTGGGGATGGGCAGATCCTATGGATGGGCAGATCCTATGGATGGGCAGCCCCGGGGAGGATGGGCAGATCCTATGGATGGGCAGATCCTATGGATGGGCAGCCATGGAGATGATGGGCAGCCCCAGCGATGATGGGCAGCCCCCGGGGATGATGGGCAGCCCCCGTGGATGGGCAGACCCCGGGGAGGATGGGCAGACCCCGGGGATGATGGGCAGACCCCGGGGATGATGGGCAGCCCCTGTGGATGGGCAGCACAGCGAGCTCCGATCGATGCCTGGTTCATATGCTCAGAGGACCAAAATCAAATGTCATTATTTGTGAGGTTCTACTTGACTTCACATCCCCAGCGCAGAAAAGGCTTTATCGATCCCTTCACGTGCAGGAGAAGGGCAATCGCAGAGCCTGACTGGAATAAGCCCTTTGGCATTTCGCATTAAAACAATAGCGGCAGCCTTTAAAGCCGCAGGAGCGCTCGAGGAATCCCACTGAAGGCTCCCAACAAGCTGACAGCACAAAGGTTGATGTTATCAGCCCCCCTCCCACAACCAAAGGGCGTTTTCCACGTTTTTTCCTTCGTTATTTTTTTCCCCTTCATCAGTGTTCTTGGGAGGTACAAGGACTGTTCTGTGCTGGATGCTTTTGGTGGGAGGCAGAGAAAAGGAAATTTCCTTTCTCCTGCTACCTCCCATTCCTGCCTCCTCTATCCAGCACTACATTAGGAAATTTCTGAGGACTTGCTGCCTACTCTGGTAAATCTATAGAAAACACCCATTTTTTACCATTTCAGACTCCTACTTTCAAAAAACCCCAGCATTTGACAGGTGGCTGCCAATAAAAGTCCTGTGTGTTTTCACTGTCCAAGAGGGACCTCCCCAGGTTTATCCTCAGTTCTCCCTTTGCTCCTGCACACGTGGCTATTTTCATCCCTGCTGATTTTTGCTACCAGGAAAAAAAAGGTGAACAACAATGGAAAAGCTTTGATATCCACCAGTCCTGGAGCAGCAGGGACTCAGCCCACGTGCAGGAGGGAGATTTTTCTGCCTCTATCAAACTGTTTAAAAATACAAACACATTTTTCAAGTCAGGCTTCCTTTCATCTCCCTCTGTCCCATTTATCACCTCTTGAATGTCAGAGATGTCAAATTATGTAAACATGAGCCACCTATATAGATGGAAGGCAGGTAAACAGCTCCAAATAAGCATCCTGTGCAATCCTCAGGGGAAATGTCCCACAAAATGCTTATTCCCACTTGATTCTGCAGAGTGAGCCTTCCCTTTATGCCTTCAAGAGACCACCCCCTCAAGAATCAAGAAATCCAGTTAATCCAGCAGAAAAGGCAGCATCAAGGTATCCTCCAGCACTGAGAGAAACTACAAGACTTCCTGACAGGAGTTAGACTAGAAAAAAAAAATTGCTTGGGGGTTAAAAAATAAACAAACAAAACCTGGGAAGAACAGAACAGCACAATTCATCTGTGTGTCAGATGACAAACCCTAATCCCAGGCCATAAGGCAGAGGATGCAGACCAGTAAGGGCATGCTGCTGTCATGGGACTGGAGGATGACAGCAAACCTGTGTGCTGCCTGCACGGGATGTTTCCAGAGTAAATATTCCGAGTGCCAGATGGAGAGGAGCCCTCAGAGCCCTGCTCTGCTTTGCTAGGCTGTGTTTTCTGCAGGCTGTGTCTCCCTGGTACGTTTTTATTTGTGTGTACATCCTTTATTACTGAACCAACTCACACCCCAGTCAAACACAGCTTTCCAGGTGAGGGGCCACATCCTCCCTCACCATCCTGCTCAGCCCAAACAGACCCAGGACAGAAACCATCTCCCCATTTTCCAGTATCAGCATGAAAATGGGGTTCTGGCTGCTTTAATGAGATAATCCCATCTGAAAGTCAAACAAAAATGTGGATTAAACCCAGGGCAAGTTTACTGTGTCAGTGATTTTCCACACAGTCAATTACCAAGGGAATTCTGAAAGTGAAAGGAGGGCTGGCTAAAGCCTGTCTGTCAAAACCATGAAATATTGCCCTACCCATAAAACAAACCTCTCCAAAACGTGCAGGCAGCTGTTTTGCCACATCTGGCCAACTTCAGCTCTCTTTCCAATGCATGACAGTAAAAACACATATTCCAGGTCTGAGTGGGGACCTTCACACAGAGAGTTTTGTATCCAGACGTCTCACTGGATTCACAATGAGGAAAGACCTCTAAAGATCATACAATTAACAAATCCTCATTAGCTGGAGTTCTACTGGGATGGCAAGTCAACCTTATTGAACAAACAGCCAACAGTCAGAATTCCAAATGCCACAGATGTGCATGGATTTATAGTTGTTTTTCAAATGGAATTAGCAAACAAAGTGGCCTTTTTGATTCCAGAGTCCAATATCAACACAGCTGGGGAGCCCAGTCACTGAAAGAGGGAACTGTGCTGTAAGGTGAGCTTAGAAACTCCTCCAGCAGGGCTGGGAACTGCGGAGCTGCTCTGCATTCTGATTTATTTCTATTTTTAAACTTGCGAGGTTTGTAATTAATGGCTCGAAGACATGAGGAGAATTGGAACAAATCTCAGCCTCAGCTTCCTCTGCGTGTTGTTAATGGCTGCTCTGGCCACTAATGTGCTCCAATTTTCCCCACATCAAGCTCATGTGATCCAAGCTGCAGGAAAGAGAGTGGATTTGTAATCGTCTCTCTGATGTACAGGATAATTGCTGACTTTTATCAGACAGCAGTTAAACAAAGGCTTGGAAAGAAATAAATATTCCTTAATTGCAGCACTGCCACTGCTCACAGTGGGAGAGCCTCTGGAAGGAGTAGCTGGTCCCCATTATCACTGTTCCACACTCAGACATGTAGGAATGAGTTGAGTTCCATGCAGGGGTTTATTTATTTCCCAACTGGAATGTGGGTATGTGCTTTTATCACCACGGAGAGCAAGGATTCCTGTGGGAATCTGCCACCCCTACACCCAAACACACAGACAGAGGAGCTCCCAGTTCCTCCCACCCAGGGAAAACCCTCCACGGGTGATAAACAGGTTTTACTCACACACAAGACAAATAAATGATCTCATTTTATCTGTGTGGAATTAGCACCGAGACAGAGCATAAAAAACATTTCTAGAGCCAACTTTCCTTTCCTGCCTGCTCCCTGTAAAACCAGCTTTGACTCCTGAAGCACTGCAGTCTGAAAAAAGACAAACACACATTTACAGCCCTGAATGGAAATGACTCCCTTGGAGCTGACACTTCCTTCTACCCCCAGGACATCCCAGTGAAAGAATCCCTGCACTTTTATATCCACAAATGTCACCAGCACTTAGTTCTGCACCTGTGATGCCTTGAGGACCTTCCATAAGTTAAAAAAAAAAAAAAAAAAGCATTAAAAAATAAATCATGCAAACAATCCCTCCCCAAGCCCAGGCTGCTGTCAGGATTGCTGAGAGCTGGGCCTTAATGCTCTGGGTTCCTGTCTGAAGGGATCTGCAGCAAGGCACACATGTGAAACTGCCACTCAGCAAATGCCCCAGAGATTAGAGCAAGGAAAGACACAAAAAAAAAAAAAAAAAGGAAATAATAGTGCTTAACATCTAACTGTGAGGAGATTAGCCAGGAAATAAATAAAATAAATAAAATGGTGTACATAGCGTGATGTGGGCTCACAAAAGTGCTGATAACAGATTCAACACGTTTATTTCACTGTTTTCAACCACTGCTCTATTTTCCACTGTGCCTTTCCTACAGCTTTGCTTTTAAACCATCACAAACCCAACAAACTCATCCCAGTTCCATTTCAATCGTTCAAAATAGGTGTTTTGTGCCAGCAATTGTGAGACTCGTGGTCAGTGTGGCACCAGGCTCCAGACATTCCCAGAATCACAGAATATCCTCAGCTGGAAGGGACTCACAAGGATCAGGGAGTCCAACCCTAGGTGAACATCTAAAAGCTCAGGATTCAGCAGGGAAGGTTTAATATTAAGAGGGATTAAGTGCTGATTAAAGGGAGCATCCCTCAGAACAACTTGGAATTTGCTCATTTTCCTCTCTTTGTGCCTGATTTCAGGAGATGGGGGTCCAGTCCCCTCAGGTTTTTTTAGGATCACAGAATTATTTAGGTTGGAATATCCTCTGAGCTCATTAAGTCAAACTGCTCCCCCAGCACTGCCAAGGCCACCACTGCATGTCCCCAAGTGCCACATCCATATGGCTGTTAAACAGGGGAACTGGGACTCCACCACCTCCCTGGGCAGCTGTGCCAGGGCTGGACAGCCCTTTTGGGGCAGAAATATTCCTGATACCCAACAGAAACCTGCACAGCAGCTCTGGCACCTCTGAGGAGGCTGAAGCATGGTGACATCCCCCAGTTCAAAGGGTGCCTGTCCCCAGGATCCCAGTGACTCCAGGCCAGGTCCCAGTGCCTTTACCTTGCCATGCTCCTCCCAGGAGTTGCTCCAGGTCCAGTAGTGAGCTTTGTACAGCCCAGCTCTCACTGCCATCAGCTCGTTGCCACGATAATAGAAAATGGGCCTGGAAGGAGAGCAGAGCAGCATGAGAAACACCAAGAGCCCGGGCCCTGATAAGGGTCACAAACCCCTTAATGGCATCCCACTTCCCATGTGGATATCAGGCAGGAACAGGCTGCCTCCTAATAGTCTCCTCTGCAAGGTTTTCAATTAACATTTCTTAAAGTGTTCATCAAGTTGAGAGCTCACAGGGTGCAAGAATGAAACATTATCCAGCTTGGCTGCCAGTGATTGTTAATCCTTGAACTCTCAGCCCCTGGGATTTCCTCTGGAGCGTGGCGGTTCCAGTGTCAAACAGCTCTCAAGTGTCTGCCTGGCAGGGAAAAGGGGATTCACGGGCTCTGGGATGCTCAGGCTCCTCTGCCCAGCTCCACAGCTCTGCCACGGAGCTGGCAGTGCCACCTGGGCAGGGTGGAGCTGGCAGTGCCACACGGGCAGGGTGGCCAGGAGGACACCAGATGCCGACGTGTTCTGGATGACATCTCTGAGAAACTCCACATGGAAAAACCTGGCAGCCAGACATGCTGTGGTTTTAATTCCTCTCCATTTTTTCCCCCCAAACCTCACTTTGCAGCATGTAAACACGCTGCTAAAGCTGCACTTGTTCCCAGAGGTTTCCCTAATTAATAATTCATCCAGGAAATGCATCTCACTCGCTGCATCTGTGCTGTTCCCTGGGCATCCCAGCAACGTTCCTGTTGGTTTTCCCAACAAAACACTCCTGGTTTTTTTGAGGGAACAGCACAAAATTTTACTGGAAGGGACTATCTTCCAGCAGGAGAGGGGGTTGATTTGTTGGTGCAGCTCCTCTCTCCAGCTCTTTTGGGCTGCTGACAGGACACGAGGGTGAAGCAGTTTGTCACTGTCAGGGGGAACCTCTATTTTTCCTTCTCAGATGCCAATCCAAAAATGACTCACTCTGGTGATGTCACCTAGAAAAACCTGTCCCTAAATGCACGGTGAAATTTAAATATCCCTGTGTGAATGACAGGAGTGGCCTCAGAGCTCTTGTAGCCTCACAGTAACAATGAGCCTCCCTCCTTTGTCACCAGGAGCTGCCACCAGGAACAAAGGGGAAACAAGTTGGTCCCCAGGAAGAAGGGGAAGCTGCTCCCAGAAAAGCCCATTCCTGCATCCTTAATGCACCTGGAAATGAAATAAAGGCAGCAAGACAGACCTGCCAAAGTGCAGCACCTGATCTAAACCAGTGCCATCAACAAAACCTCCCAAAAATATTCCATACAGCATTCCAGTCTCCTTTTCCTTGCCATCAACGGCCAATATTTGAGCAGTTATTATGTGCCCTCCTGACGGAAGGTTTTAGGTGTTTCCTTGTAAAAAAAATTACATTTTCTATTCTGAAGGAGGATTCCAGCTTGTACTCAATATTCTGATATAAATTATTTCTTTCCCCCTCCATTCACTTTTTCCTTTTTAAGCTTTAAAGAACACAACAACTGCATCTCCTGGAATTTTTGGGGGGCTGTGAAAACTTTGTCCTGTTCGTGTCTAGGAAAAAAAAAATAAATAAATAAAGAAGGAAAAAAAAGCCACAATGTGCTTTGAGTGACTGTTATTGTAACACAAGCAAGGGATTGGTGACTGCATTGAAATTCCCTTTTAAAACAACAAAGAAACTTTCCAAACTTCCAGAAGATGGGCCAGGCTGTGTTTGAGGAACCTGCAGGGCTCCTGTCAGGTAACACTCAGGTGTGCTCCTTGCTTAAGAGGCACAAAAGGAATTTCACAGCACAAAGGCTCTCATCCAACAAGGAAAAGAGCTCCAAAAATGTTTTCCATGCATAAGTTTCCTTGCAATCTCCCAAAGAATGTGATTGTAGTCAGATTTCCCAGGCTGCCAAATTCCTCACCAAAATCACAACTCCAAGACCTCTCTTGACCTCTGACACTTCCAACAAAATAATTCTTGGCAGGATTTGCTGTCAGATCTTGGTGCCTGTGCCCAAGAGCTGACAGCACATAAAGATTCCAGGTCTTTCACCCAAATCTATCCCTGCAGAAGCATTCCCAGATCCAGCACCTTGGGAAGAGGATTTTCCTGGTGTTTCCAGGTCCTCTGCAGCAACACAGCCTTCACCTCCTAGATCTGCAGCAGGACAAGGACCCAGCAGACTCTGGGCAGCTTTTGCAGTGATAAATAATGGATTCCCCCCCAGCCAGGCTCCAGTTCTCAGGCTTTTATCTCCCCTCCTGCCATATGTTGTTCCAGGGATCCCTGCTAACCCTGTGACATTTTCATCTGTCCCCAGACTCCACTGTATGGCAACATGCCACATGTCAGGAATTCCCACCTCAGCTTGTTCCAGCGGAGCAGGAGCGCAGGGGGAAGCTCTGCTGCTGCCTGCATTCAGCTTCCACCAAATACTTGTGAGCTGGTGATAAAAAAGCAGCCCCAAATCTGGCATCCCTTCAGGCAGGAGCAGGGCTGGCAGCTCTGGGATAATCACTGACCTGTCAATTAGCTTGCCCTGCAGGATGACAGGTAAAAGGTCGATGCCATCAATCTGTCTGTCACTGGGAGGCTGCAGACCCGCCAGGGAGAGGCTGGTGCTGAACAGATCCATCACACTGCCCAGCTGATGGCTGACCTGCAACCCAAAAATCAACAGAAGCACATTTGCAAACAGCCCTTCAGGAAAAATCTGTATGGAAACAGGTTCCCTCCAAAGCACCCTGAAAACCTCTCCCTTTACACTGCTGCAGTCACCAGTAAATTCCTCTGGAAACAATAAAGCAAAGGAAACAATCCCCATTTCTCCACTTCCAGGGAGAATTTGCATTTTGATTCTTTTTTTTCCATTTTCCTCTCCCTCTCCTCACTCCTGTGTATCCCTTTTCCAGGAGTGTGCTGTTGCAGGGCTCAACTTAATTTAGCAAAATCCAGCTCATTTGTGGACTGAAAAATCAGCACTTACACCGAGGGAAAAAAAAGTCCTTGATTTGTTCCCTTCTCCAGGTCATCTCTGGAGTCCAGAATACCCTGAGAGAGTTCTCAGAAAGCACAGGGATAGATGGATAATAACAAAAAGAGCCTGATGACTTCATCTGCAAACCATTTCCAACAATTCAAGAACTGTAAAGTTGTGGTATTTTTAGTCCATATTTTAATAAGGGAGAAAAACATCTGGGTTTGGCTTCAATGGAGATGTGCAAGGATTTTTTTCCCCCTTTTTCCTTACTTGGAAGCCATACTCATCTCTATGCTCTTAATTATTTATATTTTAAAACCCTACAAAGTCTGTTCTGCCTGATTCTTTGTGAGTCTTTGCTCCCTCCCCGATGGTGGGAGTTGTTGCAGGGTGTTTAATTAGTCAGTGACACACTCAGTTAAAGCAGATGCTGCCAGATCAGGAGCACCAGGATGCACCAGCACAAGATGTGACAGGAAAAGAGCATTTGCAGCCACAGCACTTGTAGGGAAACAAGAAACCATTGGATACAGCCCCACAGCTGTGAGCACCAAAGCACTTTCTGACTAAAATCCAAGTCCAATCCCAACAGAACAATGTTGGGACTATCAAAGACCTTTTACCTCTGATTCCTTCTACTCACAAACAGATCCCCAGCCTCTAAGCTGACACAAATTATTTAAATGCAACAAATGATGACACGATAAATGAATTTTTATGAGATGCTGGCTCAAAAATAAAGGGAGAAAAAAGGGATACTAAACCTTGTATTAAGAGGCTGGGCTGAACAAAGTGAACACAAAGGAAGAATTAAGAAATTAAAAAGAAAAAGAACTGGAGAAAGCAACATGCAGGGGCCTAATTACGAGTTTAACATTACAATATCACATTACTTGATTACAGTCATTTCAATTTTTAATGGCTTTCATTCATCAGGAGGTGTTGGCAGGAACACATCTTATTAAAGCTGCATGCAAGAATCCTGCCACAATTCCTTGGGAGGAAACAAAGTGCAAAGCTTGAAGCACAAGAGGGAACCTGGCTGTGGAAAATCCTTGGGAAAGCAGCTGGATCAGCTGACCATGACCAACAGGTCCTGGGCCCCGGAGTTCAGGATTTATCCATGGCCACAGCCTGGGAAAGGTCCTGCTCAGCCTGGCTGTGGGGGCAGCCACAAAGGGAGATGTTTCCCACACAAGCTGTGGTTGCCCCAGCTCTGGAAGTGCTCAAGGCCAGCTTGGATGGGGTTTGGAGAACATTTATTCTTTATTTTAGTGCAGCCTTTTCCTCTCCTTAAGATGATTTTAATCATCCAGTCCCACTTCCCAGCTCCAGCAGGGCCATCCCAGAGCACAGGGCACAGGATGGTGTCCAGGCAGTTCAGGGATGTCCCCTGAGGGAGCTCCACACCCCTCTGGGCACAGAGGAAAGCTCTGCCTCCTGTCCAGGTGGAACTCCCTGGGATCAGCTCCTGCCCATCCCTCCTGTGCCATGGCTGGGAGCAGAGCCTGGGCTGTCCTCTCCCCTCCCTGCACAGGGACATGGCCGAGGTCCCTCTGAGCCCTGTTCCTGCACAGGGACACGGCCATGGTCCCTCTGAGCCCTGTCCCTGCATAAGGACATGGCTGAGGTCCCTCTGAGCCCTGTCCCTGCACAAGGACATGGCCATGGTCCCTCTGAGCCCTGTCCCTGCACAGGGACATGGCCATGGTCCCTCTGAGCCCTGTCCCTGCACAAGGACATGGCCATGGTCTGAGCCCTGTCCCCAGGGCTGAAGCTGAGCCATGAGCAGCTCCCAGCCTCAGGAGCTCCTCCCCGGGCTCATTCCCACCTGCAGAGCTGCAGAAGGAGCAGCTCCAACCCCTCCTGCTGCCCCCACCCAGCCCAGGAGGCAGCCCCTGGCTGAGCCCTTTTGTAATCAGAGCTCTCACAATTTCTCCATCGAATCCAAAAATCACTTTTCCTGTTGTGGCTCCGTCCCAACGCCTCAATCTTTTGATAAGAGGCAATTGCTGACCCCGGGCTCATGCCTTTAATGTCACCTCATTTATCCAGAGCGTGGGGACAATCCTGGGGGGCCAGCACGCTCCCCTTGTCCTGGCCCTTATTAACCAGCAGCAGATGTAGATGACTCTCTTTAATCATCCAATTACGTTTCTGGTCTCAGACAACATTTTTGCCGTGAAGCAGAGAAAACTTCTTAAGGAAATTAAATGCCCATGCCACAGCCACTTGGATTTATCTGTGCTCTGCAGCACCACATTGAAGAAGGAAAAAGGGGTAAAAAAAAAAGGTTAATGTTTATATAAAACTTTGAAGTATTTTCAGAGAAAAAATAAAAAAATTACCATTTTTCTCCTGTCAACAGGGCTCTTTCATTCTAGTTGCCTTTCCCTTTTATTTATTTCATTTTTTTTCTCAAGAAAAGAAAAAGAAAAATCCAGAGAGGGCAACAGCCCAGAGAAAATAAATAATATATAAACGGAGGGAGATCAGATATTGCTGTATCAGTGAGGAACAGCCGGTATTACGCACGTAAGGACGGATTTTTCTCCCCCTCCTTCCCCCCCTTCTTTTTAATAAACTCTCAGTATCCACACAACGTCTTTAAGAAAATGAAATCCTTTTGCTGTGGGCCACGGCGCTGGAAGAAATAGTCCCCAGTGCTGTTATCAGTGCTTTCAAGCTTTAACTCTGAATCAAAGGCGACAATTAATAAAGTCGCCCCCGCCAGGAATGGAAAGGAGGAAAGCTAAATATTTGAAACTGGGTGAACAAATGTCAGGGTGTTTTTAAATAAAATCCTTTTACAGTTATCACAGCGAGCAGACCTGATATCCCTGTCTAATTCAATTTCAATTTGCGCCCCATGGGAGATAGGGAAGAAAAGGTTGCAATGCTGTCTTTGGGTTGATATGTTCTTTTCTCCTTCAGGAAGCAGGCACGAGAGAGGAAGGGGAGGAGGGTGAGGGGAGAGAGGAGGAGGATTCAAATACCAATAGAATATGATTTTTTTTTTTCCAGCTGGATCCTTCCAGAAGGCAGATGTGATGTGGGGAATGTTGAAACGCTGATTTGTTGTGAATTCACCTGGAAAACGGAGCTGAGGAGGGAAGTGCAGCCAGGCTGTTTGTGTGGGAATAAATATTCCTGGTGGGGAGCAGAACTCACTGAGTGTTGATGCCAAGAGCAACACACACTCCTGAGGCATCTTTCCCCTCCAAAAACCTGCAAACCAGCCAACTGCACCAATTATCCCCAGCTCCACGGAGAGCCTGGCAGGTGCTCCCACCCTGTCCCTCACTCCTTATGTTTAGACCGAGCTGCTGCTGTATTCCAGCACAGCAATGAGCTCTTTAATAAAAACAACCCCCCCAGCCTTATGGATCAATAAAATTATTAATAAACTGCCAGGTGGAATCATGGAATGGTTTGGGTTGGAAGGGACCTGAGAGCTCATCCAGTGCCATCCCTGCCATGGCAGGGACACCTCCCACTGTCCCAGGCTGCTCCCAGCCCTGTCCAGCCTGGCCTTGGGCACTGCCAGGGATCCAGGGGCAGCCACAGCTGCTCTGGGCACCTGTGCCAGGGCCTCAGCACCCTCACAGCCAGGAATTCCTTCCCAAGATCCCATCCATCCCTGCCCTCTGGCAGTAGGAGCCATTCCCCTTTGTCCTGGCACTATCTGCCCATATAAAAAGTCCCTTTCCCTCTTTTTCCCAAGGCACTGCAAGGCTGCAGTGAGGTCTCCCTGGAGCATTCCCATCAGCAGACAGAGCTTTCCACACAATAACTGGATTTCACTGGCCAGAGACACAAACTCTCCTTTTCTGGCTGAAGTTGTTCCACCTGAAACAGCTCCTGGCCCTTGCCTTGCTCCTCACATGGAAAGGAACAACCAGTGCCCTGGGAGCAAACCCAGCACAGGAGGACTTGACCCTTCAGCTTTGTGCTGAACTTCAGATCTCCCAAGCCTTTGCTTCCTTCAACTCTTGAAAAGTAGGAGCAAGGAGAGACTTTGAAACAGCTTTCCCACATTTTACAGCTACTTGGAGTGCACAGGACTGGGGCTGAGCAGTTAAAACTCCTCCAGAGGATGGTGAAGCTACAGCAAGGTTCAGAAAAAAAAGCCAAAAATGTAGTGGTGGACACCAGTCTCTCACCTGTGGTCAGGGCTGCTGAGGGAGCAGTGCTGGAGCCTCGAAGGCAAGAACACAAGCAGAAAACACAGGTGAGTTTCTATCACAGTTCCTGAGCAGCAGATAAGGAGGATTTGAAGGTGAGCAGGTGCTTAAGGCTGACACTGGCATGGTGGAGGAGGGATTTTGGGTGCATCCCAAAATCTGGGAGCTCCAGGCACAGCTCAGCTGCCCAGCCCACCCTGCACACACAGCTCTGCACAGCAATGCTTCTTCCCAGGAATTCAAGCAGCAGCTCCCAAAATCTACCTGGGAAAGGGGTCCCAGCCAGGCAGAAAAGAAGCAGGCACAAGGATTTCTCTCCCCTTCTGTTCTTAATTATCCTCAGAGTTACTACAATGGAAAGAATTTTTAAATTTGGGCATTTTCTCGTCCCCATTTATAATGCATGTTTACTTTTAGCACATTATTTAGTTTGGACCCAGCAAACAAAACACTCAGCTGCAGTTTCATGTTCTCCTTTGCTAGCCCAGGGCTGTTGTACTTGGCTTGCAAAGGCTTTATGGAAATGTTTAAATTTAAACAAAACGACTGTTTTCATTTCAAATTAGAAAAATAATAAACCATCCTTGGTAGGTTTGGTGAACTCTCGAAAAATAATGAAACCAAACCACCCTCCTGCCCTCAGCTGCAGATCTGAGCTGCCTCATGGTCCCTCCTAAATGTAAATGATAAATTATCATTAGCCTGCCTCAATTAAACCACCCCAATGGAATGCAACTTCCACAAATGTTTTATTTATGACCGGTTTGCAGGCTGGAGCACGGTGCCCAGCTAATGAAGGATCACTTTCTGCAGGGCTCAGGGATGCTCACCAGGGGGAGGGGGCTGTGCTGTCCCTGGGATCTGCAGCAGGACTGATTGCATCCTTCTGTAATGAGAGCTGGGACAAGGGGGGCTGGCAGCGCCACTGGGGGGTTATTCTGAAGTCATCATATCTGCATTTGTGCACAGGCAGCACAGAGCAATCATGTGGTGTCTAAACCTCCCTGAGTGGAACTTTCATCAAGCACCAAAGTGAGAGATGTGAGGGTCAAACCACTCGGTACCTCAGGGCATGGAGAGTGTGGGGAACAAATTCCTGCTCTTTATACTCCAGTTTGTTCAAACACATGAGAAATATCAAGGTCCAAAAGAGCAGAGGGTTTAAAAAGAGCAGGAAGACAAGAGCAGAGCCTGGGTGCTCACAGCAAAGTTGAGCACAGACCCTCTACATGGAAATTTGCATTAAAATGGCACAGTTGTCTGGGGCAGCAGCAGCTCCTTATTCACACAAACATCGGGACTTGGGGCACGGTAAAAGTGTGAAGCAGAGATCCCTGAGCCCAGCAAGGAGCTCTCCACTCCCTGCAGCCCCCCAGGCTGCTCAGAACTGCCCAAGGCACAGACTCACCCCTCCTGCAGGGACGTGGCCGGGCCACCAGGCGATGGCCGGCTCCCTCATGCCACCCTCGAAGGTGGTTTGTTTGCCACACAGGAAAGGCCCATTGCTTCCTCCTAGGGACAGAAAAGAAGCCTTAAACCCCACAAAACACCAGCATTTCAAAAGGACACTGTCCCCCAGGCTGGTTTGAAATGAATTCTATTTCTGCATGGATGCTTCTTCAAATGACACGGCCAGAGTTGGGTTTTTGTCATTATTTCCTTGTTTGTTGTGTTTGTTTGTGGGGTTTTTTTCAATATCCATTTGTGATGAAATTTTAGGAGTGTCTTTTCAGCACAGGGAGAAAGTGACAGTTAAACACACCTTGCTATCAACAACCAAATTAAAAACAAAACCCAAACAAACAGGAAATACCTCACTGGTGCTCTCCTTTCCTCTAAGGGTGTTAACTGCTGTCTATAACCAAAGGAAATCTGACACTTTCAGGCAGAAATAGCATTTTTTCATAATTATTCAAAACTTTATAGTACCAGAACAATATCAGACGAAGGTGTAAGAGAGAGAAAAATAATCTTGCATTCCCTGAATGGTCACTCAGAGATGGCCAAGGCTTTGCAGGAATATCTGGAGTTTTAACCCAACCCTGGAGCTCAGCTGGCCAAGGAACAATAGGGAGCTCTCATAACTGATTCCAGGTCACACACAGTCAAAGCCAGTGGCTCAGCTGAAATCAGAACTCAGGTTACTCCCTGCTCTGTGGTTCAATAACCACAAGCCAAGCCTGGCTCCAAAGGGAAGAGAGCAGGTTCTAAAATCAATTTGCAGTGATTTGTTTCAGAGAAACCATCACTTAAACAAAAGAAAATTTGTTAGCTAACAAAAATCGTTTCTCTTCTTGATATTTTTCATGAGAGCTAAAGAATGAGGGACTCTTGAAGTCTCTCTAATTGCCCAGAAGGCTGAAATATACATTTGGCAGATGGAGAGTAAACACCCTGCTAAGTTACTGAGCCTGGTTCTTAATAAATTACAGAATATTCCCTCCCTGACAGTGCAAATACACACAGGTAACAGCAACACTGGGGCAGGAAAAATTCCATTTGGCCAAGGACACCTCCTCCAACAGTGACCAGAAGCACTGAACATAAATTATTCCAAACATAAATATTCTGTCTTTTGAGGCTTCTCCTACCTCATAACACAGACCCCACACACAGGGCTTTTATTCTGCTCAGAGAGAGAGATTTAAGCCTAGATTTCCCAAGGCCAGGTTTGTTCAGCCGAGCCTCACCTTGCTTGGGAGCTGAAATGAGAGCAGCTCCGTTATCAGAGGTGAAAAACACAAAGGTGTTCTCACTGATGCCCAGCTGCTGGAGGTGCTTCAGGATTTTCCCAACGCTGTCGTCGATTTCCCGCACAGCATCCCCATACCTGAGGCAAAAGGAGATGCAAAACACTCAAAGCAGCAAAAAAATGGTCAGCACAATGTGTTCAGTGGATTTAATTTGTATCTGTGCTGCAGAAACCCTTCTCATGCATCAGGTTTTCTGCTGCCACTGCAAACTTTTGTGTCTCTGGCCTGCAGAGAGCAGCCCCCCATGGGTATTGAGGGTCAGGGTTTGCTCAGGTGTGAGCCGCTCTTGGACAGAGGAATTCAGCCATAAAATTCACAAACAGAGGCAAACCCACCTTGCCACAGACTGGGAGGTAATAATATGGCTTTCCTTATGGTTAGAAACTCTTTGAAGCAACACTCCCAGTGTCTACAGAGCTCTTTGCCTCCTCCAAACTGCATTTTTAGGAGTGCTTTTCTATTTGCTGGTCCGATTTATAGGCTTTTAAAACAGGCACCGATCACACAAAAGCCTACTAAAAAATCATCTGTGCCACAGACAGCATTTCACTCCTCACACAACTGGCAAAGGAGCTTAGAGCCCCCCTCCTCCCCCTGGGGTCACGTGAGCTTCACTTCACATTAAAGCCAAATTATGAAAGAACAATCCAAGCAGATAATGCATTTCAGCACACACACACTTGAGGAGTGATCCATGCCTTGGATCCACCAGCCACTGCTCAGGTTGGCTGTTCCAGCTGCAGGAGGAATTCATTAAAACAATCCCAAAAAGCAGAACTTACAGCCCTCTCTGACTCGTGCCCAGGAACTGTTTGGAGGCATAGACAGGAGCGTGGGTAGCATCAATTGCCCAGTATAAAAAGAATGGCTGCTGGCTGGCCTGCTGCTTGCTAATAAAATCCAGAGCTTCCTGTAAACAACAATAAAAATTAATTTATCCTCTGCCATCAAAATTTCTCAAAAAAAACCAGTCATCTTGGCTTAGAAGCCAGCACTAAAATAGTACCTGCAGGTAGAGCTGAGTCAAGTTGGCTTCACCTGTCTTTAGATCAATTTTGAAGTCTTCATAGTATCTTAAGATAAAAGGAATCAGAGAGGGGAAAAATCAATCCTAAGGAATAAACATCAGGAAAAGGATTTTTTCCCCTTTTATGGATTTTTCCCCTTTGTAAGGAGGTGACAAACAAGTCACAGTTAACACTCAGCAAACTCTCTTCAGACATTAAAAATATGTCACCATAATTGCTCTTATGGGAGAAAGTGGTGACACAGCTTGATGCAAATTAATGACTTCAAGTTTTGGACAAACCTGAGGGACTGGCCTTTTGCTGTAGGGGGCAAAATGCTTTAAAATCTCATGGTGATTCATAAAGAGCTGGTTGAAATGTGAATAAAATCTCAGAAGTAAACAACTTCCAGTGAGACAGAGAAATGCTGGAAGCAGAACTTGGGCTGCTTTGGAAACATTATTTTAGAGGGATCTTCAGCCAGCAGTAAAGAAGAGAAGGGCCTGGGGAAGTGCTCAGGGGAGGTACAGCAGTGAAATGGGACAACACCAGAGTGAAAAGTGAATGGACAAGAAGGGCCCAGGCTGCAGACTGGGAGCAGGGAATGGAGCTATGCAAACACACAAAATGTTATTCCAAACAGGAAGAGAAGGAACAAAGAGGTCTTTCAGTACAGAATGGGAGCAGCTTCCAAGAGTGGAAGCCTTTAGGGTGCCAGGGATGAGCAAACAGCTCTGGGAGGGCAGCTCCACATCCCTGCACCATGCACATGCCACTTGCAGGTTGGTCATGGTGTTGCACCTTTATTAACCACAGAACCAGGGGATCCCAGAATGGTCTGGCTTGGAAGGACCCTTGGAAGGACACCCATCCAGGTGTGTAAAGGCAGCAGGGAGAGCCCAGAGAAGCCCAGAGCCAGGCCAGGAGCTGGGTTACCTGCCAACCATCTCCCAGTCCCTGTAGATGGGGATGTTGGGGCGCTCTGTGCTGTTGTAGGGCCCAAAGTGGCAGTTTGGGGACCCAAACCACTCATCAAAGCCGTGCTTCAGGGGGTGGAACTGGGGCCGGTGCCCCAAGTGCCTGCCAACAAAAACAGCAGGTCACAGTTAAAACTGCACTGCACAGAAGCCACACCTCAGCTCATCAGAACAGCATGCAAGAACACAGTCTCTGCCTAAGAAATCAAAACTCAAAGCATTTCAATCACATAAATGACTCCAGAGCAGTGTCTTGAGCTCTCTCACACTTGTTGCAAGCACAGCCATGCAGACTCACCCCAGTGCTCACTTATATTCCACTTTATTTACTCTCCAATCACTGTTTTCCATTTTTTCCTTCCACTGGTGTCTTCTCCCATGCTGTCTGATGATCAGCACTGATGGACTACACTCCCCCAAACCACTGCAGAGATGCACATAATGTTTCACTTAAGGATTCTGATCTATGACAAGTCCCTTTTATCCCACTGAGCTGTAAAAACACAAGGCAGAGCTCATGAAATGCACCATTCCATCCTCATCCCCTTTATAGAGCATTCACGCTGCCAAAATGGTACAAAGAGACCTGAATGGAAATGAAATGAGGTTTTTGTGTGCACATGTGGACATAAAACACATTTAGCTACTCCTGATGACAGCTCCTCTCTACTGTGCAGCTTGAAAATCCTCCATCCTTAACTTCCAGATGAAGCTCCTTTCTAATCTCCAGGTTTTGTACTTCAAATTCCACATTTCCTACATTTATAGCACCTTGAAAACAGAGAATTCCCATGCTCTTGGTCTCTAAAGGGGATCTTGGTAGGTCAATGTTTATTTAACCATTCCATCTTCCCCTCACGAGCCTGGATCTGCCCCCTGTCCACTTTGTGCCATCCTCCTCTGCACTTTCTGAGCATAAAGGGCATAAAATGCATTCCCCAGAGCAAAATGATCCTTGGAGTTACTCTGAGCTGTTCCAAAGTGAGTTATTACAGAAATAATCCTCATTTCAGCTATGGTTACACCTTGGTGATGTAACTGCCACTGCAGGTCTGACCTGAAGGATTCCACCCTTTCCCCTTTTGTAGATGTGGGAACACAAAGTTACAACAGGGGAGATGGAAAAACATCTTATTCTACAAAAGCCCTAAAAGAACTTACAGAGACATTAAACAGTGACTGAGATCCACAGCAGACTCTGAATCTCACAGCACAGAAAAATGAGATTTAATGAAACACAACAAATTCCACACCGGTCATGGAAAATACTTGACTTGCAAACTTATAATTAAACCATGGAATTTACTGTCACAGGACACCCTGAAGAGATTTTAGAAGGGATGATGAAACAATAAGACAATTTTCTGCTGGCAAACCTCTGTGAGGCCAGGATGAGACTCCAGTTTTACCCTGCATTTCTTCACACCTTTCCAGGGAGCAGGTATCCCTCCCATCCCTGTCCAGGAGAAGTTTTTGGATGCACAGCAATGCCCTGCACATTCCTACTTAGCCCTATTCCTGCTAATAGCTGCAGGTCCTTCCAGATTTGCCTTTTTTCCCAAGGAATTGGCACCAATCTGCATTTGCCTTGTTTATTCCTTTTCCCTGGGTGTATGAATTTCCATTTATTAGCACTGAACTGCAGCTGATTGCACCCAGCCCACTGAGCTGATCCCTCAGGGCCACTCTCCTGCCTGGATTTGTGCTGATAAATAATTCACTATCTTAAGGTGCTTTGCTTTCTTCCCATTTCCAGCAGGTGAATCCAAGCACGATTCGAACTCACCCTTCTCTAACTTATTAATGAAACTGATAAAGAAATTCCTGTTACTTTCCACAGGAATTCAGTTCATTAATAAAAACCCAACATACAGCAAGAGTCAAAGATAAAAACCATGTAGGTGCTCAAGGCAAATTCCAACAGAACATCCTGGTGTTAAATAAGTGGTGTGGGGTGTGGATAGAAGGCCAGAGTTGAGGAGATTATAAATACAAATACACACATAAAACCTCATCAACTCTTTGTATGAAGACATATGTAAGCACTTGCAATGGGAACACTCAGGAATTGATCCCAGCAGAGGGAAGATCCATCACACTTTCAAAAGCTGGACATTTGGTTTTCAAAACAGGGTTTTTTTCCTGTAATTCTGGTTTTATTGCTGCTCCTTCCCAACACACACACAGTGAAATCTCAAAGCAAGAGATCTCCAAATAAATTTACCATTTGCCAATGATCTTATTGGTGTAACCAGCTTTCTTCAGGAGCTCTGGAAGCAGTAATTCAGAATCTGGGATTCCTCCTACTATGTCCTGTGGTGTGTATGCTGTGGGAAACAAATCAAAAACACCTTTCTGACTCTCTAAAACATTACAGCAAACAGCTCATGTACTGGATCAGAAATAGACTCATCTGGAGTCCCAGCAATGCCCTTCCTTGGAAGCCCTCCCATGGGATGGAGAGAATGAACTGATCCAGAGAGACCAAAGGGAGATTTCCACACACTTGTGCAGGAGGGCAAACAATAAAGGGAGCTGCCACCCCCAGAGTGGAGGTGAGACCCTTGAAAGGGAGTTGTCATAGAAAATCAGGTGCTCCAGGGAAGGTCTTTATGCTGTAAATTTGCTTTGTGTTTTCTAAAATGGCAGCCTTTTCCTAACTCAAATAACCAACAAAGGTGCTTAGACTGCAAGGGCTGATCTGATTTATTATAGGTTGGACTTGATGGTCCCACAGGTCTTTTCCAACCTAATTCATTCTGTGATGCTGAAGGAAATGAAGAGTGTCCCTCAGCCCCTGAGGCTGCCAGGTGTGACTGTGCTCAGGGAGTCAACCCCAGGCTGCTGCTTCCTGCCCAGCCATGTCCCAGCACGTGGCATTTGTCACTCTGGGACCCACAGCAACCCAGGGGTCTTCCCACCAGAGGCATGAGGGATGGAAACCTGCTCTAAAACTGGGTGGAAATCTGCCTGCTGAATAAACCTGTCAGCAGCCAGCTCTCCCCTGTGGGTTTTACATCCCCACCTGATTTTCCTACACCAGACCCCAATTCCCCTGCCCAGAGGAAACATTTCTCAGCCAGCAGAAACAAATGGATCAAGCAGCCTGGTTTATCCTCTTAATTTGAGGAGGTTTTCTGCTTGATGAGGAGGAAGCAATAAAATTCACACTTATTACCAACACTTAACAAGGTTTGGTGGCACTCTGCAACATCCATGGGGAAGATCCCCTTTGTCCAAAGAGAAACTTCCTACAAGGCACAGAGGGAAATCAGGAGAGGAAGGGAGGGAGGGAATGAGGCTCCTACCGTTCCTGGCGTGTCCATTGGTGGTGTAAAAGCCATTCCTGACTGGGAGCCGGCCTGTCAGCAGTGCTGCCCTTGCTGCAAACAACACAAACATTTCTTTATAGCCATTCTCTGCTTAATATTCAGGTTATTGTAGGAGGATGAGGCCTGCACACTGACTGGAGTGTGTCAGTGTCCTCTTGTCACAGCCAGCCACTAAATCACTCACACTCTCCCATGAGCCATGGAGAGAATCAGCTCTGATGCATCATTTGAGTTATTCCAGCTGAAATTTGGCCCCTTTATTAAATTAGCCACACTGAAGAGTCATTCCTTTGAATAGTCAATGGAGCAACCCTTACAGCTCAGTTATATGTGTATTTATTATGTATTTAAGAGGAAATCCTAGCACAAACTGATTAGATGCTCGAGGCTAAGCTTTCGAGCTTGACTGAACAAAAATCATGAAATACAAAGAAAGAGCTGTCCAGCTTTGACAATAAAAGTCAAGTCCTGACTGCAGGGAATATTTAAACAGATGTTTAACTTCAAGCATATGCAGTGCCACCACTGGCTTAGCAGGATTTCAGCATATTTTAAATGCCTTTTCTGAGCAAGGACATCATCAACACACTGGCAAGTGCTATCCTAAATAAGAGCCCAAATAAAAAGCCCCTGTTCTTCATTTTTGCTTCAGTTCTTGGCAGTTAATCAGGTTTGAGGGGAAAAAGAAAGCAAAAAAAAAAAAAAAGAAAAAAAAAAAGAAACCACCTCACAGAAAAAACAACAAGGAGAAAAATATCTGCCTCTCCCAGACCCAAACGTTCTTTTTATCTCTTGTCCCTGTCCCAGGAGTCTTGTAAGACACCAGGGTCAAAAGCAGGACACAAACTGCTGCCTTTCCTTGCATGAAAGTCCCACCAGAGCCAACAGAATCAGACCAAATATGTCCAGCAGCAGATCAGATCCTGCTTTGTTTAACCCAAAATGAGAAAGATGAAAAAAATGCAATGACTGGGGCTGGAATACTGAACTGAAATGGTACAAAAATCCTTTAGCTGCACTGATCACTGGAGCAGTGCTTTGTACAAACTGAAAACTGTCGGGTTTCCAATCCAAACAGAAATAAAAAGGGACAAAATGCAAGATCAAAGCAGCAAAGCCAGTCTCTGGCCTGAGGGCAGCACTGGTGTGGTTGTTAGCCCATGTCAGAGGCTGGCAAACACCCCGAACTCCTCAGAGGGAGATGTTTCTCATGCTTACGTGGATCCAACTGCAGTGTACTCACAGGGAGAGCAGAGGGGGCTGGCAGTATAAAAATCCAGGAAAAGCATCCCTTCTGCAGCCATCTGGTCTAGGTTAGGGGTTTCCTTAGAAGGCTCTCCGAAAGCTCCCAAATCCCCCCAGCCCATCTGTAAAAGGAACACACCAGAAGATGTCAAAGTCCCTTTCCACAACCACATTTTTGGGCCCACATAACACTTTCACCGTACCCCTTAATTTATGAAGTTTTACAGTGCTCATCTCCTCACAAATGTGACAGAAATGATCTCTGCCAGCCCTGTGGAGCAGGAACTCACACTTTCCCCTGGTGGGTGGGAAACTGAGGCACACACAGGATTAAATGACTTACTAGCAGGGAGTAAAGCACTTGCAAGAAGCCCAGTGCCTTCACTGTTACTCAGAGGCCCGAGGCACAGCCAGAGCAAGGAGGAAGAGGAAGTTACACGCGGTTTACTCGGGGTTGTGCAGCTGCCACGTCTGAGCCCTGCTGTCTGTGCTGGAGCCAGGATTCCGCCTCAGCCCCTGCCTCTGTCCCTCTGCAGGACTGCAAACACAAGGAGAAGGCCTCAACTCCAAAGCAGCACTGCTGCAAAAGTGTTTTAAAAGCCAGAGGAATCTGCCAGAGGCACCACCAGTCCCTGTGCTTATCTGCAGGACTGTGGCTTCACCCTGCTCTCCCTCCTGATCCCCAGGGGCCACACGCCAGGAGAACCACAACATTCCCAACAGGGTGTCTGTGCCCACTGCTGAAAACCATTCCTGGGAAAAGCTCAGCTGCAGGCAGAAGGTTCTGGAAGGGAGCAGCTCAATGAGCCATTAGGCACCACAGGTGCTGGGGATCCTGCTGTGCCTTGGGAAAGGCAAGGTGTGTGTCAGCTGAGCCATGGATGCATCCAGATCCTCAGGGAACCATCTGCTGCCATCAGCTTGGAAAAGAAAATCCTTGCAGAGATGGTTTCTGAGCTAAGGAGCAATGAAATGGTTCCCCCTGGCACTGGGATGAGGGATTAAAATGGATTCACCCCCAAGTTCTTGATTTTTCTTTATCATCAAAGAAGAAAGACAAAAGGAATCTCGTGTTGCTCTAATTCCAGAGTCCCCGAGGATCAAGGGAAAAAACCCAGGGAGAGGTGTTTGCAATGAACATATTAAATCAGTCAATAGTTCACAGAAGCTGCAGACAGGAGCCCCGTGCCCTACCATCACTTCCAGAGTGGGAGAATCCCTGTCCCAGAGAGCCTTCCTCTGGAAAATTACAAACGCCAGCCTGGGAGGGGGAAATATTCCTGAATGGAAAACTGAGATCGCAGGATTGCCGAGCTCGGGAAACACTCTGAGTCCCAGCTGTCCCCACCTTGTCCCCAGCCCAGAGCACCGAGAGCCACCTCCAGGGCTGGGGATTCCAAACCTCCCTGGGCAGCCCTGCCAGGGACTGCCAGAGGCTCAGCTGCCTGGAAAAGCAGGGGATTCTCCTGCTCAGGAATGTGGGAACACCATGGGAACAACGGGCAGGATAAACCGGCAAAAAGGGAAGGGTTTGCCCACCCTAGTGAACTCCTTGAGTAGCTTCAAAGAGCAACAAACACATTTCCACCACAATGGAAGGTGACAGGAAATTATTAGGAGAGAAGCAAACTGGGTAGATGGCAGCGACCTGAATGTGTTGGAAGTTAATATAATTCCTTATCCATGTGGCCAAGGGTGCAAAATCAAAAAGATTTTGAGTTAGAAATAAATCTGTGATAATTTCTGCTCTTTAATCATTTACTGTCATTTTTTTCTCTTCCCAGTTCAGAGCGCCATAATGAGCAGAATTACTTTTCCTCTTGTTTAGTTTTTCAGGAGGTCACCAAGCCCGTCCTTGTGGTGATTGAACCAGGGTAGGGAGGGAGCTCTGGAGATCATCCAGCCTGAGGCAGGGACACCTGGGGCAGGTGACACAGGGACACGTCCAGCTGGGTTTGGGATGGCTCCAGACAGGAGACCCCACACCCTTGGGCAGCCGTGCCAGGGCTCTGCCACCCTCCCTGGGCACAGGCTCTCCCTCGCGTTGAGAGGGAACTTCTCGTGGTTTGGTTCCCGGCCACTGCTGCTCTTCCTGCGGCTGGACACCACTGGGAACGGTCTGGCACCGTCCTGGGACACCATGGAAACATTGCACGGATTGGTGGCATCCCTGTCAGCCTGCCCTTCCCCAGCCGGGGCCGCCCGGTGCTCCCTCAGGAGCTGCCCGGCTCCCGGTGCCCCCTCAGGAGCTGCCCGGCTCCCGGTGCCCCCTCAGGAGCTGCCCGGCTCCCGGTGCTCCCTCAGCCGCACAGCGCTCCGGGCCCCGCACACCCCGTCCCTCCATGTCACCCCCCCGCGCCGCGACACCACCCCCGCCGCCGCGGTGCCCCACTCACGTCGTCCATGAGCAGCAGGACGATGTTGGTGGCGGCGGCGGGGCCCAGGGCCCAGCAGAGCCCCAGCGGGCCCAGGGCCCAGCGCAGGCCCCGCGGCCCCAGCGCCGCGCTCGCCATGGCAACCGGGCCGCGCCACACGTGACCGCGGCCCGCGCGCCGCACGTGACCGCGGCCCGCGCGCCGCACGTGACCGCGGCCCGCGCGCCGCACGTGACCCGGCGGGGCGGGGCCAAGATGGCGGTGTGCATCGCCGTGATCGCCAAGGAGGTGAGGGGACAGCGGGACACGGTGTGAGGGCCCGGGGGGACAGCGGAACACGGTGTGAGGGCCCAGGGGGACACGGTGTGCGGGGCCAGGGGGACAGCGGGACACGGTGTGCAGGGCCAGGGGGACAGCGGGTCCAGCTGGCGTCATGGCGGCCTGAGTGGGGCCGGGTGGAGCAGCGAGGTCTGAACAGGGAGCAGAGGCCTCGGGTTGTGTGGAACAAGAGATGAGTGGGGTCTGGGGAAGGGTGAGGGGAGAGGGGCTGGGCCTCAGATTGTGGGGTTGAGGGGAACAGGGGTCAGTGGAGTCTGGGGAAGGGTGAGGGGAAAGAGGCCGGAGCTCTGGTTTTGGGGTCTGAGCAGGGCCGGGGCTGTGGGAGGCTGTGGGGTACGGGAAAAGGGAATGGCAGGATTTCCGGTTGTGGGGCTGAGGAGAACAAGAGATCAGTGGGGTCTGGGGAAGGGTGAGGGGAGAGGTGCTCTGGTTCTTGGGTCTGAGCAGGGCTGCGGCTGTGGGCTGTGGGCGAGGGGAGTGGGCAGATCTCGGGTTGTGGGGTCTGCATGGGGGTGAGAGAAGCAGAACAGAGCAGAACAGAGCAGCGGGGCCCACTGTGGGGGGAAATGGGCTGGGCAGGAGCAGGGCTGGGGCAGCCAGCACAGGCACAGTGCGAGGGTGCTCCGGGCTGCCCTGCTGCTGGGAGAGAAGGGATTTCCTTGGGACAGACAGGCACAGGCTCTGCTGGGACTGGAGAGCACAGAGACCCGAGCCTTGTGCACTGCCTGTGCCAATGCTTCTCCTGCCTTGGGCACAGCTGTGCTCCAGAGGTGCTGCAGCGTGGGGAGGGGCTGTGCTGGGAACATAAAGGGTTAACCAGCTGTGGCAGCAGCAGATGCCAGGCAGTGTGACTTACTCTGCTCCCAGAATTACCCCCTGTACATCCGGAGTGTCCCCACGGAGAACGAGCTCAAGTTCCACTACACGGTGCACACCTCCCTGGACGTGGTGGATGAGAAGATCTCAGCCATGGGCAAAGCCCTGGTGGACCAGAGGGAGCTGTACCTGGGGCTCCTCTACCCCACTGAAGACTACAAGGTGTATCTTTGTCAAGCCTTGGGCCAGACTGTTGTGGGTTTAGTTCAATCACAGAATATCCTGAGCTGGAAGGGATCACCCACTCCAACGCCACCCTGAGCATCCCTGGGAGCATTGTCCAACCTCTCCTGGAGCTCTGCCTGCTGCGTGGGAGGCAGGTCCTTAACCCCTGGTTTGTGGCTGAGGCAGGTCCTTAACCCCTGCCCAGGTATGGCTACGTGACCAACTCCAAGGTGAAGTTTGTCATGGTGGTGGATTCCTCCAACACAGCCCTGAGGGACAACGAGATCCGCAGTGTGAGTGCACCACAGCAGAGCCTCCCTGCTGGGGCTGCTCCTTGCAGCTCCCCAGGACGTGCTGAGAAACAAAATTGATGAATTCACCTCCCCTCCCTTGCAGATGTTCCGAAAGCTGCACAATTCCTACACAGACATCATGTGTAACCCCTTCTATAACCCTGGGGACAGGATCCATTCCAGGTGAGTGGATCTTTGACACCTTCCTGGCATTTTCAGGGCACCTCTGATGGAACAGGACCAACCTGTGGTTGGCCAGCTCAGGTGTGTGTGCTCTAAGAGCCTTATTGAGAACAGTGATGTTGGTTTGGGGTTTCATTCCTACTCCTGAAAAACTGATGGGGTCATAAAAAGTTCTCCTGAACTCTCACTGCTACCTCAGAACTGGGGTTACAAACATTAAGCCAAGAATTTTATTTTTTGGGGAGAAAAAATCACCTGAAAATAGAGGTAACAATAGTTGGATTGATGGTCCTAGAGGTCTTTTGCAGATTTAATAATTGTAGTAAGTAGAACAGGTTAAAGAGTGAACAAGTGCCCTTGGTCCAGGGTTTATCCTGGTAGGGACAAACATTCAGCACATGGAATTCCTCACCTGTGAGGGTCAGTGTCCCCCATTCCCACTGTAACCTCACAGGGAATTTTCATAAATTGGGAGTTTCTATGGCCTAGGCAAGAACAACTTTGCAGACCCAGAGCAGCAGCCAGGATAAGACCTGTCCTTACCTCAGCTTAATTAAAAGTCATTAATCCCTCAACAGCCTGAGCTGTAAAGAGGAAAACCCCAAGTCCAGCTTAGGGAAAGCCAGGCAGAGGCAGGGTGAGAAAGTGGTTTTGTTACAAAAGCTGTGCAGAATGAGCTGCTTCCTTTAATAATCTGTGCTTATTTCCCTCTCCAGGGCTTTTGATACTATGGTGAACTCCATGATGATGCAGGTGTGCTGAACCCCTTCCCACGCCCCTGGGAAACATTCCCTGTGTGCAGGAGCATGCCTGCAGTGCTGTAAATATTCCATTCCGTGTAATAATTTAAATTTGTTCTGTGTAAAATAAACCTGCTGCCTGCAAGGTTTGCCTGGATTTGTACTGGAGCAAACACAAACCACTGCTCACAGAATCGTGGCATGGTTTGGGTGGGAAGGGACATTAAAGCCACCTCATTCCATGAGCAGGGACATCTTGCACTGTCCCAGGCTGCTCCAAGCCCCCTGCAACAAGAGGAGCTCCAAGGGCCCTTCCAACCCAAACCTTTCTAGGAGCTTCCCTGCCTGGGCTGATTTCTGGGTGACTCAGGCTGCTGTTTCCACTCTGCACAGTGACTCCCAGCCCAGGTAGAGCAGCTGCAATAAACCCACCCCATCCAGGCAGGGATGAAGCCATCAGGATTGCACAGCTGCCTGGCTCATCCCAAATTCATCTCCATTAGCATCCCCTCCCCTGCAGCTCCCTGCTGCTCTAATTACAGACTCCCAAATCAGTAGCAGGTATTTATCTGGAATAAAGCACAAATTGCACTGAAAAGCATCCCAGCTCCATCACTCCTGGTTCAGCAGAGGAGATGCAGGCAGGAGCAGGCACACACAGCTCTGCTGCAAGCACCTCACCAGTTAAAAACCACAGAAAGCAGCTAAAAATAACAGATCTGCCCAGCCCCAGGGGACCCAGGAGCCTGGAGAAAGCCAGAACTGCACTTGAACTTTCACACAGCAGGATCATTTATTTTAAAAATAAGTAACAGTTACAAATACTTTCTCAAACAGAACTTAAGTACATTTTATCAGCAACCACCTGGAATATCATGGAGGTTCAAGCCTCTCCCACCATCTCCACAAGGCACAGCTGTGCACTGTTATCCACAAACGTTTTCATCTAAAAAATTAGGCTGTGTTCACTCACAGAGATGGCAGCTCAGTGTTGCCTCTTCCACTAGAGAGTCCAAACACCCCAAAGTAGTTTTTTATTTAAAAATAAGCCTCAAAAATTTATAATCCTGTCAAACAGAAGCCCTAGAAAAAAGCTGGTTTATAGTCTAAGCCTAAGGGTAGCTCAAATCAAGGTCAGTCTCAGCAGCTCCGAGGACAATATCAACACAACATGAAGAGTTAAGGCCCCAAGCTTTTAAAAAAATCTAGAGATCTTAAAGGGGGAAAAAAAATCAGTGGGATTTTTAGCCTGGCAATGCCCCTGAGCTGTGAAAAGCTGCTTTAGGAGTCGGTTGCATCTGCTGCATCTGGGTTAGAGGAATCCTAACCAAGGATCCCGAAAGATTAGGGGGAGAATTACATAATAAAACCCATTTCCCATGCAGAACTTCTCCCAGGAATGCTGTCTGCTGGGGTTCCCAGCCTGCCCATTCTAACACAAAGCTTTTCCTTTAAAAACACAGGGCTGCACAAACACAAATTCAGCAGGAAAGGGAAGAGCCAGGAGCCTTCTTCCCTGGTACCCAGCTCCTGTGGTGCTCTTTGGTCCTGAGCCTCCTGCAGGGCCCACACCATCCCCAGATGTGACTCCAGAGCAGGAATGGTGATGGGAATAAAGAGGGAGACCAGACCAAATCTGCACCAGGGAAGGTGATTTTGTAATGCTGCTACCGCAAGAAATAAAGTCAAGTGAGGAGTTGCCAGCACCCTTTGACCCCTGGAGATTGGAATAAAAGCAGGAGGGAGGGAAGAGGGGTTTGCTGACTGCCAAAATAAAAAAAAAGAGGAAGGGTTTTGTGGCACCCAGGTCTTGCTTAACTACCACAGAGATAGAGAGGCTCCCAGAGAAATAACAGATGCTTTTTCCCTGTCCTGGATGTACAAACAGTGAGCTAAAAACCACACCCAAACCACATCAGGCTTCCCAGGAGGAAGGTCACATCCACAGGGCTGATGAAGGGAAAGCTCCCCAGCAATCAGATCTGGAGCTGCAACCCAAAACTTTCTTCATTGATTTGGGAAAGGAAACAGTCTTTAGGATCTTAGAAGAAGAGAAGGCTGAGCATCCAGCTGCTGTAGGAAGAGCTGAGGAGGTTCATGGCCAAGCAGTGGCATGGAGGGCATGCAGCCAGGAAGGAGCCAAACCCTCCAGGACAGCCCTTTCCCGTGGGATAAGGAGGAGACTTGATGGTCTGGGAGAGCTCTTCCATTCCCAGGACAGTGTTCTCTGGAATGAGCCTGTTCTCTGTGCAAACACAGCCCCCCGGCAGAGCTGAGGTGGGATGAGCTCTCCTGGGTGCTGGCAGGGTGGAGCAGATCCCGTCTTCCCTCCTGCAGCCCAGCACAGGGCTCACCAGTAATCCTCACGGCCAGGCAGATGGCATTTTTAAAATTAATCTGTTTTTTGGCTTGGGCAGGCATATTTTTAAATCTCTCCAATCCCATCTCCTTGTTTCAGTCCCATTGGCATCACCAGGCAGTCCAACCTCTTCTAGTATGGAAAATACCAAGGCAGCAGCCTTGCCCGACCCCTACACAGAACAAAACCAACATCCTGAAGCACAGGGGCACAGCTCCCTGCTCCTCCACCCTTCCCAGGGCTGGGATCCCCCTGTGCACAGAACAAAACCAACACCCTGAAGCACAGGGGCACAGCTCCCTGCTCCTCCACCCTTCCCAGGGCTGGGATCCCCCTGTGCACAGCCACCCCTGTGCACAGAACAAAACCAACATCCTGAAGCACAGGGGCACAGCTCCCTGCTCCTCCACCCTTCCCAGGGCTGGGATCCCCCTGTGCACAGCCACCCCAGAACCAGGGGAGCTCCACAATCAGGCTGGGACTGCAATGCCCACCCACCCCTCCCCAAATTCCTGCAGGGATGAGGCGACAACTCCAACTCTGCAGATATTCCTTCCCACCAGAGCCCTCCTCCACGCTCCCAGCCGTGCCAGGGCGGGAGGGGCACAGCCCAGGCAGGGCAGCAGGGAACCCCACCCCGCTGCACACCTGAGGACCCCCCAAGGCCAGACTCACCTGTAGGCCCTCCCTCGCAGCCGGGGCTGCTGCCCGTAGGGGCCCCCCCAGCGGCCCAGCGCCCCCCGGGCATGGCAGCAGCCCCGGTAGCCCCCGCGGTCCGTGCTGCTGATGCCCGGCATGTTGGTCCTCTTGGGCAGCACCTGCGGGGTGGGGAGAGGCTGCTGGAGATGGGGTTTGGCCCAGCCCCAGGCAGGCAGGGCCGGGAATGGGGGGAGCAGCCCCCCAGGGGCTCCCCCAGCTCTCACCTTGATGACACGGCCCCTGAAGACGCTCTCGTCCAGCTCCACCGCAGCCTTCACGGAGCTCTGCTCCTCGAACTCGATGTAGGCATAGCTGTGGGGAACGGCGTGAGCAGAGCCCCAGGAACACCCTGCAGACCCCCCCAGCCCTCCCTGCACACAGCACTGACCCTTTGGGGTGGCCCGAGAACTTGTCACAGAGGATGGTGACGCGGTTGATCTGCCCACAGCTGTTGAAGTGAGACTCCAGCTCTTCTGCTGTGCCCCCGTAATCCACCTGCAAGAACAGCCCCGGCCCTCAGCTCATGGCTGTGGCATCTGATGCCTTGGGGTTCAGCTTTTCTATTTCTCATGTTCTCTGCTGCCTGGCTGTAACTCTGAAACTCCCTATGAGCTGTTAGTAGGTTTTCTTCACAGGGTAGTTGGACAAAACAATCCCTTCCCAGCTGGAGAATCAAGGACAACCTTTCCCAGAAAGCACAAACAACAGTGAAGGGAAGGGGACAAGCCAGGGGGCTGAGACTTCATGAGCTGGAGCTGTAATTGGACAATTGAACCCAATATGTAGATGAACCAAAACTTACAAAAGTGTAAAAACTTGTGATTGGGATGCATCTTGGATTCAACCCGACTATAGCCCTGGCCAGGCTCTTGTGCTGCCCAAGGTGTGTCCTTTTAAGGCCTTCCAGTAAATACTTATTGTGTCCATTTAGCTCTGTCTGGTCTCTGTTCCAGACCAGCCTCCCAAGACATCAGTTCACACCCCAGCAGGGGAGGCAAAGGGCCCAGCTGGCCCCACTCACCCCCCTGAGGGTCAGGGGACCCTCCCAGCTGAGTGCTCCCACCTGAACACAAATCCAACAGACAACCTGCCCTGTTTTGGAGGAACAAACACCACCACACAACCCACAGCTTCCAGGGGGGTTTTGGAGAGCTGACACCTGCAACAGGTGAGCTGCAAGTGGCAGATAATGAGGACATTGCCAGGCTGGGATGGGATGGGCAGAGGAGAAACACCTGGGATGGGAAGAGCCAGGCTTTGGTGGGGGGCAGATCCACAGCAGGGATTTGGGGCACACACCCAGCTGGGCACAGGGCAGTGGGAGGGCTCCCACTTACATTGCCCACGTAGATGGAACGCTGGTCAGCCTCCATCTTCTCCTTGGTTGTCAGTGGAAAGAGAGCTGTGGAGAGGAGGGGTTTGTCATGGACAGAGGGACATCTGTCTGCTCCCAGCACAGCCACCCCTGAGCTCCCTGGTGACACCCAGGTGTACCCAAACCCTCAAACTGCTGTCTCCTCCTCCATCCCCTTGCCCCTTTTCTTTTCACAGTGACTCCTCTACTGGGGCTGTTGGTACTAAGCTCAATTACTTGACTGAATTAAATGCAATTAAAATAATTTACTACATCTGGGCCCACAGAGGTAGGAGGTTAGAGCTGCCAGCATGTGCATTAGCACCACACCAGGCCTGGAACCCCCCTCACCCACCTTATGTGTCCAGTCCCAGGTGCCCAGAGAGGCACAGCCAAATACTCTGGCTCCAGTTGTCACCCTGTGCCCCAGAGGTGTCCCTGCACCCAGGGACACCCCATACCTGCTTCAGAGCTCATGAACAGGTGGTTCTCAGCTTCTAGCTGCAACTCCTTCAGCCTCTCATCCTCCTGCTCTATTTCCCGCAGTTTGGCTTTGATGGCCTCCAGCTCCTGAATCCCAAACCAAGAATTGCACGAGCAGCACACGGAGCAGGGACACCCCAGGTGTAAAAACGTTCCCATTTCCTTTGGGCACCAAGGAAAACTGGCTCCCCATCCATCCAGGCAGGCACTCACCGGGTCCTGAACATCCTGCTCCTCGGTGCTGTTCCCCTCCTGGGGGCTTGGATCTGAGCCCTCATCTGCTGCCTTGCACACGGCTGCCACCTCTGTCACGTCCCAGGGAGCTGCCTCCGCTTGCAGGGACGGTGGGTCCTGCCACCAGATCTCCGAAGTGTCCAGGAACAGAGGACTGGGCAGGACAAGGGGCAAAAGGGCATTGAACCAACAGCCATTTAACGTACCAGCTAGAGCACAGCCTCCACCAGGCAAAGGCTGGCAGGGCATTTCCAGCAGAATGACGAAGAGGTGACATTAAAGCAGCTGGTTCTCTGTGCAGCAAAGCCCCAGGACTGCCAAGTGCAGCCAAAAGCTCTCCAGTTCACACTGAGCCCACTCCCAGCTCAGGGGGGCTGCAGAGGGGACCTGGAAGGTGGAAAACCCCCCAAGGGCACATGGGCGGCAGAGAGGGAGCAGCCAGGAGCTCTGCCTCCCCAGCCGAGGGAGAGCCGCACCCTGCCAACCCCCGACGGGCGCACGGAGGGACACGCCCTCCACCCAGGAGAGCGAGCTCGCCACCGGGCAGCGGAGAGCCGCACCGGCTGCAGCCCGGGGAGCCGCGGCACCGTGCCGGGCGGTGCCCGGGCATTGGCCAGCCGTGCCGGGCGGTGCCTGGGCGGTGACCAGCCGTGCCGAGCGGTGCCCGGGCGTTGGCCAGCCATGCCGGGCGGTGCCTGGGCGGTGACCAGCCGTGCCGGGCAGTGTCCGGCGGTGGCCAACCGTGCCCTGGCAGAGACCAGCCGTGCCAGGCAGTGACCGGGCGGTGCCCAGCCGTGTCCGTGCCGAGGCCCCGCGGCCCCGAGCCCCGCACGCACCTGGCCCGGCCCCCGAACATGCTGCGCGCGGCCCGCGCGAGCGGCGACCACGTGCGGCTCTCCCGCCACCACGAGCGGGGCTCGCGCCCGCGCGCCACTTTTCACACGTCAGCGGCCAATCAGGGCGGGGCGCGCGCCGAGGCCCCGCCCCCGCCGGCGTGACGCGAAACGGGGGGGGTGATGCGGCGGAGGCGGCCCCGGGGCCGTGGGTTCGAGACCCGGCAGCGCCGTTCAGCTGGGGCGGATAGGTGTGGGCTGGGACCCCCGCCCCTCCCGGCTCAAGGAGCCCGCTGATGGGGCGGGGGCTGCGGCCAGCTGGCAGCGCAGGGGCGGCAGAGGGGCACCCCAAGTGTCCAGCTGCGGCAACAGGTGGGACACATCCCTCTGAGTGCCCCGAGGACACACCTGAGTTACCCCTCCATGGACACCCCTCCTCTGCAGTGAGTGGCCCCAGGGGTGCAATGAACCCCCCGAGCCAGGAGTGGGGGCACAGGGTGCAAAGCACTGCCAGGAGTGAGGGATGAGGGCACCCAGCACAAGCCCAGGCTACGGAGCCTCTGGTTGATATTAAATTGTCTTTATTACACAGATACAGAGTTAAGAACAGACATAACCTGAATCATAAAGTTTACATCTTTCACAGGTCAAACATACAGTACACTTAGAGAAAGCGGGGAACAGCAAGGGGGGACAGCATGCCGAAGGGAAGTCCTACCACATCATCTCTCTGGGCTGGCCCCACAGCCCACGCCCGGCCCTGGCGGGGGGCTCTGCTTTGCAGCCCCTCAGGTCCCCGTGACAGGGCTGGCAGGGCAGCGAGGGCAGGGCTGGGTCCCGCAGGGGAGCGGGGAAGCGGTGCTGCCGCGGGGGGACACCGGCACCACCTCCCTCCCGGGGCCGTGGCGTTCGGTGACACCGGCGGAGCCACCGCAGCGGGGACACCCCATCACAGTGCCTGGGAACACAGCGGCATCTTGTCCCCAGCCTCAGACCCACTGGGATGCAGAGGGGACCCCAGCAGCCCCCGGAGGAGGAGGAGGAGGAGGAAGAGGAGGAGGAGGAGGAGATGCTGCAGGGGAGTTCGGGGGGCTCTGGCAGTGATGGAGCAAAAGCCAGGCAGGTGTGGAACCCCCGCTCCAGCCTCGCCGGGACGTGGAACTTTGGTTTCAGCTGGGATTTTGGGTTGGGAACTTGAGGAAGGGGCTGGAGAGGGGACCAGAGAGCCACGTCCCTCCTGCCACCTCCCCAGCCTGGTGCCACACCTGCACCCAGCGCCCTGGGCTCTGCCTCCCCGCGGGCACGGGCACTGGGACACGCTGTCCCCGTGTCCCCAACCCCGTCCCCCTGCCCCAGCCGTGGCGGGAGCCGCGAGCATCCGCGGGGACCTGATGTGGCACCCCGTATCCCCAGGCTGCCCCCGGCCAGGCTGTGCCAGCACCGCGCTGCTCATCCGCTGCCACCTCCCAGGTGCCACCAGAGGGGCACAGCGCGTGGCACCACACGTCCCCTGCCCCCCAGCGCCACCATTTGGGGACAAACCCCCCGGGAAGCGCCCGGAGCATCAACCGCAGCCCCGCTGCCGCTCCGTCCTCCCCGCAGCACAAATTATTTTTTTGGGAAATCTGACATTTAAAGCTGTCGTTCTGGTTTGGCCGCCCGTCACCGCCGTCCCCTCCCTCGGCTTTTGGTTTCAATGCAAGGTTCTGTAGGGTAGTTTTATTCTTAATTAAAATTAAAATCTAAAAAAAATAAAAATCATAATAATTCCAAAACAAAAAAGCAAACCAGCAGGGAGCGGAGTGGAAAGGAGAGCAGGCCCTGGGGAAGGGCTCTGGCCCCCGGTTTCCCGGCGAGGTGGAGGTAGAGAGGCAGAGCCCCGGCAGGAGCGGGGCCACGCGGGGACAGCGGGGACACGGCGGGGACACGGCGGGGACGGGCCGGGCAGCCGGGCGGGCAGGGGCATCTGCAATACTCTTATATATTACCTCTTCTCAGGAAACGTAAGAAAAATAGACAATATTACATATGTCACACCATAAATAAAGTGAACAGTCACGGGAGGGGAACCCAGTGATGCTCCCAGAGTTGGGGGGGCACAGAAACCACCCAGGGGTGCACCGAGGTCTTGGGGGGCACAGAAATGTCCCTGGGGTCGGGCCAAGACCTTGGGGTGCACAGGAAAGCCCTGGGGGGATGCACCGAGACCTTGGGGTGCACAGAACCTTCCCAGGAGGATGCCCCGAGGTCTTGGGGTGCAGAGAAACCTCAGAAGAGGAACCCTGGGAGGATTCAGCGAGACCTCGGGGTGCACAGGAACCCCCCCGGGTCTTAGGGCGCGCAGAACTCATCCAAGGTGATGCACCAAGATTTTGGGGTGCGCAGAGCCCTCCCAGGGGATGCACCAAGGCCTTGGGGTGCACAGAACCCCCAGCAGGGCCGGGTGACAGTGGCACAAGGCCAGTGACACCCCCCTTGGCGTGTCCCAAGCTCTGCTGTGGCCCAGCCCAGCCCCGTGACCGGCAGCACAACCCCGCGGCCCCGAGCCCTTCCTTCCCTCCTCTTCCTCCCCTACGGAAAACACACAGGATGGGTTTTGCAAATGCGGAAAACCTACAGCTCCTCTCGATGCCAGGCCTCGCTCCGGGCAGCGCCACGGCTCCACGCTTCCTCCTCATCCTTTATTTGGCAAACGTCTCTTATTATTATCACTAGCATTAGTATTATTATTATCATTAAGATTCATTTTTGGACCTCTGCAGACACTATTTACATTCACATTAGCGCACAGCACTGCTGCCTCCGCTCGGAGCTCGGACTTCCCGTATTGCACTTCCGTCCTCCGTGCCGCTCCGGCGAGGCAAGAATCCCAAATAATCCACATTGTCCTTGGCCAGGAAGGCCGCAGCGTTCCTTTTCCTTTCCTTTTCCTTTTCCTCTTAAAAATCCTTGTGAAACAAATCCAGCACGGGGTGTGGGAGCAGCCTGGCAGTGAAGGGATTGGGGGTCCCCCGACGGCTTCGGGGAGGGAGAAACCCAAAATCTGTCTTTTCATTTCCTTTTTTTTTTAATTCTTTTTTTTTATTATTCACTTTTTTTTTTTTTAAATCTCCTTTTTGTTCTCCTTTTCCAGGGTGGTGGCGGGCAGAGGTAGAGATGTGCCAGCTCCGGCTGCGGTTCTCAGCCCCATCTCCCCCTCCCACGCCTTGGGGGTTGGGGTTTTAGTAAAAAAACACCTTTTTTTTTTTTTTTTTTTCTTTATTTTAATAGAAATTCTTTAAAGCCCCAGGGGCATGTCCATCCATCCTTGTGGGGAGGGGAAGGAAGCGACAACAGAACGAAACGAACTTTGGCAGTGGAGAGACGTTTGGATCTTCCTTGGTTTTGGATTTCCTTTGGAGCAGAGGTGAGTCTGGTCTGTTCTTGGCTAGCTAGCAAGGTAGTTACAGGTGAGCGTCCGTCACGCGTCGTCTGGTTTTTGGATTTTTCCTTTTTTTTTTTTTTTCTTTTTTTTTTTTCTTTTTTACAATTTCTTACTTAAAGCCAAAGAGTCCGACGTTTTCTTTTTTATTTTCTTTATTTTTTTTTACAAAAAAAAAAAAAAAGGTAAAAAGAAAAAAAAAATGGGAAGAGAGAGATGAAGAAAGGAAAATTCTTTCCTCCTCCAAGTGAGCCCCTCGGCAGCGCTGATGGGGGATGGGATCGGGCTGGTCTCTCCCCACAGCACTGCACGGTGATGCTGGAGCCAAATCCCTCATCCAAAGAGCAAAAAGGAAAAATAAAAACAGCCAAAAAACCCAAAAAATCCCAAACCGCAATCCCCCAACCGACAGAAAACCAACCGAAAAAAGCCAAAACAAAGACTGAAGAAAGAACAGAGACCGGTATTTGCCTTAACTCCACTTAAAGCCCAGCTTGAGGATCCGTGAGGATTAGTTGTGAGAGCTAGAGAGGTCGTTTCGGAGGTCACACGAGTCAGGTAGCTGAGGAAATTGCACGGGGTGCAGTCCGTGGCTCCGGCAGCCCCAGGGCGGTCAGCGGGACGCGCTGTCCAGCGGCGCCGGCGTGGCCGGAGTGCCGGCGCGGGACGCGGCCACCGAGCCCGCCTCGCTGGGGCTGCTGGCCATGGCGGGCACCCCGTCGGGCTGGCCCGGCCCGGGGGCGGCGGGGCCCGGCAGCCCCTGCAGAGTCTGCCCGCAGACGTGGTGGTGCTTCTCCCAATCCTTGTGCTGGCAGAAGGAGCCGCAGTAGCGCGCGGTGTTGCAGCCGCTGCACGTCTCGCTCGCCTTCCGGCCGCAGTTCCAGCAGCTCTGCGGGGATGGGAACACGGCCTCAGCTCTGGAGCGTGCACCCCAGCATGGGCTGTGCACCCTCACCTGGGACTGGGCACTCCATCATCCCAGAGTGTGCACATCCATCCCAGAGTGAGCACATCCATCCCAGAGTGAGCACATCCTTCCCAGAGTGTGCACATCCATCCCAGAGTGAGCACATCCTTCCCAGAGTGTGCACATCCATCCCAGAGTGTGCACATCCATCCCAGAGTGAGCACATCCATCCCAGAGTGAGCACATCCATCCCAGAGTGTGCACATCCATCCCAGTCTCTGCACATCCATGCCAGACTGTGTATTTCCATATCAAACCAAGCACACCAATTCTGGACCGTGCTCCCCTATCCTGAACCAGGTCCCCCTAATCCCAGACCATACAACTCTACCCTGGACCATGCACAACACCCCAGACCATGCACATCATCCTAGACTGCACCCACATCCAGGACCATGCACCCCATCGTTGCCCCCACCCTGCATTCCCATCTCGGTGCAGGAATTCCCCTCTCCTCCCATCCCTCAGTGCTGCCGCACGCTCCCATTCCCACCCTCGCACGCAGACGCTGCGACCTCGATGGCAAGAGGAGCAGGTCCCACGCACCAGCACCGCCACCAAGCCGTCCCCAGGGTCCCCACCTCGCTCGAGTCCTCCTGCTGATTGATGACGGTGAGGGCATCCTCGGACGCCTGGCGCTTGGCCTCGGCCAGGGCCCGCTCCATCTTGGCGCGCTCCGTCGTGATCAGCTCGTGGGCTTTCCGCTCGGCGTCCGACACGGCCTTCTGCAGCTCGGACATGGCCTGGCGCTTCACCTCGTTCACGGCTTCTTCTGGAAGGCAGCAGCCGAGCGTGGCCACGGTGTGCCACTGCCCCAGCATCCCCCCTTCCCGTAAAACCACCCCAAATTCCTCTTGCGCCGCAGGCATCCCAACGAGGGGAGCTGGGGCAGAGCCCCTGCTGGCTCAGCACCCTGCCGGGGCTGGCGCCCACCCCGCACTCACCAGCCTTCCTCCAGATCTCCTCGGGCATGTACCCGGAGAGCGGCCGCGGCGCGAAGTCCCGGTGAGCGTCTGCCAAGGAGAGAGGGGACACCCTCAGGAGATGCCATCCCCTTGGAACGCCCCTGCCAGCAGCGCCAGACCCCCGGGAGAATGGCGCGGGCACCCGGAGCGGGCGCAGCCCCCGCACGCAGCCCGCGGCCCCGGGGGTCAGTACCTAACTGGGGAGCCTCGGCGGCGGCGGAGGAGGAGTTGTGGGGGCGTGCGGAGGGGGGGCTGCCTTTCTTCATGTCCTCGGCGTCGCTGTAGCGCCGGATCCAGTGGTTGAGCTCCTCGCGATCGGCCTCCTGGCACCGCCGCAGCACCGTCAGCGACCGCCGCGTCTTCTCCACCATGTCCATGATGCAGTTCAGCAGCTGCGGGGGCGACAGCAGGCATGGGGAGGGGGCTCTGCTGCAGGCAGCTGGGGGGCTGCGGCGCCTGGCACTGGGCAGGGGGATTTGGGCTATGCCAGGCTGTGCCAGCTCCGGGGTGCTGTGCTGGGTGGGGAAGCATAGGATGCTCCGGGGAAAAGCCCGGTGAGGGACTGAGGGCAGAGTGGAAGGACACACACACAGACGGGGCAGGGATTGAGGGCAGAGTGGAAGGATACACACACACAGACGGGTGAGGGATTGAGGGCAGAGTGGAAGGACACACACACACACACAGACGGGGCAGGGACACACATACGTTGTTGAGGTGTTTCCACTCCTCCGCCCACTCCCGGTCCGTGAGCCGGTGGTCGATCACCTCCTCCTGCCGCGTCCCATGCACGGCTGCAAGGCAAGAGCAGAGCAGGGTCAGCCCCCTGCAGGACCCCTCTCCCTTTCAGGGGGCTCCCAGCCCCGTTCCCCCGTGCGTGGGGACAGCAGGGCTCACCGGCGGGCCGCTGGCGCTCGCGGAGCTCCCGGGGGTCGGGGTGCCGGTAGCTGTCCCGGTAGTGGTGTGCCATGGCCATGTCCTCCAGGCGGTAGTGCTGGGGCAGGGGGGGGCCGGCAGGGGGGTGCCCCAGCCCGTTCGGGGGGTGGCTCAGCCCGTTGCTGGGGCTGTAGCGCTGCGCTGGGCTCATGGTGCACGGCCGCTTGCTGAGGTGCTCGGGGTGCAGGGGGTCTCGGTCCAAACCGTTCTCTTTGGTCCTGGCCGGAGGAGAGGAGGTTGGTCCCCACTGGGCCCCCCCGGAACAGCCTCCCCTTTTCAGGGGCGTGTCCCTGAAGAATCCCACACGTCCCTCCCCGGCTGGCACCTGTCTGGCGTCCTCCTCTTGCCGCTCTCGCCCACCTCCAGGAGCAGCTCGGAGGAGTCGATGGGAGAGGAGGCGTTGGCGTCCAGCAGCAGCTGCTCGTGCTGGGCCAGGTACTGGGCCGGGGTCTGCTTGGCCATGCGGGCGCAGTGCAGCAGCTCCCGCTGCAGCAGCGGCAGGTTGGCCTGCGGGGAGGGGGTGACAGTCCAGTCCACGGCCCTGCAGCCCCCCGGAGCAGCCTGGCTGTGCCCCCAGCTCGCCACGGGCAGGGGGTGCGAGGGGGTGCCTTCCCTTTGGGGTCCTGCTCCCTTTCCCCAGGGGACAGCCTTGGGATGCCAGCAGCGTGCCCAGGGCTTTTGAGGGACATGTGTGGCATCCCACGGGTTCAGACACAGCTTCAACAGAGCCCTCCTGCATCCAGCAGAGGCTGCAGAGCATCATCCCTGGGCTAGGTCGGCCACCTCGGCCACCCTGTCCCCAGGACTGCTCCCTGGGGACTGCACCTGTGGGACCCCCAGCCCCTGTGGCACCCACAGCTGTAAGGATCAGCTCTGAACTCCCCTCTCACCCACCCACCGTGTCCCCCCACGGCGCTGGAGCCCCAGGAGCAGCAGGAATTAAGCAGCAGAACCCCCTTTTGCCCGGCGCTCTGGCTGCCAGCCCTGGATTTTGCCTCAGGCAGCTGAGCCGCAGCCAAATCCCATCTGTGGGACACGTTAGAGCCCGAGCTGCAGTTGTGGTGAGCAGGGCCAGACCCTCCCTCCCCTTCCCTTCCCTTGCTTGGGGGGGGAGCAATCCCACAAAAACAGCAAGTCCCCAGTCTGGGAAGCACGCCGAGCCCGGCTGGTTGCAGTTAGGATAATGAGAAACATCTGGGCCGGGTGGTGGGAACAGCTGGGAGCGGGGTGCCAGGGCGGCCGGCGCGGCCGCTGTGCTCTTGGCACCGGGACAGCGGGGATGGATCCCAGCCTGCCTGGAGCCGCGGGGCCACCAGTGCCTGCCGGGCCTGCCCGGTCACCTTTCCCTGCTCCCATGGAGCCCAAAATCCCTGCAAACCGGACAGGAGGGGAGGGGGCTCTGCTGTCCCCCTCCAGCTCAGCCTGGAGCAAACCACTCCAGCAGATTCCTGTGATGAGCACGGACCTCCACTCACAGACCCCTGCTCTGGAGGGGCTGCCATGCAGAGGTGGAAAAGGGGCTATTTTTGCACATTTAAATTATCCCTTTGCTAACAATGGACAGGGGACACCGGGCTCAAACATCTGCTGGCAGTGCCCATCCTGCCAGGCGTGCCAGCACCGGGCAAATCCCTCCGGAGCGGGGTGACACTGCACAGTCAGCACGAAATTAAAATGCAAAAAAAAGGGGGAATTTTTAATGAATTGCAAATGGCAACCAGCTGGGCTGACCCCTTGCTTTATTGCAACCAGCCCTGGCCCTGCATGACTCCACACGTGTGGGGGCACATGGGCAGACCCACAGGCAGCTGCCAGCCCCAAAGCCACCCCCAAATCCCCTGTGCTGAAATGCTGCCTTGAATCCCGCCCTGCCCAGGCTGGAGACCCACCTTGAGGAAGGGGATGACGAAGGGTCGCAGCGGGAAGTTGGTGGCCTCTTGGAGCTTGGCGTGAAACTCCTCAATGGTGAGGGTGGAGTTCTGTGGGGACAGCCTGGGCTCAGCACCCCTGGCACAGCTCCCTGCACCCCTGGGAGACACCTGGCTGTTCCTCCCCCATTCCTGCTCCTCTGCCAGGCTCACAGGGAAACCACACTCAAGGGAAAACCACGCCCAAGGCTTCACTGGCGATGCCAGCAGCCAGGACCAACCCTGCACTGGCTGTGCAGATCCCAGGAGATGCTGGAAAAACAACCCCCTTTCCTCCAGGATTTAGATCCATTTAGGCCACTCTTTCCCTTTTAGCAGCATCTCCATCCCCAAAAGAAAGCACAGGATCCTCGGATGCGGGGTCCCCGTGGCTGAGCCCACGGACGTACCACGAGCCCCAGGACGAGGGTGCGCACCCGCTCCCCGATCTCGGGGGAGATGTCGTTCCCAAACTGCTGCAGGGTGGTGAGGAAGCGCTTGAGCTTGGAGAGCTGGCGGGCACCGCAGGCCGGAGGGAGCTGGTGGGTGGACAGGGAGGCGCTGGAGGAGGTGGCTGGCCCGTTGCTGAACCCGTTGGGGGTGGACGGAGCCCCATTGATGGCGGTTGGCGAGTGGCTGCTCCCGTTCATCACTGGGGAGACAGAGAATGGGAGGTCAGAGCGGGTGGCTGTGCCCTGGCTGGGATGGCAGGACCAGTGTGTCCTGGTGGGTAATGTGGGGCTGGCTCTCCCTGGAAGGCTTCAGGATGCTGGTGAATCCCTGGGGCTGCATCCTGGACTGGTCCCGGTGCTGTGGGGGCTGTGGGGAAGGAAGGGATGCAGAGCATCCCCCAGCACACGAGGACCTGATCCAGCTCCTCAACAGCCAAGGCAGCCAAGGGAAGGGGCTCCATCCTGCCCTCGGGGAGCTGCTCAGCACTGCCAGAGAGAGCCCATGAGCCATTTCCCACGGAGCCCAGCCTGGCCTGCAGAACACTGCCACCTCTGTCCCCACTGCCCGCTCAGCAGGGACAGGAGCTGCCTGAACACCGCACACCAGCAGACCCAGGGGGATATTTTGGGGTACCAACCGTCAGAGTGGCAGGCCCCTCTCTCCTGCACCAGCCCCACGTGAGCACAGGGACCTTTTCCCGGCTAACACAGGTGACAACACATGTCACCCTAGTCCTGATGGCCCGGATGACAACACACATCACCCACGTCCCGACATCATGGGTGACAACATGTCTCACCCGTGTCCCAACGGCGCAGGTGACAACGAGTGTCACCCGTGTCCCGACGGTGCGGGTGACAACACGCGTCACCCATTTCCCGATGGCGCGGGTGACAACATGCATGCACCCCTGTCCCAGCCAGCACGGGTCACAAGACATGTCACTCATGTCCTGACGGCACGAGTGACAACACGCATCACCCGTGTCCCAGTGCTGCAAGTGACAACACGTGTCACCCACGTCCCAACCAGCACGGGTGACAAGACGCATCACCCGTGTCCCGACGGCGCGTGGCCCGTGTCCCCCGGCGCGCCCGCGCCTGTCCCCGCTGGGACCGCACTGACCTGGGGGTGCCAGCCCTGCCTGCTCGGGGGGTCCCGCTCGCTCTCCGGCCGGGCAGCGCCCGCCGCCCGCTGAAGAGGTGCCAAAAATAACCCGGCGGCCACAAGTGCTTTTATTCCCGCGACAGGTGCGCTCCTAAGTTGGACACCGCACATGTCCCTGGGCCGGGATGGGGCTGGGGTTCCCGTCCCCGTGACCCGGGCGAGGGGCTGGCGGCGGGGAGCGCCCCGGGGCTGCGGCTGCGCTCGGGTCTCTCATGAGAGCGGGCGTTTCATTTTACTTACAAAGACAGACCATCGACCATTTCAAGCAACCATGAAAACGGCCGCGAGGCAGAAACGTCGGAGGGCCAGCGTCTCGATCTGCAAGCAAAATAAAACACGCTATGATGAGAGAGCAGAGGGGGCAGCTCTCGGCCCGGGGCCCTGCAGGGGATGCTCCTCACCACGGGCACGTGGGCCATGGGCAAAATCGGGTCCCTGCGTCCCACCGCAGCCACAGGGAGGGTTCAGGGCTCACTGCCTGGTAAAGTCCTGACAGTTTAGGGACCAAATGAGGTCCCCCAAAGCCAAGAACAACCGAAATGCTGTGGTGTCCATGCCAAGCTGCCCCATGCCCCCAGCCTTGTGTCTCCAACCCTGCTCCACGCTGAGCTGGGATGGAGAGGCTGCCTGCACCCCTGGCCCTGCATCCTGAATCCTGCTCCGTGCTGAGCTGTGGCAGAAAGGCTGCCTGCACCCCCAGCCCCGTGTCCTGAACCCCTCTCTGAGCTGAGCACTGGTGCAGAGGCTACCTGCACCCTGCTCCCTCATCCCAGCCCCAGCCACACCTGGGCTGCCCCATCAGCACTGGGCTGGGATTGACACCCAAACCCCCTCCAAGCACGGCCGAGCACAAGCTGACTTCTAGAGAGTCTGTCCAGAAGCGCTGCTGGGAGGCTGCAGGTGTCAGAGCATGGATCTCAGGGGTTGATTTGGGTTTTTTTCTTCCCCACTGGGGTTTTTCTGAGCAAGAAACAGCTATGAGCAAAACCTTGCGCACGTGTGTGTCCAGGAAAAGTCTCAGCAGAACTGGAGCAGCTGCTGGCAGTGGCCACTGCCACTCCTGCCAGGGGGCCAGCCTTGTCCCCTGCCTGTCTGGATCCTGCACTGCATGTGCCTTGTCCATCCATGTGCCAGGACAGTGACACCAGCACAGTGACAGGTCCCTGGTGCAAACCCTGCAGGTGTGCAATGAGATCAGGTGCCTCTGGTGCCACCACCGCGTTGGGTGGCTGTCCCCAATCCAACTACAGAGACTGAAACTCCCACTTGGAGTCCCCTGATGCCACCACACCATAGCCTGAGCAGGACAAGGAGGTCCCAGCCACTGTGGCTGGCCATGACACTGCCCTACCACCACTGGGTGCCACATGCAGAGGGAGACAGAAGTGTCCCCACATGGGACCCTCCACGGGGCCATCTCCGCTGCACAGGAACTCCCCCAACGCCCTCCACCCTCCAACCACGCGCTGCCCTGTGCCAGCACTTGGTGACCGGCTGGCAGGACGTCCCTGTCCCCAGGGACCTCCCAAGGCACTGCTGGCCACGGGCAGTGCCACTGCAGGAACATGCTCCAGCTTGGCAACGTGCACCCAAGCCGAGCCCGCAGCCCGAGGCCAGGCACCGTCACCCGTGTCACCGCCAGCACCGCGCCGCGACGCTGCTGGCCCCGCGTGCCACGCGCGAGGCGGAGCTGGGGACACATCTGGGCAGCCCGTGCCCGGGGTACTCACTGGTGCTGGGCGTGAAGGAGGGGTGGCGCGAGGCTCCCTGCGCGGCGGGCGGCGGGGGCATGCCGGGCGGCGTGGAGCGGGCCTGCGTCTTCACGTCGGCCGGCGAGTCGGGCATGGCGGCGGCTGTGGTCTCCGCGTTATCTGCGGGAAGAGGGCACGGCGTGGTGAGAGGGCTGTGCCAGGCAGGGCCGTGATTCCCTGGCAAACAGGGGTCAGGGGAAGAGGGGACGCTTGGGGACCTCGGGCCGGCCCGGGCATCGCCGGTGCCGCTGGAGAACTCGGGTGACGGGGAGAGCGTCCTGTGTGCCACAGGGTGGTGGGGAGGGCGATGGCCCTGCTGTTCATCTGCACAGAGGTGGGGACACAGTGGTGGCACCGCTCTGCCCCTGCAGTGCCAGCGCTGCCCCCGCCTGTGTCACATCACTGCTGTCACAGCACAGCACCCTCCTGACACATCCTGGGAATTCCTGCTGCCTGCCAGCATCACCCAGGGCTGGCACAGCCCCTGGCAGAGACTGCGGGATCATTGCAGCCACTGTTTAGTGGCAGTGACAACAGCAGGACCCACACCAGCAGTGACTGTCCTGCCCAGACCCGAGTGGCCCTGCAGGGCAGGTCCTGCAGTCCAGGGATCGTGGAGCTCCGGCCATCACCATCACCCCAGCGAGCACCGCCGCCTCCCTCCCGGCTCCCTGTGCTCCCAACCCCAAATAACTCCCAGCAGTGCATTCCTGCACCATCCCCTGCAGACACAGGCCCCACGGCTGCCACGCTGGCCTGACGGGTGGCCACAAGTGCTGGCAGCTGTGGGGATCTGTCACCGTGCCCGCGCTGCCGCCGGCTCTGGCCAAAGATGGAAGCGGCCACCACGGCCATGGGGTCCCCCTGTGCCCAGCACGGTCCCCACCCAGCCTGGCTGACAATCACTAATCCAATATTCATCCTGAATCCCGGGCAGCTGTGGGGACATTAATTGAACCTGGCCACAGCATGGGCAGGGCTAAGTAAAAGCAGGGCCTGATCCCCATGGAGATGCTGTCGGGGTTGTGCCACAGGTGGTGGCACACGGAGCACCAGGAGATGGTGGCAGGAGCCAAAATTTCAGCTGGTCACCCACAGGATCCTTCTGGAAGGCTCCAGCACCGTGGTTATCCCTCTCTGTCCACAGCACACTGGAATGCTGCAGTTCCCCGTTCCTCGCTCCCTTGTCCCTGCCCAGCCACAGGAGAAACCCCAAGAACACACAGCTTCCCTGCCCCCAAAACCTCAGCTTCCCTACAGGGCCTGCCAGAAGAAATGGTTTGTTTTGAAAAACTTTTATTTCCCTTTTCATGGAAATGTCCATCTCTGGCCAAAACTTGTCCAGCCTTCCCAGCTTCCCCTGTCACCCAGCGGAGCAGGATCCTGCTCTGACAGCAGAGGATGAGCCCTGAGTGTGCACAGGGTGTGACCCTGTGAGGGGTCACAGCTGCAGCACCTGGATCCCACACGATCCTTGCCTGCATCCCTGGCAGCATCCCTGTCCTTGTCACACCCCTGGCACCATCCCTGTCCCTGTCACACCCCTGGCACCATCCCTGTCCCTGTCACACCCCTGGCACCATCCTTGCCTGCCTCCCTGGAGTGGTCCCTGCCTGCATCCCCATCCCAGCCCCGGTCCCCCTCGCTGCCCTGACACCGTGCACATTCCCACACCAAGGAGAAAACATGGATACATTCATCCTGGCACTGACATGGCTTTTCCACAGCTTCCCATCAGCAGGAAAGTTTCCATCAAGCTGAGCAAGCACTCAGGGAAATGGGGCCTGGTTCTGGTTTTTCTTGTGTTTTCTTTTTTGCCTTTAAGTTTTAAATTCTCCCCGAGGTGTTTGCAGTCCAAACACAGCCAGGCAGGCACAGGAATGGTCCCAAATCCAATGGGATACAGAGCTTGGAATGCCCACAGAACCCAGCCACAGCTGTGCCACCAACCCAGGTCCTCTGCAAGATGGGATGAGCTCCAGGAGAGCAAAGGAGGTTTTGGGGAACAAAGAGCAGCCTCCCCTCAGCACCTTCAAACAGCGATTCCCCAGCACAACTCCAACTCCACTGGAATTATTTTTCCCTCTATTTTTTTCTCTCTTTGGGGTAATTTGTCCCAGCCGCTCGGGGCCGTGTCTGTTTTCCTCCATCTGGTTTCCATTAGGCCTGTGCAGCCCAGATGAATAAGTAATAATATAAAAATAAAAGGATTAGTATTTTCTCCTGGGCTGGCAGGAGCGGCTGCTCCCCACCCTGCCCCCCGGGGCCAGCGGATGCCGGACCCCCGCACACCCCGGTGTGACCCCGAGCCCCCCATTTGTCACACGGCAGGGTTTAACCCCCAGGGCAGGGTCCCTGCCGGGTGGCACTGTCACACGGCCAAGCGTTCCAGCGGGCACAGGGCAGCCTGGAGCCGGAGGGACAGGAGCAGTGCCGGAGGGAAGGGGCTGGCAGCCCTCCCAGCCCAGCTTTGCTGTTTCCCACAGCCCCAGGGAGCCCATCCAGCCACCAGGAGCCCGGGGTTCTGCCTCCTCCCCGGGAAACAAGGGGGATGTGCCAGCTGCGGGACGAGTACGGCTGCTCTGCCCTCCTTTCCCAGGGATGGGATGGAGCAGGCACGGAGCTGCCCTGGATGCGGCCACTGGAAAGCTCCGGCTCCCTGCAGGCAAAGCTTCCCGGGTGAAGAAGGGGTTAAAGGGAATTCAGCGCCCAGCATCCTTCATGCTCTCCAAATGGCCACAAATGAAATCCAGATGCTGGAGGCGACGTCTCCCCAAGCCAGGCTGCCTCCGAAACAAAGGCAGGGAAGCATTCCTGCTCCTCAGCTGCCGCAGCCAGCGGGGCCAGGAACAACTCCCCGATAAGATGGCAGGGCCGGAGCTGTCCCAGCTGGAGCAGGTTTGGAAGCGTGCAGTGCCTGAGGCCGGGCAGCAGCGCCAGCCACGTGCACCAGCCCGGCAGAGCTGGTGGGACCTCACAGCACCATCAGCTCCCTCCTTGCCTGAACCCATCCTGGCCCCTCTTTGGGATCAGCTCCCTTCTCCCTGCACCCATCCTGACCCCTCTTTGGGATCAGCTCCCTTCTCCCTGCACCCACCCTCATCACTCTTTGGGATCAGCTCCCTCCTCCCTCATCACTCTTTGGGATCAACTCCCTCCTCCCTGCACCCATCCTGATCCCCTCCCTGGGGCCATGGTGACAGAGGTGACAAAGGTGACACAGGCAGCTTGGAGTTCATCCCAGTTGCACTTGGAGCAGGAAAAGGCAGAAGTGCAGCTGAGGGATGCTGACAGAAGGTGGGTTTAGGTTGGATATTGGGAAGGAATTGTACCCTGTGAGGGTGGGCAGGCCCTGGATCCCTGGCAGTGCCCAAGGCCAGGCTGGGCAGGGCTGGGAGCAGCCTGGGATGGTGGAAGGTGTCCCTGCCATGGCAGGGCAGTGAGGGGAGCTTTAAGGCCCCTCTCAATCCAAACCATTCCAGGATGATGCTGGAGTGATGCTGCCCACTCACCACTGGGGTGTCCCAGGTGCTCATTTTGGGGACCCAGCCCAGCAGGCAGCAATCCACACCCAGCACTCATCAGCACAAATGAAGCCCTTCAGAAGTAAATCCAATTAATCAAACTGCACAATCTGTAAAGGAACCCAGATCCAGCCAGCTCCAGTCCCGGGGAGCCCCTGCAGCTCATCCCCAGAGCATCCTGAGACAGACAGCTCCTGTGCCACAGCCCAGCTGGGACACCTCCCACCGGCACAATTCCAGGGAAAAGCAGATTTCCCCAGCTCAGGTACATCCCAACTGGCTTTGCTTTCCGAGCACCCCGCAGTGCCAGCGCTGCTGGCAGATGCCCCACGGGCAGTGCTCTCACTCACTCCGGGCCATCACCTCCCAGCAGGTCCCAAGTCCCCCGGTGCCCTTCCACCTCCCGCGCTGTGGCAGTGACAGCACAGCTCCACACGGGACAGCAGCACCGCAGCCAGGCTCTCCCCGCACCCCAAAATCCCCGTTTTCAAGCCCAAACCAGCTGGCTCGGTGCCACCAAGGCAGTGCCAGCAGCTCCCGCTCGCCCCGAGCTGGCGTGGCCGGGGCTGGGGGATGGGGATGGGTTTGATTTTTTCCTCGAAACAACAACAAAAAAGCCAAAAAAAAAAAAAAAAAAAAAAAGTGCCCTCTCTGTTTTACAAGCCTTCATTTGCTATTGTTTATGTAAACAGGTAAATTGTTTCGTATCTCAATTAAAAACATCTGCCACATAAATGAATACCAATTAACTCATCCTGTTTTTAATTACTCTGTTAATTACACACAGGCAGCAAAAAGGATGGCAGGGGAATAGGGAAAGCATGCTTACACCCCCCCTTCCCACCTTGCTCTTGGCAAGGATCCGAAATGTGCCCAGATAATGATGGATTAAGGTGAAAACCGTGGCTCGTGGCCAGCTCCGGCGTGGCGGCTCCCTCCCGGGGCTCCTCGCACGGGGATTTCCCGGGACCCTCTGGAGAGGTTTTGGAAAGCCCAAGCCCCGCGGGCTGCCCCAAGGCCAGCCCCGCTGGCACAGCCCCGCTGGCACTCCCGGTGCCAGCCCCGCGCTCCTTCTCCGAACGGGAGACGCCGAGAGGAGCGGGGAGGCAGCGTCCCCGCAGTCCCAGCGCATCCTCGTGCTGCCCCCGGGAGCCCTCCTGGCACCCAGGGGTGGCCCCGGGGCGGCACGGGGTGGGTGCCATCCCTGGCGAGGGGCCCCGGGCGCCGCCGGCCCCCCCACCCCGGGCTGCGGGCAGCTTTCCAAGCGAGCAGATGGGGCAGGGAGCGGCGGCAGGAGGAGGAGGAGAGCAGAAAAGGCTATTTTCTCACGCTACATATTTTACAAGTCGAACATTTTGTGCATTTCAGCCCTGCCTGTAAAAGCATCTCGGCCTCAGCCCCGGGACTCGACGGCGGAGCCTGTGAGTCAACAGCGGCTGGCGACGACGTGGCTGCTGGCGGGGGGACGGGCTGGAGGAGGGGTCCCCCACACACAGGGGCAGTTTGGGGGGTCCCCCTGACCTATCGGCCAGCAGCACCCAGCCAGGGCACAGTACCCTCCGCAGCGTCGTGCCCGCTGCCACCGTCGGATCCATC